GCTAGGTAGGCTTTATTACTGCTAATTTATGCTGTTATTAAAAAGTCCGTGTTTAAAAGGTATTTAAGCCTTGTTTAGTAACTAATAATAATAGGCCAAGAGGAATGGTTTTTAATCTTAACCTATAAAAAAAAGGAGTTAGTTAGCTAAGCAAATAGCGTGTAGCCTAGCTAGTTACTTAGTTTAAAAAGGAAATTTTTATTAGTAAAAAGTGGCTTTTTTATTACCACTAGTAAATAACCTTTATAATAGGGTTATAAAGTTACACAACCAGCAAAGTATACAGGAACTAAATATACTTTATTAGGTTTTACTTAAATTTAAAAAGAAAACTCTAGATTTTAACAAGCATGTACTTGTCCCTTTTAAATTTAAAAATTAATTTTAAAGCCTTTTAGGCCCAGCGTGTTATTGCTAATAAGTAACTTTATTAATAAGTTTTTAATAATATAAGTAGTTATTAGGATTTTACCAAGCACTAACTAGCCGTTAACTTAGCCTGGTAAATAAGTGTTAAAAAATACTATTTTATCCGCCTGGTAAAGAAAACCAATACTAGATACTAATATATGTTTAGCTAATTTTAAAGTTAGGCCTAAATCCTGCACTATTTAATGGCTAATTAAGGTCCTAGCATACCTAGTGTTTAGGCAAACCTTATTTATTTTTAACTTTAAGTTAATATCTAAAAAAATAATTAAATATCTTTATAATTAGCATGGTCTATCCTTTGTACTAGTCTTAATTAATATTTTTAACTTTATTACCAGCAAAACTTTAGTATCCGCAAGTAAAGTAGTTAATTAAGTAGCTTGTCCCTTATAAGTTTTTAGGTAAATAAATAAAGAGTTTTTAGAGTTAAATTCTTTATTATATTTATAACATGTAATTATAATAATATTAGCCAGCATGGCCTAAGCTTCGTTAAAGTCCAAGGAGTCTTCTTTTAAACTGTTAGTTTTTATGTATTTACTAGGATAGTGATCTTTCTTGGTTGGCTTTTTAAAGTAAGCGGCTAATAATAAAGCTTTGGTTGGTTCTCCAAGGTAAGCGGCCAACAAAAAAGGTGTGGATGTTAGATTACTGTAATAAGCAAATAATAAAAATGCCGGCGGAGGCCTAGCATAAAACCCTGTTACAGGCTAAGGTATTCCCGTGTATAGCGCTGGAATATTTAATGTATAAAACACGCCGGTGTTTAAATTAATGTAGCCGGCACTTAGATTAATGTAATAGGTTCCTAATTATATGGGAGTAATTTAAGCAAGAAAAGTCTTATGCTGGTTCCAAGGCTGTTTACCAGGGCCGCGTTGTTAGTGTTGGTTGTTATTTTTCTAATCTTTATTTTTGTTATTTTTAGCGGGATACTTGGATTCCTAAGTGGCTTGGTTAGATACCAGCATACTCCACGGTTTTTACTGGTAAACTAGTGGTTAAGGTATTACCTGCGGTGGTAAAGGAAGTGGTTAAAGCGGTTGGAGCGGTTAGACCTAATAGTTTAGCCATGCCTGGTACGCTTGTATACGCGGTAAGGGTTGTGTTTTTTAGAAATATTAGTTAATTTAACGGGAATTATAACAGGGTCTCTTAGGTTTTAGTGGTTTATTTTTTTACTTATTATCACGGGCTTTAATAATATCTTTTTAAATACTAAATTTAAAGTTAAGGATATCTAGAAAATCTGCTACTATTATGCAACGCGTTAGCTTGTTAATTTTTTAATATAATATACTATTTAGTTTACTTTATGCTAGGGTTAATTAATTAAATATATTACTAATATTAGCCAACCTTGCATTTTTTAAAAATTTTTATGTAAATAAGTAAAAAGTTTTCCTAGCTTAAATATTTATAAAACCATAACTTATTTTTTAAAAACAAGTTATTGCCTTAACCAGCTAAAGTTTAAAATATTTAATAAGCTTAGTAACCTATCCCTACTTTAAAAAAAAATTTTATAGTTCTTACTTATCCGCATGGGATAACTTAGTGGTATACCACTTTAAGGCAGTGCCTTTTAAATAACTATAAATGTTAACTTTAACAACCGCTTCTCCCTTAAGGATTGCCATGTTAAGAATATAGTTTATAAAGATATATATATTTTTATAAAAGGTCTTTAAACCGCGCTTTTTTATTAATAAATTTTTGTTATTAACTTTATTAGGCTAGAAGTAACTAATATTCTTTATTTTTTAATAATATTTTCCTAGTGCAGCTTTAGCGGGTTAAGGCTCTTTCTTTTAAAAAACTAGTCTTAGTTTATTAGCTAGCGGAATAAATCCACCTCCGCCTCTTCCCTGTCCGCGTCCTCTTTCCACGTCTCTGTGGTTCTAGTAAAAAGAATTTAGCGGCTCTGGATCCTGTCTCCGCGGCTCCGGATCCTGTCTCCAATGCTCTTGTAAATATACTTCTAGTTTTTTAGGACAGGGTTCTGGCTATTAGGCCGGGCTAGGAACTTGGTACGCATCCTTAAGATTTTATTTATATGTATTCTTTAATTCTTACGTCCTGTTAGCTTGATTATTTCTCTGGAAATTTTTAAAGTCCTTTCTTAAAGATCTTTTAAAGGCGGCTTGCCTGTTATTAATAATTTTTAAATAGCTATTTAATTCCTATTATAAAATTAATTTAAAGTCCTTATTTGCCTGTCGGGGACCTGGATTAAAAAGTTAGTAATTTACTTATTAAAGGCTAGGATTAAAAGGTTATTAATTTACCTATTGTAAGCCGGGATTAAGAGTTGCCTGTTATAAGCCGGGATTAAAAGGTTATTAAGGTTATTAAAAATATTAAGGCTATTAAGGATCTAAATTTGCGCGGGAATTTATATTATAAATTTAAGAACTAGCGTTAGCATTAATATTAATATTAATTATACTATTTTTTTTTATAATTAGTAAGATAAGGGGGTATTTAAGTTTAGTAGTTAGCTTTAGCTTTATAGGACACCTAGGTTTAGTAATTAACTTTATAACCGCTTGCTTTAAGTAATACTATAAATATTAGCTAGTTAAATAAGTTTATTAGCTGGCTAGGCCGTGTGCTGCTAACATGTTTAGCTGTTGCCTAGTTAATTTAATAAAAAATGTAAATAAATTTATAGGGCCGGTAGCTAAAAGGGTAAATAAGCCAGGCTAAAAAGTAATAACTAAAAAAGTAAATAAACCTGTAAATAACCTAAAGAACAAAAAAATATTAGCAGCAGAGGTAAAAATTAGGTATATAAAATATTTACTAGCACTAAAGTTAGTTAACTAGCTAGTATTACTAGTAAGTAATTGCGTGACTATTAAATTATAATTTTTAATTATAAAGGTTTATTCCTGCCCTGTTAATTCCAGCCCGGAGGTTAGTTTTAAAGTAATAATATTATTAGTATATATTAGCAAGTTTACCCGCGTACAGCCTAAAGGTTGCTTTAGCTTTAATAAGGATGGATTTATAAGCGCGGGGTGTGTAATTTTCTAAGCTTTTTATTTACTAACCTATATATCTCCTATTTTTTAACCAAAAAATAGTAGATTTTTTGTAGCCTAGTAAAGAACCAACCAGTTAATATCCCATGCTAGGGGGTAGGCATATTAAGTAAAAAATAAAATAGCCGTGTGATATACCACAAAGTTAATAAAAAATACTATTTTTTAATTAAACTTTCTTGTAAACTGCTGTCTAACCTGCTAAAAAACCTTTAATTAATATACTAATATTATTAAGGTGTTGTTTTAGTTAGTCTAGGCCCCCTTTATATTATCCAGGATTATTAATTATTATTTAAGAAGTAGAGAAGACGAGTTTACAAGAACCAAAAAAATAAATTATAAAAAAAGAATTAAGAAAGCAAATTTATTAAATTTATTAGTTAATTAAAAAAAGAAAAAGTTTAAAAAAAAAGGAGAAACGCCGTTGGCTAACTACTAAATATAAATAACTTTTAGGAGTTTGGGAGCTCGTTTAACTTAATATAAGATAATTAAATAAATAAGTAAATAATAAAGTAAATTAAATAAGGAATAACAATAAAGAACAAAAAAAAGAAATTTATAAGCTTTTTAAATACTAAAAATTTTTTAATTAGCGTCTGCTAGCCCAACCTTAATTAACGTGCCTAATTAAGTTATTAAGTTTACTTAACTGGTCATGTCCTTGGACATGCTACCATTATTAAAGGTAGATAATTTAAAAAGGGTTTATAATATTATTAATGATTCTCCAAAGGCTAACTATATTCTTGATAAAGGAAAAGGGGTCAGGGCGGTGCCCGACGGCAGTATTGGATGCCGTCAGGGTGGCCGACCTTGACATTATTATTATTATTTACCTTTTATAAGCAGGTGCTTATTTTTAGTTATAATTTATAACTAAAGTTTTATACCTTATACCTGCACCTAGCTTTAGCTTAACTTTACTTATTTACTTTTAATAAATAATAAATATTAAAGCCTAATTATCCCAAGGTTCACTTTAATATTATTTTAGCTAATACTTTTTTATTATTTAATATAAGCCTTTATAATATTAATTATTACCCGGGCGCTTTACTACTTATTTTAAAATATATTATTATTTTAATACTATAAATATAATTTAATACCTATTTAATAAAAACTATTTTAATAGCAATATAAAACTAAAATTAAAATAAAAATATAATATTACTTTAATACTATAAACATAATCTAATACTAATTTAATAAAAAATATATTATTTATAATATAAAATTAATACTTAGGCTAAAATTAATAATATTTTAATATTATAAATATAATTTAACACTAATTTAATAAAAAATATATTATTTATAATATAAAATTAATATTAAACTAAAATAATACTAGGCTTAGTAATAATATTTACCTAAAAGTAATATTAATTTTCTTAATTAATATTCCCCTGCTAAATTAACAGCCTACTAGTAACTATATTACTTATAATAAATAATTACCCAACGCCTTAGCGTTGGATAACTATTACCTAACCGTTGTTTAATAAAATTTTATTATATAACAGTTAAATCGCCGTTGGCCGGGACCCCCCGGAACCGGCATGGAGCCTTGAGTGAAGGCGGAGACCACTGCGTCCAGCCATTGGCTTTAGCCCGCCTGAAGGCCTGCGTTGGGTCTGAAGTAGGGCCGGCGGGTGCGAGCTCCAGGACAGCAGCTGGGCCGAGGGTGAGAATAAAGTCAAGCCAGGCTCCTGGACGATGGGCATCCATTAGCATGTAAGTGGGCGCATGGCTGGGTAGAAAGGATTTACTCACGGAGCATGTGCACCTCCTCCCTCGAAGACTTTGGCTTTGTTTCAGCGGCATCAAACACCCCGTTCTGGCGCGCAAGGTTGGTCTGCTTCCGGAGGAAATCTAGCAAAGCACCCATCGCTATCCAGATATCGACCATGTCGAGCAGCTCTTGCCTCGAAAGGCCGGTGCTTGGGTTCCCCTGCGCAAATCCATCAGGCGGCGAGAAGAGCACCGTGTTGAAATCCGACGGATCTGGTGAAGTCCTGCAGACCTGCGGCAGTGCCACAGAGCCCGTTCGTTGCCCTCGAAGCCATCGGCTTTGGCCCTGAAGATCGCTTTCGCGGTCTTTCCTGTTCCCGAATAGGTGGCAGAACGTCCATACTCGCCAGATGGCTGCATCGACACGTCCAGCCCGAGTGTCGTAAGGGTCACGGAGGTCAATCACAATGTCTCGGCTTAGTAGGGGCTCGCAGAAATCATGGAGCAGAAATTTTATTCTCGCAAGCTGCATAAGATCCCAAGTATAGTGGCGGAGGTATAGATTGGCTGCTAAGGCTCGGCTTTCAGGGTTCCCGGCATCGCATTGGATCTCTTTGATCTGGCGGAGTTCCCATGCGGGAGGTGAATTTTTCTTCAGGGTATTTTTCATAAGCCCTAGTTCATCAGACTTAAATGCCAAGTAAGAAGCTTTGTTCACGAGTGCCAGGGAAAAAAGATCGGGCAGGTCATCAACCTCCTGCATAATGCGGTGGAAGATCGAGATTCTGGAGTGTGATGTCGGGTTAACGCTCCCAGGACACAAAGGTACGCCGTCCAGCTCGTGCAAGCTGCGGACAGGTTGACGTGAATGACAGTGGCCGCCCGACGAAATCCCATTGTGCTCGTGGGTTTGAACCCATGGTGATATGTGACTTGGGCCGTCGACCAGCTGGACCTGGGCGCCTTTGGCGAGGGAATTTGTTTGAGCCGAAGCCACGAGATTGTTGAGATATAAGGACATCCGTTCGTCCATAAGAACCGACAGAACACGCTTCATCCGGTTGACTGGAGTCGGAGGCGCGGTACCTGCCGGACGGGGCTGCCGATCTGGATGCGGGACAGGCCTCGTTGATAACATAGGAGGACTGAGTGTTGGTATTGCAGCACACGGTTGATCTGCCTTCGAGCCCTTACGTCGAAAGATTTTCGAGGGAATGAACCGCTGGAATGTACGGGCCAACAAGCCGACTTGGTCTTGTTCTGGCCTGGGGTTATGGCTTCTTTCCACCTGAGGAATTGGCGACCGCCAGGTCGAGACTGATGCTGCAGTCGTGGTATCTAGCATCAAAGATGTTGCGGCTTTGTTCTTGCTATCTTCCGCGGGGCCACGCAACTGGCCAGATGACCCTTTGACATCTAGCCGGAAGACACAGACGGCGGAACTATTAGATAAATGAGCCGGGCCCCGGCTCATGGGCAATAAGTGGTGTGGCCGCTCAAGCCCAGGCGTTGGAAGGTCCTTTTCCGACAATGGAGAAACTGGAGAAAGGTCCGAGGTCTGCTTTGGCATAGGTGTAGTCACCTTGGGCACTCTTGGCTTCCTCGAGAGGGGCGGCAGCTCGGGAAGGGGTTTATTGACGGGCTGCTTGTTCACGAGCTGAGTGTAGCTCGGGGGCTGGACATGTGGGCGCGTTGGTTCTACGCTCTTCGTCGGACGGAGGGGCCTCGGTGCAAGGTCTTCGTAGTGATAAGAAGGGTATACTTTGCCATATGCTGGGGGTGCCATGATGGATTCTTGCTCGAGCAGCGTCAGACTAGAGGCGATAGATGTTGCTTTGATGGACGGACTATCAATGTCGATGGCGGTGCTGACACTGCTTGGGATCCGAATATGGTTTTTTGTTTCGACCGGCGTTAGTGAGTCGTTTCGCTTGCCGTCCTGCTGGTAGAATCGTTCGTATGGACCAGCCATTATGCAGACATCAAAGTGGGTTGAAGAAGTGATTAAAAGGTCAAGAAAACGAAACAAAAGATGGTATCTAGGTGTAGAATGGAGGGTACGTGATATACACAAGATCTCGTCCTAGATTAATTTAAGCTGTCCGACCCCAACGAGGGTATCACACCCTTTTTTTTTTCTTTCGCCCGTGAACAATCACTTTCCTTGATTGACATTGTCCATATGCCGTTTTGGATATGGCACGGGTACATTCACCTGCATTGCGCCACTCCTGTCACCAGGGCGCATCGCCAACGATGGACCACATTGTCAGCCCCCATTAGCTGCCTAGTAATAGAATAAACAAGCATACAGTTAGTTTGTCTCCCACGCAACCGGGTATCTGCCCGGCTAAGCTTGAGCGTCTCTCAAGTCGACCCCAGGGGATGTTGGCTGAGCTTACCGTTCGCCCAGCACACTGCATTAAGTTCATGCACAATACTGCGCTAAGTAGGGTTACCACGTCGCGCCCTGCCACCCGATCATCGCGCCTGGTGAGACACGAAGCAGAAGTGTTAGTTTTGATTGGCTGGTGGGCTGTAAAAATAACCGTGGGGGCCGTGCGGTCCCCGGCCCGTACCTCTCAGCCCCAGTCTCCACTCTCATACCTCTTGACCCTCGTTGGTAAGAATGCGCGAGGGTTCACTCGGACTCATGTAGGTAAGCAGCTTGCATGAGATTGACTTCCGGACATGTCGGTTGCCCTGTCTCACCGACCACCAACATACCGAGGAGTATGACGCATTACCCCTTTCTGGATACACGAGCAATTTATCACGCAGATCGTCACTGTGTGCTAGAAAGGGGCGAGCTGACCCCGCCAAACGCCCTATGAACGGTCGGTTGGATGCAGGATGCGCAGAGAATAGCCTTCAGCTGTGTCAACTCCTGCCGCTGTAGCCTCAGTCTGTACGCAGCACCCGGCGAGTCATTCCTTGTCTGAATCCAGACGCTCTTCTGGACAATTACTCACGAGGCAATTTGCTTCACACGGGGCTACTCTACCAATACGCGTTCGCTTTCATGTTGGATTTGGAGAGTGGTACCTACAGTGCCATGGCCATCCGTTGGGTTTGAGCCTAGTGCCAATATTCATTCTTATATAACTCTCGCTTCGGTGTCTTGTTTTGGATATGATTGCGACCCAGCTGGGTGTCTTGGAAAGCTATGTTTTAGCAGCATTATGGTCCGCACAATGGCCTGGGTACCTAATGCAGCCTTCGCCATCTCATCCCGCTTATCAGCTCACAGTCGTGATCATCCCTTGACCATGGCGACACCCCTTGCCTTTCCGGTACGATTGAAAGTTGCTCACAGTATTCATAGTGTGGGCCGCTTGTAGGGAAGGCATCTGACACTACTACCTACTAGGCTCCAACCGTACCTACATACTTTCTGAAACACACCAAAGCTCATGAGACTTAGTCTATTTGACAATTGCCGAGCTGCATGCGGACCTGTGCCTGTTTCATGCCGTAGGTACCTGCATATTGAAGTGGAACCCCAAGCTAAACCCCAACACAAAACAGATATGGCGCATATTACTGGGCCAAGATGGAATGAAGGGGTAGGAAAACGGGAAAGCTCGTGCCCAACAATGGTCCTTGTCATTGCTCATGATTCTAACCAGTACAGGCAAGGTTTATCCCAAGGTTGCTGCCTGTTCCCTGCTCGATTCTATGCCTATCCCCATAACGAATATCAGACAGCCTACGCGTTAAGATGTCCAGCAATCCCTATCCTTTCCAGACTATCAGACATCTCACCATCCATCCTTTTCATATCACACCCACTGACCCATCGAATAATCCTTTCCCTCTCTCACCCTGTCCACCATGAAACTACCCTTCTCGTACATCCTCAACCTCCTGCTCACCCTCCTCACCACCAACCCCCACTTCCCGAATCCAAACCCCTGCACCGGCGACTGCTGGACGCACGAGCCGGGCCTCATCAGCCGCCCCAGCGACAACCAATACTTCCGCTTCGCCACGGGCTCGGGAATCCACATCCACAGCGCACCCTCCCTCTCGGGCCCCTGGAAGTCCGTCGGAGAAGCCCTCTCCAACGGCTCCGTAATCGACCATCAAGGACGAAGGAACCTCTGGGCTCCGGACGTGCACTATGACACCTCAACCAATATGTACCATATGTACTATACCGTCTCAACAATTGGGTCACGCGATAGCGTGATAGGCCTTGCCTCCTCGCCTGACATGGCGCCCGAGAGCTGGACGGACCACGGCGCGGTGTTTCGGTCCACGAATAACGATCGCTATAACGCTGTCGATTCGAACTGGGTCCGGATTCACGGCAAGCCATATCTCAATTTCGGGTCTTCTTGGGATGGGCTGTTCCAGGTGCCGTTATCGCTGTCATTGATGAAGGATCTTAAAGAGGGGACGGGAGGACTCGCTACGCACGCTGTTCAGGATGCACTGAGTCATCTGGCGTCCAATGCAACGGGCCACCACCGTATCGAAGCACCGTTTCTATTTCAGCATCGAAGGTGGTATTACCTTCTCCTCTCGTCGGGCCGGGCAGATGCCTCTGAGAAGAATCTGCCGGCACAGGGAGAGGAAAACAGGATTATGGTATGTCGGTCGAAGAATGGAAGGGGCGAGTTTGTAAGTTTCCCATCGTCTTGCTTTGCTCCTTACTGTTCTCTTAGTTGACAATCTCAACAGGTGGATAAAGACGGGAAATCCTGCCGTGAGAGTGGAGGTACGACTTTACTCGCGTCTCACGATGCTATCTTTGGCCCTGGAGGTCAGGGGGTTATTGAGGATAAAGAGTACGGCCTGGTACTCTATTATCATTATGCGGATAGGAGCCTTGGTCTGTCGACTGAGCAGTATCGGTTTGGGTGGAATGTCCTGCGGTGGGAGGACGATTGGCCAGTGGTGTGAAGGACGTCTGCGATCTGCGACCAGGGCATGTCCTGGATGTAACGGCTTTCTGTTTGCGGACGTTTTCGAGAAATCCGTTGTACCCATGTAGTCTTCTTTTCCAGATACCTTGGGGTGGGTACAGTTCCCCCATATCAGCCCGGGCCTATACTACTGGAACTTTAAAGAATAGAAAAGTCTCCAGACAAACTTCAAGCATCCCCCTGAGCGTAATCTTCCCCCATGGAATTTCATCTCTTCCCCAAGCTCCCCGCAGAACTTCGCCTCGAAATCTGGCGCCTCTGCCTACCACACCTGGTCCTCGAGCTTGACAACCCCTTTAGCATCGTGGTTTACATACGTCAACGCTACTTCCCCTGCATCCTCCAAAAGACAACTCAGATCAACGGCCACAAGCCCCTAATTGCCCTCGTCTGCCGCGAGGCCCGAGACGTAGCCTATAAAGCCGGCCACGAGTTCGATCCCACACCCGACAATCCCGTCGCCTGGGCGTCAGGCACCTCACTGTACCAGCGGCTGGATCCAGCGCGCGACACGGTCCATCTGAACTGGGAGCCCGCATACGGGGCGGACTACAACAGCAGCGGCGACCATCCCGTCGAATTCCTGGCGTGGGTTGCCTCCACCACCAAGCTTAATGGCGCCTCGTTCATGTTTGGCCAACTGTCCTCCGTCAACCACCCGCCGTCTCGGGTCCTCGCTCTACGGCCTTCCTGGAGGGTTGTGGTTTACGTGGTAGTCATACACGCGGGCCGCAAGGCAGGCGCGGAATCAGAGCTATTCGGGCTTCTGGGTGATGCGCACATGCAGATCATTGATGTTGCGAGTCGAGACAGGGTCGACGCGTACTTTCGACTTTTCGAGGCATGCAGGGGCAATGATCCATGCCCGCAGGATATTTCAAGGGAATTGGTTAAGGCGGTGCCCGCGCGACTACGGGAGAGGATAGCTAAGGTATTCTGGAAGGAGGGGGCACCTCCAACTCTGCTGGTACCGGCTATCATGTTTCGCTTTTATACGGGGCGGCGCTATCGTACTGGGGCGCGGGAGCTGGAGAGTTGGGATGCGCGAGAGGAGCGGAGGAAAACGAACCCTTCGCCTCCGTCGGACTTGAATCGGGGACGGGGAAGGGGACGGCGGCGGGTGGTTTGTCCGGGTCCTAGTGAATAATCTTCCAAAATCCCCGGAGAATGGCCACTTCCCGGAATTCCGGGGGCTTCACCGGGAATCGGCACTCGTTTGGAATACAAACAGGCATAGCCAGACATACCTATTCATAGACATGTTTGTCAAGTGGCAGGTGCCTTTTCTTAAAAATAAACTTCCGGCCGATCCCGCCCCGCCGACTCCCGCTCCGCCCCTCCGGCCCGACCCAATCATGTCCGACCTCGGAGAGGCTGCCAAGCTTACCTATGGACTAAAGTCAGCTGTTTACCTATACAAGAGCCTACTGGACTACATTTGGGCAGGAGTTGAGGTTGGCGATAAACAACTGAGTTCAAACTTAGCAAGATGTGCCTGCTAGGTACATGCAAAACAATTCGAGGTAGAAGATGACGGTAAACCCATCTACGTGCCTATGCATGCATTGCGCAAAGCGCCGAGGTAGACGTGCCGATGGAGCCCTGTGTCCATTACGAATCATTCCGATGTGGGAAATCAAGTGTCGCCCCATGCCCCACGCGCTCTTCTATCCAGCGCTTAACGTCCACCATCGAAGAACACATGCCTGAAATCTGGAAGTCGCTATGGCCGCACAAGCCCGCCGCTCCGCCGTAAAGGAGACCACAGATCCGTCCCTCCCTGTCAATGATGCCAGACCCCGAATCGCCGTCCAGGGAAAACACCCCTTGGATTCGCCCTCTCGGCCCGACGTTTTCTTTCGTGATTACCCATTCCTCGGTAATCCCGTCGGTTATGGACTCATGCCTGGCCCCGTCTTTGCTGAAGCGCTGCCGGCGTTCCTGGGGCCATTTACAGTACGTTGAGACCCCGTTGCAGATCCCCCCCGTTACCTCCGTTGTCCTTCCGAATTTGCAATACCACTTGTCTTTAAGGAGAGGGCCAATTTCGTCGACCGTGGCGCCTGCCTCACGGGTCACTTGCTGAGGCGCATCATTGTCAGGGGCATCGTAGGGGCGATTTTCGCTTGAAACTCGGGGGAACAGGTTGATGAAGTTGGCTGGGCTGCCAGCGAACACTTCAGGGTCGAGCTCGATGAGAGCCCAGTCGGCGACCTTATTCTCTGCGATTGTGAGCCCGGAAGAGACAAGAGTTCTTCCCAGTTTCATGGGCATTCGATCCACGATCGCCAGTTGCTGGTTCAACTCTGCTACCGCCGTTGTTCGGCCAGCCAGTCTCTCCCTGGCCCCGTCTGAGACTCTAGCGCCGGCCATCTGGCAAGTCGCGATGTTCTGTTCCTCTTTTTTGAGTTCGGTTAGCTGATCCTTCAAGTATCTCTTGAGTGTCCATTTCGTCTTTTCAACGTCTCGTGGGGCGAACCACGAAACGTCCAAGGCCGTCTGGTTGGCGTTGCCCGGTGAGCTTCCGAATCGGGCGGCTGCTTCGATAATATCTTTATCGGCAGTGGTTGGAGGCCGTACGACATGGAAGTTGGTAAGGGCCCCGCGGATCGTGTTGCCCTGGTGTTGGAGGGTCACGAATGGGCCAAGCGTGCCTCCCCCCCTTTCCGGGAGGACGGTTATAGATGTGCCAGGAGCAGGGGTGCCACTTGTGCCCATGGATTCTACCAGGGAAACTCCGTCCGGGATCGTGTCGGGGTTGGCCGTGAAGATATAGCCGGGAATGAATTCTACGTCAATTCCCATGGCGTGTGAGTCATTATGGGGAAGTCGGAGTTTGATTTGGAGAGCCAAATCGTACCAGTCTTGGACACAGAAGGGGCTCACGAATACCACAATTGTAGGGGTGCTCTTGTGCTTTACAAGACCGAGTCTGAACAGCGACAAGAGACACCACTCGTTGCGCACCTGGCGGTCGACCAGCTCGAGGATACGGCGCTTTGCGGTCTCGTATATTGCGACTGCCGGATGATTGCTCGGGATTGCGAATAGCGAAGGCTGGAAGCATTTATCCAGAAACACAATCTCTACCTCGACGTCTCGAATTTCATGTCCGCGAATGAGCTGGTATATGGCGTCCTTGGTCGGGCCCAGTTCTCCCGGTATATGCGGAGCGCCGCTGAAGACCAGACGGAGAACTGTAGTGGCGCGGCTCCCAAGGGGGTAATTAGGCTTGGTTACGTTCTCTACCTGAAAGTGAAAGCTGTGGTGGTCGATGGGAAATCCATCGTCCTGCATGATTTGCAGGATAGGGGCCTTTAGAGCTTCGACTTGCCGCACGGTGGACGGCTCCGCGGGCGTTATCGTCAGAGGATAAGGCCACGGTGGGCGCATCGTGGTCGTTCTGTACCGATCACTATTATTGAGGTAGTCCTCAATACTAAGTTGCCCCTGGACTTCATCGGATGAGCGCTGCTCTCTTCTCCGCTTGCGGGGAGAGTCGGGGGGCGTGGGGAGGGCGTGAGTGGACGGGTGGAGGATCGGGCTCATAGGATCCATGATGACGATGGAGGGTTTGGCGTTGGAGGTATTCGGAGAGGAGATGAAGAGATAGAAGGCTGAAATTGGCGACGGGTGAGTCGCGGAATAATAGTAGTATTCGTACCTAGTTAGATAGGAGCCGATTGTCTGAATGATTCGACTTGGTAGCGGTAGGGTAAGTTCTTGATCTCGGAAAAGACCACGAGGAGTAGGGAGCAGTATGAGTCAAAGGACTGAGAAGGAATCGAGTTGGTATTTAAGCCTGCCATTCGACGGAGGAGACTTCCGCAGGCAAGTGAAAAGCTCTCTCGCGGACTCGAAGTCCCAAAGTTTATCCACGATGACTGTAACACTCTGTTGACAATTGGGAAGGCCTCGAATTACCATTCACAGGCACTGCTCAAGTCACCTGGGCTGGACAGCATTCACCCCGGCCCCGGGGCCCTTGTTGGCTTGCAGCATGCTCCCGTTCGTGCTCATTCACCACGGACCTCTGACCCGGAGGGACACACGAGCTTAGGCAAGGTTAATGATGTACCGAGCTAGGCTTACGTTCCTTAGTTAAAAGCTACTTGAGGCTTTTTGATGAGTTTGGGCTCTTGTTTCGGATCGGGGGTGTTTGACAACTGGGACTGCTGGCAGAGAAGGATGTACTCTGTGACTGCAGGTGGGATTGGGGCGGCAGTTTGGACGACGGTTTTCCTGTGGCAGACCGGAATGACTGGAGGCTGTGAAGACGGCTGTGGAGGTACTCGAGAGGGTGGGAGGTGTTGGAGTATAGTGACAGGCTATATAGTCAATTGGCTTTGCTGGTCTGGTGGTATGCCGACAGATTTCATATCCGTAGCCATTTAACTTCGCATGCTGTGCCTGAAATTGCTATCTGTGAGTTTATTCCGGTGGAGCGTGTGAGATGCATATGTCCATTGGATAGTTAGATTCGATCTTCTTTCAAGCTACTATGGGTGTAAATGTACGCCTATATAGATGAGTCTACTTCGCAAAAGTAGTGGAAGGGGAGTCTGTTAATAAAGGCTAGGCAGGCTAAATTCAACTATATTCCATGCTTACCTATCCTCGGTACTATATTACCATAGTAATCTCCTTGAATTTCTGTCTCTACTGAGCTGTCGTAGGTTAATAACTTAACATCCAGACCCAGCACCCAGTCTCCATGCTTATCTGCAGCAGGCGGCGTAAAGAACTTCTTCCCCAGGGCATTCCCACGGTGATTAAGCTTAAATACAGTAGACTCGCTGTCTTTTCCTTGGATTTGAATCTTGTCAGGTACCATAATACACTTGGCAATATGCGGCCGGTTTCTTTTTAAACTAGGAAAAGTCACTCCTACAGCAAGCATTAATCCAGTTCCAGCAATGTCAAGGCCCGAGCTGGGGCTACCTGCCCCCGATCCTGTCGCGGCTTCCCGAGTTCATGGCCGGGGTCGTTTGTGGAGCCCTTGTACGGAGTATGACCACGCCGTCCACGGCTAGGTAGGAACCCGCTGAAAAGACCCCGGGAGGCTCAACCTCCACTCCCTCAAGATTGACAACGAGAACTACCCTCGGTGGTACATACCCACAAGCCTACGCAGCCAGATTCATAGCTCAGAAGTGCGTTGGGTAGTTCGGGTGCCCGACGTCTCACGCCATAGCACTACGACTTCCAAAAACTATATTTTCTACCCCTGGTACATGTTGACGTGTCCCGGACTTCCGCCATGAGAACCAATCGCCAGGGTGCATTGACCTTGTTAAAAATACCCTTTTCTGCTGTTCGGACATCCACAGCTTCAGATGATATCGACTGCTTCTGCCCAGCCATCCCTGTGCTTTTGCTAAAGCCGTTCTCCGGATTTCTACTGGGCTGCCATCGCTGCAATATACCCTTACTCAATCTCATAGCACCTCGCCGCAAACGCCGCGCCGCCGCCCGCTAGAATCGGGTTGACCTCGGGCTCGTCCTCCGTAACTGGTGTCAGCGCATTGTGGCATAGTTGACTGTTCCGGCCTCTGTTAGGACACCATCGCACCTAGACTCTTTGGTGACTTACGTATACAGATAGCAGTACGTCGGGACGGTAAGTGTCTCCATCAGGAGTTTCACGTATGAAGACCTGCGCAGGTGGTACTCAGCTATGCATATGTCCACCGAATAGGTGGAGAAAGGTATGCTCACCGGAAGGGAAGCGCATAGCAAGGCTGGTCCTTAGGAAGAAGAGACGTATCGACATATGGGATATCGACTATTTCGACGCGGGGCTCGCTGCCGTTCAGGAGCCGGGTTTCTGTGAGTTCCTGACAGTGTGCGATCAGCATTCTTTGTTCTCTGTAGGAATCAAGCAGTGCGCTTCATAAACTCACGAGTTGGACTGAAAAGGCTCCGGGAAGCGATCCAAGCAAAGCCAGCGGCAGAAAAGCGGTAGGTCTCATGGTTAAGCAGTGGGCAGGACGGATGGTCGAGGGAATAGATACAAGTCTCAAGAAGTATGGGTGTTCATGGCTTATATACCTCGTCCAGTGCATTGTCTCGTTGGCTGCGCAAGCGCAGCATACATATTCTTCCGGTTAGAGGGCACGGCGCAGGTGGATATTTGACCGGCATCAAGGTAGTGCTTATTCAACTGCATGTAGTCTCCAAATTTCCATTAATAGTATCGTGCCTGACTCGGTCTTATCAAGCTGATGGACTGTGAGCCAATCGATAATGATTAGGGCAGCCCAGCCAAGCAATGCCACTTCATCAGGCGGATACGATTGTACGTCGGTACCTTGAAATCTAAGCAACTTCCACTCTCGGAAGTCCTCCGGCGATTCCAAGTCAATGATCTCTTTCAGGTCGCAAAGTTTCAAGGATGTCGAACGTTTGATTAGCAACCCTAATTCGCTGGACCTCAACGCCGTGGATGGCGTAGTGGGGCCTTGCCGGGCCGGTCCCTGGCCCCACCCACACACGGCTCAAGGGCTCCACTACGATGACCACGCCTCTCAACCACAAATGAGGTTTGAGCAGCCCTCCCTTGCGCTTCTAAGGATATTCAAATGCGATATACCATTGATACTAACTGTCCTCGTTTCTAGAGCTGTAAAGCCACGATCTGAGAAGCAGTGCAACGCAAATCCGTGGGTCGCGCATAAGATCGGAAAGCCGCAAATAGCCGCAGCCGTCACCGTACATACTACCCACCGGGCAACTGCTACGCTGACGCTGGCTATTCGCTGCACTTGTCCTTGACTTATCGATTGATCGCACCCCTAGGGCGCCCCATCCTCATTCACCAATGGAGGCACCGTTGACTTCTGGAGCCCCGGATTCAACAGATTGCGATCACAGTGACGTAGTCCTTAGAGAGTTAACGACAGACCGGGTTATCCCAAGCACAATGCGGCTCACGAGCTGGCCCGGTATAAATTAGAATTACGTGCTGAGTTCTTCAAGGTGTGAGACCGAGATGTCGCGCAAGGCAAGGCGGATTCCAATCAACGCGCTGTGCGGCACACCACCTCTGCCCAGCGAGACCCTACTGGTCGTACTTTCCTCTATCAGCTTCCTTGTGTGACCCTCATACCTACCGTATATGATCTCCGCCTGTCCACAGCAATTAGAGCTAAATATTCGTCTCCCACATCTTCACATTCCGATCCCGCCGTCGCCAGTAGTCGCTGGAAGGCCATTTAGCACAAGGCTTATTGAAATAGGTTTGTCCGGACACGTCAGCTGTGGTTAATGACTGTTGTATCTGCTGTAGGAGCAAATCCATAGCTGCCGTCGGTAAACTCGGGCAAGTCATTAAGACAGGGGCCAATGAAAACCGGACGGTGCCTCTGACTTTACGCCGAGGTCAATGTTAAGGACGAACTTGCCTACTCCCAGAGTTGTAAGGACAGTCCATTGGTATAGAAGAGATCGGGGGCACGGTTCCGGTTGTCCCATGCACTACTCATTTCAATATATTGTACGTATTATATGGGGGAGGCTCGACGTTCTCTTCTTTCCGAGGGTAGCATTTGACGGGATGGGTGTTTCACCTCTCGAGGTTAAGGATTATGATGGACGTTGGAGATCTTCATCACCATGAAGACCATTAAAAACACTCTTCCACAGTGTCCTTGTTGCAGAATAGGCGGAGGTGCTCTTCAAGGAGGAATATAATCTTTTCTTCCACTTCATCGCGAAACTTATCTTCTCCAAGAGACGTGCAAGCGGCATCCAGGCCGAACACGCATCTCTGCACCGCGGTGACGTAGATTGCCCCCGCAATATCCATCGACTTGATGAGACGCTTTGCAGTCACTAAGTCTGAGATTTCCTGCAGGGTAAATCAGCATACCAGAGAATGATTCTAACGCGGTCAGCACGTACAGGGGGAGCCATGGACCTCTCGTCATTGGTCTTCAACTGCGCAAATGGCATCCAGTGCCATAGCTCAATGAGAACTATTCCTAGCGCGAAAAGACAGGGTGCGGCGGGAATAATGGAGGGTGCACATCTTCTTGGCTCGGTGCGACTCGGGTCATTTGCGCCAAAGATAAGTTGGATAAATGGGTCTGTGACTTTGACGGTTCCGTCGGGTTGCTGTAACAGGAGAATATCCTGCGCGTCCCAAGTATCTGAAAGCCAGTGGCTGGAGTGTAGCTGCATGACCGATGATGCTAGCTTCAATCCCAGCTTCGACCTGAGGCCGTGGCTTGGTGATTTGTGCGCGATAAATGCCCGTGAGAGGGATATTGTGGGTGGCCGTCCTTTGCCCATGTTGACGACATGCGGTTGTTGAATATCGCGCAGGCGATGTTTCCTTTTCGTGCCATTGCTGATAAAACCTAACCAGTCGTTGGACGTTGTTGGCGTGGTAACGAGTATACATAAATCCTGAATCTCTGCGCAACTCTGGCTCGGTTTATTGGTATTGAGAGTGTTCACTGCAAATACCACTTGTTTGGGCGAGCGTACGCTGTGCAGAAGAGAGGAAAATCTCGAACTGGTCTTCTGCTGCGGTATTTTCGGATGACCGGAAGCAGCTAGCACATTCTCAGTGTCATCCCAGTCCTCCAACTCTAACTCTCGCCAGAGACCCGATGGGTCATGCACAGATGCTGGTTGGGTCAAGGAGAAGACGGTATGGAAGGAACTCGACTTTCTGGCTTGTTTGGCGCCCCGAAACTCCAATCTGATGTTGACCTCATGGTTCAGCATGCAGTTGCACGTCGGAGGAGTCGGGAACTTTGATCGAAGGGTATGATAGAGGTCGATGGCATGGTCTCGAATCCGCTTGTAGTGTCTCGTCGATTTATAGCGTGATCGGCGGGTCGGGGCCGTCGGTTGGACTTGGTCGGTGAGCCGTGCGAGGAAAGTGTTGAGCCGACTTGCGGTCTTCAGGTGCTCTGTAATCCTGTCACGGTTAATCACAAAAACAAGCTTCTTCCACTGTCGGTGTCGGGTTTTGCGGTCCAGAAGCTCTGGCGTGGTATCCTGGTCGACTCCGACAGATTCGCTGATCTTGGCGAGGTCTTCGCGCATGTCCTCGACGGTCTCCAGAAAGCGTTGGACTGACTCCAGATCAAGGATGTCTGACCTCAACCAAGAGCCTTCCGTCCAGCGTGGATGTTGAGGGTCTCGCATCATGCGGTCCACCTCGTCGGTGGTGAGATCCGATCGGAGAGTGAGATCCTCCAGGAAGCGCTGGCAAGAGTTGCGGAATGTGACTTGCTCACGGCCTAGGTCGCGGACGATTCGCTTGAGGACATGTTGGTAGTGGAGAAAGTCCTTGGCCACCCCCTTCTCCTCGGCATAGAATTTGAGGGCCTCGACGAGGATGGGGAAGAGGGCAAGAGCGAGCCCAGCGACTTCGAAGCCGGTTGCCATGACGGCGCAGGTGCAGAGAAGAAGTGTGTGTGAAGGAAGGAGGGGCCATGAAGGAAGCAGGCAAGACTGGTGAGACGAGGCTGGGCCCTTGCACATACCCCGCGTCTTGTCTCCCTCCTCCAGCCTCGTCTGCCACAACTCGCTTTCTGCCATCCAGTTCACAGCACAACTTCAATCTACAATGTCCGATGACAAAATTGTCTCAGAACGTGCCAATCAACGTTTTCCACAATCCGGAACGTCAATAAATTCTCTACTCGTTGCATGCACTCGCGGCTTTGCTTCCGCTCTCAAGCCCCAGTTATACAACCATGCAGACTACGGAAACTCCTCCGTTGACCTCCAAGAAGAGCTGGGACGGCTTCAACTGTGGGCTGGAAATCTTGGTGCCCATCGCAGGCCGCGGGACAGACTATCGCTCGATCACCGCTTGAGAGAGGCCCCCGAGTTGCATAAGCTCGTTTGCGAACATCTGTCGGATATACGCGAATCCCTACAGGCCGGTATTCTACCATGGCAATCGAATACCAACTGATCGCTGATTTTGACTAGTGAATACAACTGTAAGCTCTGGAGGGGTCGCCTCTGCGTATCAGGAAACTCAGTCTCCTCTCCCAGACTCGGACGATTCAGATTGGGATGAACTCATATCAGCAATGAGAAGTGCAAGTGGCAGCGTCTCAGCCTTACATGACCATCTGGTTGACATAGACCATGCCGTCACAAGTCTGTATGTATCCTTGGGGTCAATTCGCGGCCACAAAGCTGACGCAAGGCAGTTACAAATTCTCTGTGACGCTCGCAAATCCGGCAAGAAGAGACGTATCAGCAAAGGCGGCCAGCATTACACTAGGCTTCGACGTAAACTACGATATTCGGCATGCGGCGCAGAAGTTTGGGTTATCGGAGGATTGCGATTTGGCACAGCGCTTGGGCAAGGCTAACATGAAACGTCGCCAGATGCTTGCTTACCACAGGCAACACGACAGCAAGATTTCGAAGCATGCGCATGCTTTTTTCGATGAGCACGTCGCCCAGGATACGAATAATATACTGGACGCTACTTTTTACCAACACTCCCCTGCTGTCAATATTGCTGTTAGTGTCCCTGGTGTGAAGAGCACCAAGTCCACTGAGTGGACACAGGACACCACTGTTTCCACAGTTCTTAACCACGACATTCTTGAAACTGCTTCAGATACAGAACGAACAGTCTTCTCGGACACCGGCTCAACCGCCGATCACACAGTTCCTCAGTCCAGAATCCCCTTGCCCCCTTTATCGGACACAGTTGTCGAACAAACTCCATTCATTTGCCCTATATGCTGCCAATGGATCGTGCTGAAGAACCTCACCAGAGACTGGGAACTTCATGTATACAGTGACTTACAACCGTATATATGCATGTTTGGAGATTGCGTCCAGAGCGATCAACTCTATGGCAGCTATAGGGAATGGAGCGAGCATGAGCGCCAATTCCACCGCCTTGAATGGCTGTGCGTGTTTTGTTCTAAGCCATACGATTCTAAAAACGGGTTATCGATGCACATTCAGCGCGAGCACGCGGACGTCATTCCAGAAAGTCAGTTACAGCTTCTTACAGACGTTTCGAAACGGCCATCAAGCAGAGCTCATCAATGTCCCTTGTGTACCAAGCCTCCCATATCTGACCCCGAAACATTCCAGTTTCATCTAGCCCGTCATCTGCAACAGTTGGCTTTGTTCATTTTGACTCCTTACGATACCGACGTCCTGTCCGGCTCTGACAATCAGTCGTTCCAAGACGCATCGGATAGAAGGGAAAGATCCGACAAGGTGGATGAGCAAGATTGGCTGGATGGACTGGATGACATGGATAAGTTGAAGAGGCTCGATGAGACGGATGATATGAGTGAGACGAATGAGACGTATGATATGGATGAGATGAGTGAGATGGATGATATGAATGAGACGAATGAGACGGAAGGGCCTGGTGAGCTGAGTGAATCGGATGACCCAAAGAGCACCGCCAGCACGGCACTCGCACGCTTCAAGGAGGGGCTCCACAAACACAGTGTACAATCATCGGCTGTTCATGCGAAGTTCATCCCTATAGCCCATGTTCACCATCTAGTGAGAAAGCACTTGCTAGCTATCCTTCGTGAGGAGTCGATAGTTCAGGCCGAGAGCACCTCTCGGTTCGGCAGGATAATCGAGAAGGAGGCACCAAAGGTCTTCACGATTTTAGCGCAGGTGAATCGTGAACGGTGGATAATTGAATTTTTGAATGAGGGGATACGGGACAGCAATTTACCCTTCATGCCGGCCTCAACCTCCAGCAGCATGCCTCTAGCCCTTGTCACCAGGCAAGGCGAACCGATCCGAGCATTGGAAACCTGGGACAACAAAACGATCAGAAAGTTGTGTAGGAAGCAGTATTGCGTGCTGAGTCCTGTCTTTAGCAGGGGAAAACACTACAACCTGAACAACTTACACATCCTTCCCTTCATGAAGAAGGAGACCGAGGAAGCTCGAGCGCATCAGGCACGGGCCGCAGGGGGGTATGGAGAAGTGTACCGAGAGTACATCCATCCGAACCATCATACCTTCGAAACCTCTTCGCCGAACAATGTAAGCATCGCCTGAAAGGTCTTTCGAATCTTTTACCAAAGCTAATAAGTGCGTCATCTCCAGGAACTGGTTGTTGCTGTCAAGCCCTTATCCAGGGATCAGGACTTTGAGCTCGAGAGCAAGGTTTATCGCGACTTGGATCCACCTGGCCATCCCAACTTGGTTCAACTCTTGTTCACTTTCCGCATGGAGGACAAGTACTCTTGCGTCTTTCCGTGGGCCGACGGAAGCTTGAGGGATTATTGGGAGCGATATCCAAGTCCAGAGCACAATTCTGACGTTATCATCTGGTCCCTGACACAGATGGCGGGAATTGCGAATGGGCTGGCCGTTTTACATAATGTCATGGATCCAGCGCCAGGGAAGTCTCGCTACGGTCATGGAGACATAAAGGCACAGAATATCCTCTGGTTCCGTGATCCAAAGGTGCTGAAGATATCCGGCTTAGGGCTAGTTAGTGTGCGCGGCAGAGACTCTCCCATCCACCTCAGCACAGTCGTTGAATCGCCCACATACTCACCCCCAGACAAGCAAAGAGGGCATATCGTCGGGGCCAAGTCGGATATTTGGATGCTTGGATGCTTGTACCTCGAGTTTGTCACCTACCTTGTTCTCGGAAACCCAGCTATTCAGTTCTTCTCTGAACAGCGACAAGAACCGGACTCCGAAATCCCCGAGTTATCAAGTGACAGGTTCTATTCGGCGGACTACGAGAGCGTCAAGCCGTCCGTTACCCTTTGGGTCAAGTACCTGAAGCAACAAGCGCGCTGCTCCAGCCTCATACACGACATCTTGGACCTCGTGATGAACGAGATGATTCTCATCCACCCTGGTTCCAGAAGCACGTCGGCGGAGATCTCCGCGACCTTGGACGGCTTACTTCAACGCGCCAAGGAGGACGACAAATACCTTCTGGAGAGGAAAGTTGGCGTTCAAAATGCACCGGTCGGTCTAGCTACTCGTCCAGCAAAGTCACTGCGGTCACGGCACCAATGACTGCCTACGTATAATCATCATCCATCCTCCTTACTTTAATTTACATCCTTGCATTTGTTTCGGAATACCATGAAGCCATTGATATTGTCCACTCAGGCTCCATCATCCAAGACCAACATGAAAAGCTGTGCTTTGTATATACCCTTGCTGAGGCTTAGTACCTAGTCCGCGGCTTGTGTCTTGTTTGCAATAAGGTCTATATAGATATACCCCATTGTCCTGGAACTCATCCACATATTACTCTAGACGATAACTTCCATTTGATATGCCGCCCGTTCACCTGGTCTATCTTTCTACAATCCATGGACCTTGTCCTTACCTACCTCATTCGGACATGCTCAGATCACCGGGATCGGACCCACCCAATCGCCCCACCCAGCGCACATTGGAGTTGGACCCACCCTGGAAGATATAGTGGCCCTCTTGGACAATTTCATCAAGTTTGCAATCTAACTAAGACCCCTTTTGACTGCTTTAGATGGCTAAGTGTATTATTCATATGCTTGACCTTTCTTCGGTATTCTCTACGGTCAAGGCGGCGAAACTGCTGCTGATGCAGGGTTGGAAGCTCCTGATACCATAGTGGGAAGCTATGACGCTACCTAGGAAGAATGCTAGATGGCTAGCTTGTACTGCCTACACAGAGAGAAGATATTATGCTGCTCAATTCAGTATACCTTCTGGCTTCCTGTTCGTCTGCCTCTGGGAATAGGGTTATGCTCATTCAAACTGGCCCACCTGCTTGCGTTCGTGTCTTGACTGGTCCAGACGATCCTTCTGTCGATATACCCCAGCGGAAGTTGAGCGCTCGACGCTATGCATAAGGCCACGCCCAAGACCTACCTGGACTTGCCGGGAATAACGAGGACGTCGATTTGATGCCTCTCTATCATTGTCCACATCCGCCCTACTCCACCACCTAGTATGGTAGTGAGCATATTCTTGCGTGGGGCTATCTGGCTTGTATATGTCTTGTAACGGGAAATGTGGGTGACCATTCGGCTGACGTTGTAGGTAGATAAGGAAACAAGGGTTTCGGCATCGCTTTTCATCTTTGCTGGTGGAGAAAGGTTAGCCTTGTTCTTGTCTTCTTTGCGGTCGTTGCCCGAGAAAGGTCGTCTCTGGACAGCCGTCCAGACGCCCATTAGGCTTTTATTGTTGCTTTACTAGTTGAACAGACTCGGCGGTTTGACTCTCCATGAGCAAAGGTCCCGATCCTAGGTAGGTTTATCTCTCAGCACAAACAAGTACGTAGGTATCGAGCGGTTGCTGGAGGCCGATCGTCGGAAATCCCCAATTCAAAGCCCACGGCGGCGGAGGCGCACGCACAAAGAGCAGGAAATACAACTGCCGGCAATGGGTCTATAGAGCCGAGGCTGCAGAGGAGATCTGTATTATCGAACCGAACGTCGGAGGAGGAGCAATCGGCGATTACGAGGAGGGAAGGCAGGGGCCGAGCTTTGGACCTACCATAGTCGGAGCAAGGATGAAGGACGCTTGGATGCCAATGAGGCCCTGGGTTGGTTTTCCTGCAGGATTGAACGTATTAGCCAGTTATTTGTGAGTGTAACCGGAAATCGAAGGTAAAGCAACAACACAACGGACAACCACAAGAAGACGGAGCCGGCACACTAGGTAAGCTAAAGGGGATGGGAAGAGAAGGGAGATAAAGAGGTTTTTATAGCTGGCTTATGGTCATGGGATAGGGTTATCTGTTCAAGCGGGACAGAAAAGGAAGTGAGACACCCCTGGGCCAGCTGGAGCTGTCCTCCTTTCAGGCGGCAGTGGTTTTCAGGTTTCAGGTGAGTTCTCGGCAGTGGCAACCTGGGTTACGACGTAAGTACAGTAGTATCTAGCATGAAGCCATGCGCCTAGGATGAGTACAGAAAGCATCTTTCATACTGCCTCGTTTTCAACCCTCCTACCGTATCCTACCTCCCTTCAGTTGCTGTAGTCACCAAGTACCTAAGCCCATCAACGACCTCCACCAGTCCGTCCTTCCTGCTACCTACCCTTCTGGTCCCATAAACTCCTCACCGTAACTTCATCCTGCCACGCCCAATCTTCCTCTTCAGGACTATCCTGGACCACAAACCGAACCTCCTTCTTCTGGCCAGGCACAAGCAGGAATGCGTTCTCCGTAAAGTATCCCACCAGTCCGGCGGGATAGTCGAGCCATGTGTACAGAGAAACGCCGGCCTTTGCTTCGACTGTGAAGGTCCCGCTTTGAGCATCGTAAGAGAGTTCGAGCTGCGGATCGACAAGGGCCAGGTCCTTTGGGGACGATGGGGTGAAGTAGTTCTCGTGGGTCAGTGAGGTGGTCTTGTCCGCGTTTGGGAGGTGGGCTTCGCTGGAAAGGGAGAAAGTGAGGATTGAGTTTCTTGGATCGGTCAGGTTGAGGTCGTTGATGTTTGTGCTGTAGATCTTTGTGGTGTTGATCGCGCCGACGGTAAACTCAAGAGTCGTAGGTGTCCCGGCATTGTCCACAATTTCCTTTCCAGAAAGTGTTGACCACGTCAAATCGACAATCCCCGATGCTGACTCCCAGAGATCTGAGGTTACATATATCTCCAGGTCACCGGTAGTATAATTCCAGAACGGAGACACAATGATCGGCTGGTAGATATCTCGCGCAACATAGTGCAGCACCTTCCAGCGTCCATCATACTCAATCCCAGCCCACGTGGGCGCCTGCCAGATATCCTCTAGCTGCCAGTAAAGCGAGCCCAACTGCCGCTCAGGCATTCCGCTCCCTCTCCGATAGAACTGTATTTGGGATTTATAAAAGTCCGCTTGGAATAGTTGCGTCGCGAAGCACCATGCGCTAAAGTTGGCAACAGGATCTGAATACTCCGGAATCGGATAGTAGCGTTCTACACCAAGAGTCATCTCAGCCATCCCTCGCGACGAATTGTGGCTTTGGCCGTAGCCTTCTGATGGATAATGCCGGTTGCGGAGGACAACCGTGGTACTGTTGAAGTGCAGGTCTTCATCCTCAACCACTTGCCGCCATGCTTGTAGGCTGGGCATGCTGTGGAAGCCAAATTCATTGGCGAAACGCCCAACGGGGTACTTGGAGAAGTCAAACGAGACGGCGGTGTTGTAATTGTAGTAGTCTGTATCGCCGTAGTAAGAGCCTTCTTCGGTCTTCTCGTACCGCTGGGTCATGGGGACAGGGGCAGAAAGGTTAACGTTCAGGTACCCTTCCGTAGTGCTGCTGGGCGAGTATGATATCGATCGGCTATTTTCGTAGACCAACGGTAGAATCAGACTGATATACAGCTTTTCGTACTCGGCGAGATACTTGGGGTAGTGGTCGGGGGCGGCATCTCGGGTCATTGGAAGCATCAAACTCTCGATCTCATTTCCTCCGGCCCACAAAGCCAGAGATGGATGGTGGTTCACTCGGCGCACGTTGTATACTACCTCCTCGGCGACGTTGTCCAGAAAGTCTTCATTCACCGGGTACATCGCGTCACTAAACTGAAACTCACTCCACAGCAAAATACCCCTTTCGTCCGCCAGGTCGTAGATGAAGTCAGGCAGATATGCGCCGGACGACCAGATCCGGAGCATGTTCTGATTCCCAGCGACAACGGCGTCGAATAGTCGAGTCACCTTCTCCTTGGTTACTCGGGGCCAGAATGTATCAGGCGGGATAAAATTGGAGCCTTTGGCATAGAACTCCTTTCCGTTGACCTCAAAATGCCAGTTTGCACCGGGGGCAATGCCCTGGGCTAACTGAGTGTCGGTGATATTCCGCTGATTGAGGAAGATGGTTCGGAACCCTGTCCTCTTTGTGACTTGAATAGTCTGTTCCGCTGGGCCATGGACAGTAATCGTAACATTGTATAAGTTTTGAGCCCCAAGGCCAGAGGGCCACCATAGATTTGGGGATATGTCTCTAAGCGTCGCTACGCCGGTTACAGTAGTCCCTGCGATGTTAAGAGTATCGGCATTTTGGCTCGCGAGTATCTCGCCAGATTCGAGGTCCGCGATCTCTATCGACATTTGGCTCTCGGAAGGGAGACTTCCTATAAAGTCTATGCTGGCGTTGACAACCCAGAGTTGGTCTTGGTCGGGCGGAAGATAGTTGATGCCTCCTTGTTTGTAGATATCCAGATCCGTGTTCAAGACATAAACATACTTTTCCAGCTGGACAACGTACGCCGGTTTCCACGGACCAGAAGGGGCAAAGGCAGGACCCCAGTCCCAGCCGAAGTCTGACTGCTGTTTGCGCATAAGCCAGCGATTGGGCAGTTGAGCAGTCAGTTGGACAGGCCATACTGGCGTGCTTTGATCGGCGGCGATTGCGTTTACAGTCTTCGGAGCACTTGCAAAATCTAATCGGATAACTGGGTCTTCGGTACACTCTCTCAGAGACGTGGAAACATCAAAGGAGTATTGGCGGAATTGGTTGTTCGTGGAGGCAATATGCTTTCCGCAGAATGTGACAGTAGCGAACGTGTCAAGCCCCTCAAACACAAGCCAGGTTGATTCGTATTCTTCCAATCTGATGAACGTTAGATCCATTGTTCAGTATGGCAAGGGCACATACAAGTCTGGAATTGGATCACTCGTATATGTCCAGTCTGCTTGGTGCACCCATTGAAGGTCGATCTCGTTCAATCCATAATAACTGGAGGCAATGAGCAACTACCTAGGTATTTCTTTGCTGATTCGGATAACCTACGGGTCGTCTGTTTCGTCAATAGAATTGTTCTTCAACGGATGGAAAGATCTTACCAATTACGCCTGCTTTGAACAGGTCCAGGTGGACATGCGAAGGAAGAGAGGCCGGCACTGTAATGTTGAGAGCAGGGCTAGAGAGAGTCCATTTCACGTCACTCAAATCAATGTGTCGCCCAGAGCCGGTAGCTATATTAGAAGCCAGGAGAGCTTGCGTTGCAACTTCACGGAATCGCGTCATGGGGATCTGCTCCGTAAGCAAGGAATAGATCTGAGACAGCCCCATGTTTGCTGGTCAAGATCATAGGATATATAATGGGCGACGCCGACGGTGTACTGAATGAGGGGATCGGAAGCAAGGCTGGATCAAAAGAGGGGAAACATTGAAGATCAACACTAAAAGGTCGTTCCTTGCGTCACTTATACTGCATCAAAAGAGGAGGTGGACTGGGCGCATTGCATCGAGCGTTGCATTCCCCAGACCCCGGAGCCCAATCATGGCATGTAACGAGTCAAGAGCCAGAATGAACCAGCTGCAATAGTCAATAATCAAGGCAGTACATCTTATCCTGAAATATTATACTTCTACCGAGTACGGAGTAAAGTCCAGGAATAAATAAGATGGTGACGGTGATAGCTGGCGGGAGTCGGGATTGTTGCCTGACAGAACGTTGGTGCCTTAAGGCCGCAAACAATTTCCGCGTCGCCAGCTGGGAACAAGGAACATCCTTGCGGAGACTCAATTTCCACTCCGTCCGACCTTTCTTCCTCCCAGCCATATCTATCCCTTCAAAACACACCATCATGTCATCCAGATCATTATGGCGGAGCTTAAGACTCGCTTCCAAGCGTCAATTCGCCGTCCCCGAGACTCAATACCGCTGCTTTTCCTGCTCCATGCGGACCCAGAACCAGCCCAAGTCCGACAAGGATCGAATGACACACTTTGGCTTTGAAAATGTACCAGAACACGAGAAGGAGTCAAGAGGTATGCCCTACGCGCGCAGCGCTCAAGGTTACTTCGATCTCCGCAACTAACCCGGCTTACTCCCAGTCGGCGCGGTCTTCAGCTCGGTCGCCTCATCGTACGATACCATGAACGATCTTATGTCAATGGGCATCCATCGCCTATGGAAAGACCATTTCGTCCGCTCCCTAAACCCCGGATCCGCTCTTCCTTCGCGCAACGTCGACTCAGCCGAGAAGGGCTGGAATATCCTCGATATTGCCGGCGGCACCGGCGATATCGCATTCCGCATGCTCGACCACGCCACGAACATCAACCACGACCATCACACCCGAGTAAAGATCGCCGATATCAACCCGGACATGCTTGCGGAAGGCAAGAAGCGCAGTATCGAGACACCGTACTATAACACGGATCGGCTATCGTTCATGGTCGGCAACGCGGAGCACATGCCCTCGATCCCGGATAACTCGGTCGACCTGTATACCGTGGTGTTTGGCATCCGAAACTTCACCGACAAGCAGGCGGCTCTTGTGGAAGCGTTCCGTGTGCTGAAACCGGGCGGTGTCTTTGCGTGCATGGAGTTCAGCAAGGTGGACAATGCTTTGTTCAACGCGGTATACAAGCAATGGAGCTTCAGCGCCATACCTTTGATTGGCCAGTTGGTCGCGGGAGACCGAGAGAGCTACCAATACCTGGTTGAGAGTATCGAACAGTTCCCTACTCAAGAGGAGTTCCGTGGGATGATCCAGAAGGCTGGCTTTATGATCCCCGGACGGGGCTTTGAGAATCTTACCGGAGGCATCGCCGCTATCCACAAGGGTATTAAGCCTTTGTCCCGGGTGTAATCGACCCCCGGGTGGGGTCTATACCTTTATGTATACTACTATATAGAAGTGTAATATATGGAGTTGGCTTTCACTGTGTGCATTATCTATCGGGTCAGCTCCTCCGAAGGGTCTAGTAGTACTGTTATCGCCGAGTGGGGGACGAGAAGGATCGACTTAGCATCAGAATCGCCTCCGATGAGGTGATTCCCCATGAATTCAGGCGCCCGCTTAAGTTTTTTCTTCGATGGAGGACACTGCTAACTATCTAGAATAATTATATGGTTGACATATCCTGTGGAGCGACATTTTCAATTATTGAGACCCCAATCGAGTTATCAATCAGCGGAATTTTTTCTTTATCTGGCCGCATCCGATCGCTCTCCACCCACTCGTCCCGGGGCCTTTTGGCATTTGCCCCTCCTCCACTTCTGCCTTCTCCGACGCGGCATTGACTCGAGCCCTTTTCTCAGGTCTCCTCCCCTGGGAGACCAGCCCACGGACCGTCCTTTGACCTTCTCACACCTTGTTCGAGAATGCCATCGTGACAATGGGGCTCCTCAAGCAGCAGTACCGCATCCCGCTCGCCTCCGCCATGCCCGCTTCAGGCGCATCCATTCGGAGTGCCTTCGCAGGGCTTCCCATGACCCCTCCGGAGCCTGCTGACGGCGTCCTGGCCCCTGCCAATCCGATTCCAAAGGACGCCGCGTCTGTGGCTTCCGCCATCCACGTTATCTCCACGGAGCGCGCGGCCCTCGCGCATCTGGAGCGTCTTTATCAGACGGATCAGCTGGCTCAGGAACACCTTTCTCGCGCGGTGGATCAGATCACAAGGACGGTTCGGGATGGAGGGAAGCTGGTTGTTTGCGGGGTGGGCAAGAGTGGGAAGATTGGTAAGAAGCTCGAGGCGACGATGAACAGTTTGGGTATATACAGCACTTTTTTGCATCCGACGGAGGCGTTGCATGGGGATTTGGGGATGATCAGGCCGGTAAGATACTACTCATCCAAACACTTCATTGACAATTGCTAATTGAGAACTGTGCAGAATGACACCCTCCTCCTAATCTCCTTCTCCGGCCGCACCCCAGAACTACTCCTCTTACTTCCTCATATACACCCGACAATCACCATCATCGCACTCACATCCCACCTTCACCCATCTACATGCCCGCTTCTATCCTTCCAGCCTCTGGACAAGGGCATTCTTCTTCCAGCGCCTATTCATGAAGACGAAGAAACCTCTATAGGCGTGTGCGCGCCGACGTCCTCCACAACCGTCGCCCTGGCCCTCGGCGACGCCCTAGCTATAGCTACAGCCCGCAAACTCCATACCGCACCAGGCCGCGGGCCAGCGGAGGTCTTTAAGAGCTATCACCCCGGCGGTGCAATCGGGGGTGCATCTACGGCCTCCACGCCGCTTAGCATGAGCTCGTCCGGCGTCTCATTCACATCGAATCCGTCCGACTTCCTCCCAGGACCAGTTCGCCAGCCCCAGCCTCAGCATCAACACAACAGGATATCTTCTCTCCCAGACACTGAAGTCCCAGATGCAGACCAATCGCAGTCAGAGTCCGACGCAGAGCCAGAAGAGTCAATCCCACCTCCAGACTCAATCGCAAACATGATCACCGTCCCGCTCTCCCAAATCCCAACCCTCTCCCCGTCACCCTCAACGGGTAAACCCCGCCTCCTCGACGTCCTCCTCACAGCAATCCAGCACCCGGACGCAAGGTCATGGGTGTTTGTCTCCCCCGACCTTCTCATGGCCCCACGCCAGCTCCGCTACCTCTCTTCAAACGGCTACGTCGACATGGACATCTCATCACTCAGCAGACCGTTCATCGCGCACCGTGAAGACTGGACGTATATCACAGACGAGCACACCATCGACGAAGCAAAGGAATACTTCCCGTCCGATGACCCGAGCCGCGGGAACGTCGTCGCCGTAGTCAGAGGCCAGGACTTTGATAATGTCCTTGGTGTATTCGAGATTGAGGACCTTTGGGATAGCTGATCTGCTGCCCGCCCGTACCGGTACATACTGCGCTTTCTTTCCCCCTGTTTAATTTCCTGTTGGGGACGGGAGCTCGCTTTGCTTTGTTTCCTGGTTCTTTCTTTCGATTGCTCCCATCTCTTGCATATTATGTTCCCTACATACATGGGCCCTGGCCCCTTTGTCACGATGTACATGACCTTTTTATTTATCTATGCCATGCGGGCCTGTCTATACTCCTTTGCCGCCCTTCGGCTTTCGCCGACCCGTTTTCGTTTTTCGCCACTGTCAATGGGACCTCATTTCTTCGAGCTTCATGTCATTTGCAGAATCCATAGCTGTTTATCTAGATTTCTTTATCTCTTCATCTGGATAAGATAAAATATCATGATAGAAAGACTTTCGTTTTTTTTTGGTATGTTTTCTCTATATCTTATTTAGAGGGGGGTGATTATTCGGTTGGCCTGGATTGATGCAAATAAATATTTTAGACATTTAGATGGGAGACGGGCTTCTGACACCTTTAGCCATCTAACGCCACTGAGACTTACGGAGGACTCCTTATTTGTTATTACACATTTTTCTCTTGGTTGAAAGCTTGTATTCAAAAAAAGAAAAAAAGACCTCTTGTATATACATTCGCTGGGCTGGTCCAGCTGTGGGTCTAACTCTACCGGACTCTATCTGATCGCGATATCGGTACATGAAACATGGGAAGGGTATAACTTCATCGACAAGGAAACGGAAATAGAAAACGCTTTGACATAACTGGGATCTGACTATCCGCTTGATGACTGCTGAGGTGACAGCGGTTGAGGCGGATCTGTTTGTTTGAGATTAAGCGGGGTGTGGGATTGAACATGAGAGGTCATCGGAGCTGAGTTACCAGATCAAGGCTCCTAAGCTTCGCTGTTGCGCATCGATTCGATTTTGCTTCGGCAATGGATGGAATTGAAACGCTTGAATCACACGGTGCAGGTGGTCTTGAGCGGAAAGTTGTGGTGCGACTCGCATGTCGTTATCGAAATCGGCGATTAGGTTCAGAAGAAGCGCATAAGGTGGGCCTCTTCGCCGCTATTTCGATGTCTTCGTAAACCCGCGAATGGTTGTCATTATATCGTCAAGTGGCATAGCTGAAGATAATGAGAGAACACTAATTCGATACTGCCGACTCCTCTTTTGCTTTCCCCTTGTCGGCCGTTGGTTGTGTTGTACCGTCATCCATGTAGAGATTGTTGTCATAGATGTATTCAATGACCGGGTCGGGAATCAGATAGCGTACGCTCATGTCTCGCCTGAGGAACAAGCGAATCTTCGTGCTGCTAACGTCATTTTGAATAAGCTGCTGGATGACGTGGATCTTCTTCTTCCAAGGCTGCAAAGCCGCGAGCGCCTCGTCAATGTCTGTTCCGCTTCGCTCAACGATGAAGGTCTGAGAAGTGAATTAGCCCATGCGTAAATCAAACTGGCTCAAAACACTCCTACCCCGTACTGTCCCAGAATGTGATCGAGATCCTTCTCACTCCAAACTCCAGGTGTAGACATAGTGTGCACCAAATCTGCTCCGGCCAACAGCACAACCTGCACCCGCTTGCGGGAGCCATTTCCAGTATCGATCCCGTTCCGGACAGTGTTAATCTCGTAGTCGAAATGGTCTAGCACAATGGCGGTCGGCTGGTATTCCTTGTGCATCGGCTCCCACGTGTCCACCATCATCCAGTCGGAGGTCTGGTCCACGGCTCTTTGGCACATCGCGACTCTGGAAACGATCCGGATTAGCGGGATATAACAGCAAGCTAGAGCAACTGATATACAAACCTGTGATCAGCACTGGCAAGACCGGCCTTGCGGTAGGCGTCCGACACCGGCGAAAGGTAACCTCCAATGATTTCGAAATCGGTGCTGAGCTTGACGTAATCGGCGGCCATCTCAAACATGCGCAGATGCAGGAATGTAATAGGAGAGAAAGAGCCACAAGCTATGAGCAGTAGCGGCGTCTTTTCCGGGTCGTCCATCACACGCTTCAGGCGATACTCTGGGAAAACGTAGTCCCCCGTTGGCGTCGCTGGGGCGGGAGGCGTTCGGCGGGCATCATTGCCCAGTTCTTGCGTGACATCAGCCATGGTCATGGAGTGGCCAGTGTATGATTGTGTAGTATGTGTAGATAGAGAGCAAGAGCTAGATAAGTCAGTTGAGAAAGAGGGGAGGCATGAAGTTGAGAAAGAGGGATGACAGAGAACAAAAGGCTGGATGCGGGCAGTTGAAAGGTTAGTCAGCCGCCGTGTGGGGGAAGAAAGAGGGGATTTTCACCGGATGACTATCGGCCCTGTTCCTCTTCTGGCCCTCGGAGAAGCATTTACGATCACCTCATTTTCCTGGGCTTAATTATCCGACTAGCAGACTTGAGAAAATTCAACAGATAACCGCTCTTCAGGAATAGGGCTCCAGCCACCTCAACCGAAGGGAATGCACGTGATACTATACTGTTCGCCTGGAGCACTGGCATCGGAGTATACTCCGAGGTTCTGTCCCCATCACGGAATTCCAGCGTTAAATAGCCGGTGAGAACTATACGACCCACCGTGATCTAGAAATTGAACTGTATAATCCGTCGCAAAGTGGTCTACGGAGTACATTGTTGGCTGGGGAGTCTGCTCTCACACTCTCTTCACCAGACATCAACCGCTAAAGAATTTCAAAATGTCCACTTTGGGATTCTGTATGCTACTGACCGACATGGGCTGTCTCACGATTCTCTGGGAAGCTGGACCATGGCCCATAAGGCAGATGCCCCTGATCAGACTCGGTGCCCTGTCTAGCATCAGATATCTCCCCAGGTATTCTGTTGGAAGCTGGGCCATGTCCCATAACACCGAAGGCCATCAATTTCGGAGACGCACTTTGGAGGCGTTCAGCATTGGACAGCGTAGTGTTTTTTCAACGCTTGATATAATCACTCCAGTTGCTTTGCTGTCCGTCGTTCATGGATCTCTGCGCCCATCAAACGCCTTGGTCACTTGGCGATATATAGACCCTGGTCAAAAGCAAGTTAATCAATGGCCTGTTTGAAGAACTGGTTGGCTTCGACGCGGAATGGATGGAAGCAAAATATGAGCCGCGCAAAACCTTGAAGACAGATGAACTTTAGTTGTTAGGAGCAGCGATTATGTGTAGTCTCCAAGCGCCATCTTCGAACAGTCTCTGTATCATATAGGGACCCTGGCCGGCAACAGTCCCTAATGAAGGCGGGTCCAAAAGCGCGCCGCTGGCCACAGTCAATCAATATAGATAAAAAATCAAGACGAAAAACAGAGAGAATGGGTTGAAGAGTGAAAGTGTGTAGTCGTGGCTGCGCGTTAGAGTGGTATAGTTCTCCGGACTTCGGGACCCGTGGACTGTCATCGTCACCACCGCCGGAGCCAACTACGGCATGGTAAGGACTCCCGACTGCTCATCGCTTCATCCATCTCTCCTTCACCTCTGCACTGCCAGAACTACTTGCCCGACGCCTGCATCTTGCACCCGTCTCGTCTACATCTATTGCTTGACTTTCTTTCAACTTTTTGTCTTATTTTTACAGCTCACTGCGAGTACTTCGTTTCCCGCCGACTCGCTCCCAAGGCAAATCAGTCACCCCTCCTGCCCCCTCAAGCGAACGACCGGCACACCCTCACGTTCAAGCGACTGCAGACCCATCACAGAGCAACGGATGGCGGGTTTGATGGGCGCTGAATGACGAGCGTGCCCTTCTGCCCTGCTCTCGGTAGCAATTAACATATGGCCAGGCAAAGGCCCAACATTCACCGCCAGGACCCTCTTGAGGAATCTCGCGCACTGCCTTCGCCTGCTGGTGCCTCCCCTACTGCCGCCAGGTACATACCATATCCTCTCTCATTCCTACCCCGCGTTGGCCTCTTCCCTCCGACGCCCCGTGTTCCGTTCAGTCCCTACACTGGCCCGGTTCCACAATTTCGGTATCCCGCCGACAAGGACCCGGCAGACAACTGTTGGGCGCTCTCGTGGGCGTTTTCAAATCATTGAGCTTTTGAGATACCTGCTCCCCGTGGACCCATTCCCTTCTCCATGCAAGTCGCCTTGACTTGTTTTGAGCATCATCTTCCCGCGATAACACCTTGCCCATTCACTTTTGATTCTCCATCTTCTATCGTGCTCCCCAAGTGCTCAGTTTCTCATGTCCTCCAGAATAACTCGCTCGGCCGCGCGATTAGCCGCAGATTCTCCCCCGTCCGCCGGCTCCGGTCCCTCTTCCCTATCACCCGCCGCTGGTTCGGCCCCATCTCGAAAGCGAAAGGCGCCCGCGCGCCGCGGTCGATCACCGGACTCTTCGGAGCGGCCAAACAACCCTCAGTCGCCTCATCGAAAGTCCAAGCGACAAAAGCGTGCGGCTTCACCGAAAGCGGGTAGCACCCCTACAGTTGCTCGTCGCAGTACACGGAACCCCCCAGCCATGTCGCACCCTGGGTAAGTTGGACTTTTCTGTGCGGAAGTTGCAATGTGTCTAATTTGTTCTCTCTCCACAGTCCATCGTCACATCCCGCGGAGGAGTCCTCGAAAAAGCCAGCCTCGCCACCGCAACAGAGAAGGAAATCTAGTCGGCACGGGAAAGTGTCTCAAGGTAAGACATCGCAGCAGCCGGCGCCTTCCACCTATTGTCGTATCCATAGGTACGTTTGTATACTAACTTACTCTACCTAGAACGTTCCTTAGCTGCTCAATCACCTCCCCCAACCCGACACAAGAAGAAGCGACCCTCCAGAACCCGCCCGGATGTCGTGATGAAGGAAGCGGAGGAGGAATTGGAAGAACACGAGAAGAGCGAGGAACATGAGCCTTCGCCACCAAGTGACAGTAATGACGGCACGAACCCATCGGGTCTCGATGATGAGGACGATGAAGAGGATGATGGGGATCTCTTTCACAACAGTCTGTTTGGCGCGCGAGGATCCCTCGGACTGCAAAACACTCTTCGCGCTCTCAGCGGTATGATGTCGGGCATGTCATCCCGTCTGCGAGATATTCTGCAGAATTTGAGAATGAAGGATGACCCGTCCGTCCAACTTATCGCCCTCCAAGAGCTCTCGGACCTGTTACTTGTATCGAACGAAGACAACCTATCCGGCCAGTTTTCTCCCGATCCTTACGTAAAGGAACTGGTGTCCCTCATGCAGCCCAATGACTTTGGCGAAGAAAACCCTGAAATTATGCTCCTTGCCTGCCGTTGTCTGGCCAATCTTATGGAGGCGTTGCGTGGCTCTGTGGCCAATGTCGTCTACGGCGGCGCTGTCCCAATTTTGTGTCAGAAGCTGCTGGACATCCAGTTTATCGATCTAGCCGAGCAGGCACTCAGTGTAAGTTTTTCTTGGCAACAACTTTCTGGACTATATCCCTGTGCTGACTTGATGGCAGACTTTGGCCAAGATCTCGGTCGATTTCCCGGCGTCTATTGTGCGTGAAGGAGGATTAACGGCATGCTTGACGTACCTCGACTTCTTTCCTACAAGCACCCAGCGTACTGCGGTGACAACGGCCGCCAATTGTTGCCGGAATCTGCCTCACGATTCTTTTCCGGTCGTTCGAGATGTCATGCCCATCCTCCTGAACGTTCTCTCTAGCAACGACCCCAAGGTTGTGGAGCAAGGCTGCCTGTGCGTTTCTCGGATAGTGGAAAGCTACAAACACAAGCCAGAGAAATTGGAGGAGTTGATCAGCCCAGACATGTTGAAGGCCGTACTGCGTCTGCTGCTGCCGGGTACAACAAACCTTATTGGGCCCCACATCCATACTCAATTCCTCCGAGTCTTAGCTATTACGTCGAAAGCCAGCCCACGGTTGTCAGTGGAGTTACTGAAGACGGATGTGGTGGATACGCTCTATCAGATCTTGACTGGCGTCTCACCCCCAGAAAATCTTGAAGACCAAGCCGTTAAGATGGATAGTGTTCTCGTGATGCAGGCTTTGATCCACCGGCCGAAGGAGCAAGTTACCGAAACTCTCAATGTAATTTGCGAGCTGCTACCAGGTGTTCCCGATCGTCTAGGTTCGCAAGGAGATGGTCATCCGGAACCCCCTACAACGTTGAGTTCCAAGACGTCGTCTAAGGGCTCCGCGGAGACACGACGATCTCTGCTGATGGGCTGCAAAACTGAGCTTAGACGGTTCGCCTTGGTCCTGCTGCCCACTCTCACTGATGCATTCTCTAGCACGGTCAATCTGGAAGTGCGTCAAAAGGTTCTCGTTGCGCAGCTCAAAATGTTGCAAAATTTGGATCCCGTCCTCATTGAGGAGGCTCTTCGGTCCGTGCACTATGCCTCATTCCTCGCAGCCATATTATCTCAAAAGGATCACCCATCTCTCGTTTCATCAGCACTTCGCTGCGCGGAACTTCTCTTCCAGCGGCTGGAACATGTCTATCAACATCAGTTCCATCGTGAAGGCGTCATCTCAGAAATCGTCAAGCTTGCGAAGGAGCCACTCTCCTCTGAAAAGAACGCCAAATCTACCCACGACTCCCTCGCTAGTTCGATTATGGATACATCGGAAGACACGCATCAAGAAACGAGCTCTACCTCGGATCCCGCTGGTCACACTGGAGCAGACCCGGATGACGAAGACAGCCAGGACGGCAATGACCGTGACAGCGAAGACGACGATGTTAATGAGTCGGAGGACGATGACGACCAGGATGAGGATAATGGCGATATTTCTGATTCCGAGAGCTCGTCTTCGTCAGGCCAGGGCATTTCTTCGAGCTTGGAGAATGTTATGAACGACTCCGTGGTTCGCGATGCACGAGCGTTTATGGAGCATTACGAAGCTAGTCAGGGAGGGGAAATGCGAGAGAAAGCCATGGAAACTCTTTCGCACTTGCAAGATCTTGCCGGGGAAATTGAAGCCTGCTACTCTGGCCCTGTTGATCCTAACGTGGACGGACTTGATCTTTTCCGCAAACTCGCGGCCTATTTTCAAGGGGATGCATTGGAGAGTATCACCAGTTCGGAGCTTCTGAACTCCGGTGTTATCAACACTCTGTTGACCATATTCGACGACGCTAAGTGTGAGTATAACCCTTTTCCTGGGACCAATCTATGGCGCTAATCTTCACATTATAGCCACCTCCATGCGCGAAGCACGTAGCGCTTTCCTGCAAGCATTTATGGGGTCGACCATATCCGAAAAAGCGCAAAGCCAGGGTACGGCCACAACGCCCTTTGGCGTCTTGATCGGTAAACTTCAGGATCTTCTCAGTCGGACAGAGCACTTTGAGGTGATGACTGTTGGCCACAACTCACTAGAGAACACGCGTAGCAACGCGGCCTACATGCTCGGGAAGCAGCTTCGGCTCAAGTTGGTTGCTGACGATGATTCTGATATCCCCCGTTCCTACCGGAACATCATGGTCTCTATTCATGCTATTGCGACTTTCAAAGCTCTAGATGACTTCCTTCATCCCAGGATCAGCCTATCAGATCGACCAAAGACGTCTCGCAGCCGAGACACAATCCTGTCGCAGATCGCAAATGCAGCGCGCCTGCGGGATCAACTCGCCGAAGGCCGCGGTTCCAATGGTAGCGACTTTGCACGTCCTTCCGGAAGCGATAGGCCCGCCCATCGATCCGCCAATGCAGAGTCGAGGACCACCGCTAAGGAGAATTCAGCTGGTGGGCCGGACGTAGGTTCAAAATCCAAGCGACCTAACGAGGAGCCCGATGACAACGAGCACGAGAATGAACCATTGGAGTGTGCCGATGAACGCCATTTGAGTGAAGACGAGAATGACGATGATGACGAAGGCGAGGACGAGGAGTTGAATGCCATTGTGGACGATCTTGAAGATGAAATGTCAGATGAGAACGTGCAGGACCCGTCAGCTGTGAACATGGAGGTAGCGTCATCGGGCAAGGTGACTGCGCGCAAAGAAGACGGCACTAGGGTGTCCACGCCGTCGCAATCGACCCCTGTGTCCAAGTCGACGTCCGGGCCTCGCCGGTCCTCATTAAACACACCGGGCGGTGGCTCGCTGGCTATGGCTGGCCGTCCATTCTCCTACGCGGCTGTCATGGCCTCTCCCCCGTCTGATTGGCATATCCAATTCAGCATCGATGGCGAACCAGTTTCGAGCGACACGACGATCTATCGCGCCGTTCATCACAATCGTCGGCACCTAGACCCTAATGGGAGGAATGTGTGGTCTGCGGTTCACACAGTCAGCTTTCGAAGGGTATCTGGGCCGCCACCGACAGAGCCCTCTACTCTCACGTCAAGTGCCTCCGGATCCAGCTCACAAGACGATGGCACCGGGATGCCGTCCTCTCTCAATCAAGATCATACAACGGCCTCGATCTTGCGTCTGCTCCGTCTCCTACACGGCATGAATACGACACTGGACGACATTCTTGCGGAAACCAAAGATCTCATTGCCCTGAAACCGGAATCTTTGGCCCAATTCATTAACACTAAGCTCACCGCGAAGCTCAACAGACAGCTAGAGGAGCCACTGATTGTTGCAAGCAGCTGTCTGCCCGACTGGAGCGAAGACCTTGCACGCTCCTTCGCCTTCCTGTTTCCATTTGAAACCCGCCATCTGTTCCTTCAGTCTACCGCCTTTGGCTATTCCCGAGCGATGATGCGGTGGAACAACTCTCAGACTGGGGATGACAGCCGTCATGACCACCGGAGGGACGATCGGCCAATGTTGGGCCGTCTGCAGCGACAAAAAGTGCGGATCTCAAGGAGTCGCATCCTCGAGTCAGCCATGAAGGTTATGGAACTCTACGGTTCGTCTCCCAGCGTGCTCGAGGTTGAATATTTCGAGGAAGTTGGAACGGGGTTGGGACCAACTCTGGAATTTTATTCGACAGTCTCCAAGGAGTTTTCCAAGAAAAAGCTGAAGATGTGGCGAGAAAATGATTGCGCGGATTCCGGAGAATACGCATTTGGCGCCCGTGGGTTGTTCCCTGCGCCAATGAGTGAGCAGCAAGTGTCGTCGGAATTTGGCAAGAAACAACTCCAGTTGTTCAAGACTCTTGGCAAATTCGTCGCCCGGTCCATGCTGGACTCGAGAATCATCGACATCTCATTCAACCCGGCTTTCTTCCGGATCGCCGACACCTCTTCTGCGGTAGCTCCATCGCTCGGCACCGTCAAAGCAGTCGATCACGACCTGGCCAAGTCGCTGCTACTGCTCAAGCGCTTTGCCAATGCCAAGAAGGCTGTCGAGGCGAAGAACCTCCCTAAGGCTAAGAAGACGCAGGCTCTGATGGCAATTGAAGTGGATGGCGTTCAGGTCGAGGACTTGGGGCTGGATTTTACGCTCCCAGGCTATCCTGCTATTGAGCTCATCACAGACGGTTCCAATATTCCGGTGACGGTCAACAATGTTGATCTGTATGTCGACAGAGTAGTGGACATGACCCTGGGCAGCGGCGTTCAAGCCCAGGTAGAAGCCTTCCGGACCGGGTTCTCGCAAGTCTTTCCCCATTCTTCCCTGCAAACATTCACACCGAGCGAGCTGGTGATGTTATTCGGCCGGGCCGAGGAAGATTGGTCAATCGAGAGTAAGTCTCTGCATTCGGTTGTTCAGCCGGTTACTAACGTCGCTATCAGCGTTGATGGACAGCATCAAAGCAGACCATGGCTTCAACATGGATAGCCGCAGTGTGCGAAACCTGCTTCAGACGATGAGTGAATTGGACCCTCAACAACGGCGAGACTTTCTTCAATTTGTTACCGGCAGCCCCAAACTGCCCATTGGCGGTAAGAATTCGTGGGTTTACCCATGGAAGACGATTTACTAACTGCCCCCTAGGCTTCAAGAGTCTCACGCCAATATTTACCGTTGTGTGCCGCCCCAGCGAACCCCCTTACCTCCCTGACGACTACCTTCCCAGTGTCATGACTTGTGTAAACTACCTGAAGCTGCCCGACTACAGCACCTTGGACGTTCTCCGGGAGCGACTGTCTGTTGCCATCAAGGAAGGACAGGGCGCGTTCCACCTTTCTTGATTGAGGTCTCAGTACCTCATTACGCTCGTTTCTCTACATCGGATGGTTACATCGTATCGTTCGACAGGTGGAAGTGTAGCCACGAGGCAGAAAAGCAAACCCGAATTTGAAGACAAATACAACAAGAGGAGGAAAATCCAGTACCCTGGGACGAACCGTGATGAATGTTATAACCAAATTTCTCTTAGCCCTCTGGACGGAGGGGATCATGATAGCATGTGAAATTGTTTACATTGGCGAGTTTCTTGCATTCGGGTGTCATTCCATTCATTCCTAACCGCCTCGCTGTCTGAGATTTGAGCTTGGGGGAGTCCAAAAGGGTTTCCAATAGTATCTAGATAGAAATACTAGTTCTTCAGCTTTACTGGTAAGTGCTATTAAGGTCTAAGGTCTATGTCTATCGATCTATGTCTATGTCTACATTCTATATGCAATCCAAGCATCATGGGTATCAAGCAAGGTAAGCCTAGTTCCGATAAACAGGCACCATCGACTAACATCATTAGCAACCAAGTCAAAAAAAAAAAAAGAAAAAAGCCAACATACCTCTGCAAACTTGGGCTCAATAAACAGCGCCCTCGCCTCCGCCACAAGAACGCCCTCCTCCTCGCCCCCCGTCCTCGCCGCCGGCATCATCCTCATCGTCCCCTCAACCCACGCCTTGCGCCCCTCAACCTTGACCGTCTCCGCCCGCAGCACATACACCCGTCCCGGCAGCGCCGGCTTCCGGAAATCCACGTTCAGATTCGCCGTCATCCCCGTCCCGCTCCGGAAAGACTGCGACACGCAGTGCGCAAAGACCTCGTCGAACATCACGGACAGGAACCCGCCGTGGATGTACCCCGGGTGTCCGCACATGTCCCGGCCTGCGTGGAAGACCGTGATTGCGCGGCTTTGGCGGGGTGCGGAGTCCGTCTCCTCTGAGCGCTGAGCTTGGGGAGGGGCTTGGTGGGAAGGGGTTTGGTGTGAGAGGAACATGTACGGGGCGGACGTGAGCTTTGTTTCGCCGGAGAGGGTTCCCGCTACGAAGTGCGCGGGGCGCAGGTGTGCGGGCATGGTGAGATGGGGGCGGGTTTCTTTGAGGGTTGGGTCGCGGCGGAGGGTTTGGATTAGGGGGTGGGTGGATAGGTCTGTTGTTGCTTGTGTTGGGGTTGCTGGCTTGGAGCTGGGTGTTTGCGGCGCATGCGCATTTTGGAAGGATGGTGGTGGGGGGGTCTTGAGCGCGGAGGGGGCGGCTTCGGTTTGCGCGGTGCGAATTGCGGTGATGATGGCGATGGGGGATGAGGGTCGGAGGGGTGATGCGACAGCTCGTGCTCGTGCTCGTGCTGGTGTTCGCAAGACGCGAGATACGGTTCGTGGGATGGCGGACATGTTGTTGGTTGCGTTGTTGAGGCCGAGGAGCCGTGTACTTGGATTCGAAGGATGGCCGTCCTCCGCTTGGAATTCTCAGTCACAACTTTCGCGATGGTGAAATAGGTGTCAGACTGTCAGTCTGTCACTCTGTCAGATCCTTGTAAAAGCCTGATAAGAAAAAATTCCGACAATCGGGCAGGCATCGGCACCAAGTGGAGCGGTGCCTTGCTCTCGGGTCCAGATCTTGACACGCATGACGACATCGGCGGTCGCGAGGCTAGCCCTAATCAATCATGCTTATTGATTGCTATGGGTCTCGGACCTACATAATTATAGTATTCTGAGTGTTGAAAGTGTTGCATGAAGTGCATGCTACTAACTGCGCTCCAAAGTCGGCTGTTCCGGTCTCTACCATCCCGACAACATCAACTGGGAACCGAAGAAGTGGAGGAACGCCGTTAATCTTGTGCCCAGAGCGATCTATAGCCTGTTCCCAATTCTAACCGGACTACGTACTTTTAATTCCAAGCCTAGGTACAGACCTAGCCGGCACAGGAGGGCTCACTCTCACTCTCCGAGGGCCTGATGATCTCGGCATGCCGAGTGGAGCTGGCCGAAGCCGCAACGAGATGCCGAGTGGCCCGAGTCGACCATTGCCCGTCTGGACTCTGGGGACATGAGATTAATATCCTCTTAGTGACTAGATCAGGGCGACCGTAGACTGAGATCGCCTGTGATAGATCTAACTGGCTAGTGCAGATTTGACTTCCGGACGGCCATTGATGAGATCTTCGATCATCCATGTATAGGACCGGCCATGTGCATCTGCTTTTGGTCCTAGAGCAGTGATGCGTTGCAAAGGAGTTCGACCAGCGCAGTTCTATCTGGAGTCGACCCCAGTCCAAACATGGGCTCATGTGACGCTGTTCATTTGAGTTCTCTGCTCCGCGGTGTTCCTGCCCGTAACACTCGTTCCTCCAGACACGTCATCCCTGCGTCTCGCAGACATCCTTGTCCTGGCCCTTCCTGCCTCTCTCTAGCCATGGCTGCGTTTGTCGCCCCGGAAACGTATCGGCCTCGGAACACCCATATCTTCTCTGGAAAGGGCGATTATCTCGGAGGTACGCTGCCCCTTTTCCTACTCTGGGCACTGGTCGAGATCTAATCTTAAGGCTTCGCTTCGCTTTCCCAGGAGCATACATCAACAGCCCTGCTCAAATCCGCAAGGATGACTTCCACTCGATGTGCGACAGCTTCCTCATGTTCCCTGGCAAGCCCCACGTTCGCTGGAGCCTACACCATCTCAAAGATGATAACGAGGTTGGGGATCTCGTAAGCCGCACCTCAGACGATATCACGCCTGACAGATACATCATCCTTGGCCCCCAGAGTGACGTTGTGGATGTCCAGCTGTCCACGCAGCCGGCAATCCGCCGAGCCCCATCCGCCCAAGTGGTCGAGGTCGACGACACTGGAAAAAGCATGCGGACCAACCAGGCCCATTTCCGCAATGGGGTTCTGAACAGAGATAACGAAACGTGCACGATCACTGGATGGAAGGGGGAGACCACAAACCAAGCTACGCATATCTTCCCCGTGTCGAAGGTGAAACTGTGGGACGACGAAGGATACGCTCGCTGGATCACGGACACAAATAGTCCCAGGACGATTGGGCCGAGTAAGCTCTTCTCGATGCAGAACGGCCTCTTGCTCTGTCTCAACGTCCACATCCTGTTCGACCTTTTTGTGCTGGCTATCAATCCGGACGTAGGTCATGCTATGCCTACCTAAGCTACTCTAGCAGATCCGGCTCTGGCTCTGGCTCTGGCTCTGGCTCTGGCTTCATGTTTTCACTGTGATGCTAACACGGAGGTAAACGTCTAGAGAGGCTATCGGATTGTCTACTTCGAACAAGACGAAAACGGAATTGGGGGTGGCACTCTCAACCCGTCGACTCGCGATTGCAGTGACCCGAACAACCGCGTTAGCGACGAGTGCCTAAGGTGGCACTTCCATCAGGCGGTGCTGACCAATATGCGCGGTGTAGGCGAGAGGCCCTGGGATCTTAATCCTGACGAAGAAGGGGACCTCGGGCTTATGATGGAGAAGGAAAACGCCAGTGAGATCTTGGAGGAGGTGTTTGCCGATCGCCTCGGGGCTTTTATTCAGGTTCGCTGAGCTTGTGTTGGTCTTGAATGGACACGAAGACTGACTGTACATTAATGCAGGCTGACGAGGACGAGGGCGAGGATCACAATCACGATCACGACCACGATGCCGATGACAATGCTGACTACGATGGCTATCACGATGATGATGACGATGCGCAATGATCCCACGAGAAAGCTCTACCCTGCATCCATGCACTACTCATGTCCCTTCCCCAGCTTGTCTCCGCGCCGCACCCCCATACGGTACCCCCGTGTGTCCTTAACCCGAGCCGTCCAATCCAAATGGTGAGCCTTTTTGTCTTTCGTCTCTTTAGTCTGAATCAGTTGTTTGATAAGAGCCTATCTGTATCAGCCGATGCTGCAGTTCTTCGTAGGTAAGTATACCTAGTCCGGAGGTATGATTGGCTCGCTCGTACCGGGTGGAGTATACGAGCGTCCAAATCACATCAACAGCCCTAACCCAGTCTTCAACAACGTGGATATAAATCAGTATCTTCCCTCCAGGTCAATCAGTGACTGCTTCTCTCTCTATGCTCTACTCTACCGATCCAAAATCCCACCCAACCACCCAAATTCCCAACAAAATAAATATGAACTCCCTCCTCAACCCCTCCACCCTCCCCGCAGCCCTAATCACCATCTACATCGCCCAAACAGTCCTCTCCTTCCTGCATAACCTCCATCTCATCCGCAAGACCTGCCCTTCTCTCCCGCGCATTGCCTTCCCCATCTCCGAAGCAAACCTGCTGTACCTCCTGCTCTTCGAGTCCCGCTGGTTCAACTATGTCCGACGCTACTGGTTGCCCACCGGTGTTGCGGACTATATTGCCGACGCGGCGTTCCGGGGACGATGGGATGTCAAGGATAGACTGGCGAGAAAACACGGAGGCGTTTATATCTCGGTTACTCCTGGCCTGGTGAGTTGTCATGTTGGGGATGCGGATGTTGTGAGTCAGGTTGTTAAAGATCGGAAGGGGTTTGTAAAACCCGTGGAGCATTTGAGTATGTTCTCCTCTCTCAGGTGCCTTTTTCTGTGGTTCTGCTTTGCTTGCGAAGGGGAGGGGTGGTCGATGAGTGGTTCATTTAGGTCGCTAGATTGACACTAATAATCTTGACATGATCGGACAGAGGCGTTTGATATGTACGGACCTAGCGTGTTTACCGTGAGTCTATCGCGTCTCCCAATCAATCAGAAGGTGCTTACTGACTGCGAGACCAGTCGGAAGGAAGTCAGTGGGCATACCACCACCGGTACACAGCCGCCGCATTCAACGACAAAAATAACAGCCTGGTTTGGAAGGAGAGTATCACTCAGGCGCGGGAGATGACAGCATGCTGGGAAGAGAAGTACAAGGGTAAAGCCAGATCCGGTCAACAATTTACCGTCACAGATACGCGAGAGGACATTCTCAAGCTCTCCCTGAATATTATATGCGGTGCCGGCTTTGGAGTAAGTCTGCCCTATAAGCCCGCACCGCAGGACGAAAGTGACAACACGAAGAGTTTGTTCAAAGACGCAACTACCCCAGCGGCAGGGTACAGTTATACCTTCCGCGGCGTGATGGAGTATATGAATCGCTCTATGACATCTGTCTTTGTGGCCAACGGGCTCCTGCCGAGGTGGATTCCTCGCTGTTTGGTGCCGTTCTTCAAAAACGATTTCGCTGCGCATGAGAACCTAAAGCAGTATCTGCATGCGTTGGTCGGTGACGCTGAGAAGTCGGATCATGAGATGCATAACTTGTTAGGAAGGCTTGTTGCAGCACGAAGAGAGGATCAGGCGGCAATGGCCAGGGATGGACGCGGCCCTGGCCTCTCTGACACAGAGATTCTTGGAAACACGTATATATTCTCGCTTGCAGGCCACGAGACTACCGCGACCACACTGCGTTTTGCCTTGGCTCTTCTTGCTATCCACCAGGATGTTCAGGATAAGTTGTATGCGGAATTGCGGGAGGTTCTGTGTGACCAACCCACCGGCCCGGCTGGGTGGGAATACTCTGCTGTATTTCCGAGGCTAGTCACTCCGCTGTGTATCATGGTGAGTACAACTCACTTCCAGGGCAAGAGTTTTTGCTGAATAATGCAGTTGGAAACCCTTCGTCTGTATCCCCCGGTTGGAAGTATCCCAAAGCTGACGGCCACGCACGGTGCGGATATCATGTACAAGGGAGAGCGACATCACCTACCCCCCAACGTGCGAGTCAACCTCAACGCGAATGCACTCCACTACTTGGAGGAATACTGGGGCCCACATGCGGGCAGTTTCAATCCTGAACGTTGGGACAAACGCAACACCCACAGTTTCCTCGCGAAAAATGAAGACACCGAAGGCCTTTCTGGGCCAGGATTGGAGTCAGCCGACATTCATAAGCCAGTTCGAGGCTCATTCATTCCCTTTAGCGACGGGCTGAGGGCATGCATCGGAAGGAAGTTCGCTCAGGTGGAGTTCATTGCTACACTCGCTGTCCTCTGCCATGAATATCGAGTGACGTCGGCTAGGATAGGAGGAGAATCCGAAGACGATGCAAGTAGACGGGTGGAGAACGCTTTGCGCGGAAGCTCGACAACGCTCACCCTTGCCCTAGGAGGCAAAATACCGCTAGCCTTCGCGAAGAGAGACAGTGTGTAACTTTGGAGACGATTCGTTGCTTATGTATGTAGTCCGTTGTATATTCGAATTGCCACTCCACTCAAAGATCATGCTGGAAGTCCTCTTGTTTTAGGAGCTCCCCAAATACGGCGCTTTTTAGCATCCGCGCAGTTTGAGGATCGGTCATTTCCGGCCATGCCCATCTCCGGCAAGAAAACAGGTTCAAAGGCGGCATACCGCTACTGACCGGCGATGAAAGATGAATGTAATGAGTAACACACTGCCATGGCGCGTTAGGGCCGCCCGGCCTTGTCCGAAAAGTAACAGCATGGCGAGAAAAATCTCTACTAGCCCCTAGCTGGGGGACACAGTCGAAATCATGAATCCGCGCATGTTCCGGGGGAACGAGGCCCTCTTCCAGTATATCGCCCTCGGGTCTTCCGATGGCTGCCTCTTCCAAGGCCATTATGTGCGAAAAGATGGTATGATACTGCCGAGAATCCAGTAACCATTCTCGCTTTGGGGCTCGGAGGAGTAATTCCAGTCCTTTTCGACGCAGCCGCGGATGGCGACACTTCCAGGCGACGGCATGCAGGGGGTAAATCAGGGGCAGGTCTAGGCTGAGAGACTTGGAGAGCTCGTCTGGGTAATGAGTGGAATCGGAAAGTAATATCTCAGCAATCTGGCAGATATCTTCGTAGTCTTCTACATGGTTGTCCCAATCACATTCGCTCGAGATGCCGTACGCGGCAAGCCCGAGCTCAGCCCCGAACCGCGAGATTTGAATGACAGCTGCTGCGTTGCGCTCCTCTTTGCTCCAAGTCGACTCGCGACGCGCAACTAGATCATCGAAGTTAGTTTTCCAATGGCTGAAGCCCTCACGAAGCCCCTCAGATGCAGCCATGGTGTCAATAAGTGGAACATTTCCAGAGTCAACACCAGCATCCAGGTGCTGGAAAAGCTCTGTAGACGCAGTAACCAAGTCAACAAAAGCAACTCTTGCTTCCTGTAACGTCTCGAATTGCCCTGCGAGGTACGGACCACGACTGTCAATTGCGCTTAGAATTATTCGGTTTCGGGGAAATGAGCCAAACTCCAGGGCATTGAGATTGAACAGGGTCAGAATCGGTGCTAGCTCCGTCTCGATGAAGTAGGCTTCATAGGATTGGTAGTTCCGGCCCCAAAGTTGGTTCCTGGATCGATCACTATCGCGCCACGCTCGTATAATATTGATTCCACTTCCAATATGCTTTGCGGCGGCAGCAGAGTCCCGATGGAGAAATTCGAAGCATGTAAACAGGATGCTAGCCATCACAATGACCGACGTAGCAAGGTTGTCGGTCGATGCCTTGTCGAGTGTGGAACGAAGTGCCCGCCCATACATTTGGACAGCGGTTTGTTTCGCTATCTGTGCTTCTTCTGGGGTAGCGATAGCTTCTGCTTCATGCATCGATCCCAAGGCAGCCAAGGCCAGTCGTATTGATGGTTCCGAGAGACTAAGCTGGAGAACACTTCGCTTCCAGAATGCAACATCGAGGAACCCAGCCAGGCACGACGAGGTAGTGCGGAAAAAGAACTCAAGGGCTCGCGTTTCCGTAGCTGAAACTGCTACGCTGGACAATGCCAGTTCTTGGGGCATTCCTTTAGCTGTTGTGCGCGGTTGTATAGCATACCCGTCGCATTTTCGTCCCGTAGTTAGGCAGCTGAGATGGTTAGCGGGTTCTTGATTTGCCATACGTTATTCATACCGATCGCATGCTGGTTTGCCTTCGTCGCATTTGACTCTTCGTATCCTTGAACAGTGTCAGGGTCGTTGTCTGTTGAATCAAGAGCGCAGCTTTGGCTCACTTGCAGGTGATGCATCCAGTTCGGACTTTTGGTCTACTCGCTCGAGATCTTCGAGTGGTTGCCTCCATCATGAAGCAACGAGTGGTTTAGAAAGAGGAATCCATAGGTAAGACGCAGGTCGACTTGGAGTCGGCTCCTTCTGTCACGTGCTACTAAGTAGGTATACCTACCGCTGCGCATTTTGATTGACCGTGGGTTGAGATTGGTAGATCTATAGACTATACCAACCTGAATCTGATTTTAACTGCCTGGGTGTGTGGAAGAAAGGTAACTTAGAGAGGCTTGATCTGTTCGAGCTCGGAGGGAAGGAGCTCATGGTTGTCCACATATACATACCTCTCGAGGTTTATTATTCAACCTTCATCCAACTCATCCACTTACTTCATTCGACCGGAATAGCAGCTTTCCTTCCGGGCTATTTTTTCACGTTGCGTCAAGAAAGAGAGATATGACTTCCTCCTGCCATCTTCTTCCTCATCAGCTCCGTCCTTACCTATTTCGTACGATATCCAAAAACCTCTTGACAGAATGACGTCCACTCAACGCATGGAAAACAGCCCCAAGACCCTCCAGATACCCGAACTCAACCAGTGCCCAGTCTGCAAGGTCCTTGGATACAGAAGCGAATACGGAAGGAGCAGTTTCCGCGGACGGGCAATGATAAGCGACGACAACGTTGCCCAATGGCTCGAGATGGTTGAGATGTACCAGCGGGAGGAGTGCGCGCAATGCGGGTTTGTGGTCGACTATCTGGGCTCGGGGTCGAGCTTTTGGATTAGAAATGAGCATGAGCATACACGGATTCCGGACGATGGGCAACTTCTCAATGGTCGGAATGACGGCGAGCGGCCACGCAAGAGGCGGAAGGGCGATGCGAAATCAAAATGATCGATACTCGCCTGGAAAATGCGTGGACGGAATTTGGTTGAGGGATTATTCAGATACCGGGTTTTTATCTATCAGAATGCCTGGGTTATGTACTACGCGAGAAGGATTGATTCATTGCTTACGGGTATTCGTTTGGAATAAAATACTGCATTGAGCTAAATGCCGAGTGGTATCATGAAACATGTAGTCGACAATCCTAGAATCCCAGCGCATCGACCTGGCCCAGGAAGGAATCTTTGTTCTCCCCACGCAGCAGCGCCTCAATGTCAACCCTTCCGGTGGTAAGGTAACGCTCGCTCACTCCGAGATTTACCCGCTGAGACAGGAGCTCGTTCAGCTCGGCACGAAGACCCACGAGTTCAGCCTTCGAGGTGCTTGCAACCTGCCTGTCACGCTCTTTTCGTCCACGCCCACGCCCGCGACCCCATCCCTGGCCTTCGTCGAATTCGTCACTGTCGTACTCAACCCCGAGGTCTTCGGCGGCGTTGCGGAGCCAATTATCCTCGGTAGTGACTTTCTCTTTAGCGATGTTTGCGTCTGTGATGCGGGCTGCGAGGGCAACCCGTGGCTTGACCCGCGAGACAACCCGGCGGTCTAATTCCAGGGACTCAAGAGGCAGCTTCTTGCGGTTGGCCATGTTGGCGTGGACCTTGGCGGCTAGGCGAACGACTCCAGTCATCTCCTCAGGAGAGCAGATAATAACACTCCTTCCCGAGGCGCCGGCACGAGCCGTACGACCGGATCGGTGGACATATGTGTCTGCAGTGCGTGGGGCGTGGTAGTGAAGGACGAAGTCGATGCCCTTGATATCAAGACCACGGGCTGCAACATCGGTTGCGACAAGGATTGTGCCTGGATCCGCGGTTGGAGATGAGAAACGCTCGACAGAGCGTAGACGCGCTTTTTGGGCCATTCCCGAGTGGAGGGCTAGGGCAGGAAGTTGGAGTATCTGAAGCAGTTGCGTGATGCGGCGGACGGCAGAAATGGAGTTAGTGAAGACTAGGGTGCGGAGTTTGGGGTGGTAAAGTAACAGTGTGTATAGGAAGAGGTCCTGAGCGACGTTAGCAAGCAGCACGAGATCGCGACTGCGGGACTAACCTTTTCCATAGCACCACACTCAACGATTCCCTCCTTGAGACCCTCAGCCATCTGCGAGACAGGGTTGGCATCAATAAACTTGGGCTTTTCCTCTCTGAAGTTCAACTTCTTCAGAAGATACTCCATCGATTCCTTCGTGTTCATTATATCACCACCGGTCCACTTGCCTTTCCCTGCGAGCTTCTGTTGCAAATCGCGGTGGAAAGTAGCCGAGAAGACAAGAGTCTGCCTCTGCGCGCTGGGGTCGGCATTCTCTTCGGTCGTGCCGTCTTCCTCATCGGGCGGATCTCCCTCTTCAACGCGGTCCAGAGACCCTAGAATATCCTCGACCTCCTTGAAGTGACCTTCGCTCAGAAGTCTATCGGCTTCATCAATAACAAGAAACTTGATGCCTTGCATCCTCCGAATCAAGCCCTGTCCTGTGCGGAGGACTTCCCAAACACGACCAGGAGTTCCAATAACGATGTCAGCTGTTTCCAGATACCTCTGCTGCTTCTGTACGGAGAGACCACCAGTCAGGAGTGCGGTCCGAGCATTGACTCCTGGAGCGTTTGAAATCAGGCCGTAGATATGCTTCTGAAGCTGATGCGCAAGCTCTCGAGTAGGTGACAGGATCAATGCAATCGGGACCTTTTCTCCCTTCTCCTCAGAATCGTTCTTCTTTCCCTTCTGTTGTTCGAGATAATGCTCCAGGATTGGTACTCCAAAGGCCAGCGTCTTTCCGGAACCGGTGGAAGCTTTGCCGACAACATCGTGGCCATCCAGGATCGGGGGTATGCATGACTTCTGGACCGTAGTTGGGGTGCTAAACTTCAACTTCGATAAACTCGTAAGTGTTTCTGGAGCGAGGCCAAGCGGCTCCCATGCAGAAATGTCGGCGCCATCATCATCCGCCTCGTCCTCTAAAGCAGCGAAGGAGAGGCCTGACTTAATGCTGCTGTCCTTTGCCTGCGCCCCATCCTTCTCTTTCTGCTCCTTCAACTTTTTTTTAGGCTCTTTTACCTTGTCCTCCTTCTTTTTAGACTCGTCAGCCTTAGTCTCCTTCTTCTTGTTCTCCTTTTTCTTGGCCTCTTTTCCTTCTTTACCGTTCACCGTCGCCGGTTTAGGCTCCTCTTCTGTTGTGGGGGCGCTGTCCTTGTCCTCGGTTTCCTCGTCGCTGAAGCCGCTCCATTCATCGTTGAACTCGATTTCTTCCGGTGTAGGCTTCTTCAAAATGGACTTTCCCGGCTTCCCTGCGGCGGACTGTTGCCGGTCAGCTAGGAATGCTTGAAAATGCGCCTTCAGACCATACCTTAAATTTGAGCTGTCCGTTACCCTGAGGTCGAACGATGTCCACCCCTTCAATCTCCTCTAGTCCGAAAAAGCCCTCAAAGTCGTCCATCCGGTCAGGCAGCGCTACCTCCTTCCAATCGAGATCGTCAACGCCGACAACCACCTCCGGCTCGGGCTCTTTCTCGGCCGCATTGCTAGGCTTTCCGGTCCTCTTTCGCTTTTTGAAGTGTGAGTCCGGGCCCTTCTGGTCGCGCTGGCGTTTCTGGCCCATGGCTAATGAGAAATCAGGGCGATATTGTAGAAGAAAATGATCAGTCGCAGGATGTTATTCCTCCGAAGAGATCGATTCGGGGAAGAAAAAAAGCGGCAGAATATTCTCACCGCCTTCTACTTTTGCGTTGATCTTATCGGCAGCCCCACGCACCAAAAGAAATCGCAAATCGTCCCCTCCGACTACTCCCCCACCATCACGCATTGACGATCTGAAGTACCACAATCGTCATGGGAAAATCCTCAAAAGACAAGCGCGACGCTTACTACCGCCTTGCCAAAGAGCAGAACTGGCGCGCGCGATCCGCCTTCAAACTCATCCAGATCGACGAGCAATTCGATCTATTCGAGCATGAGAATCCGGAGAAGGTGACCCGCGTCGTCGACCTTTGCGCGGCCCCCGGGAGCTGGAGTCAGGTGCTCAGTCGTGTCTTGATCAAGGGCGAGAGCTTCGGTCGCAGATCCTGGGTTGAGAAGAGGCGCAAGGAACAAGCGCCATTGGCGAAATTGAACGGAGATGCACCGGCGGAGAACGAGGACACCGACGACACAGACTCAACCGCATTGAAGCCACGGAAGAATGTCAAGATCGTCTCTATCGATCTGCAGCCTATGGCACCCCTTCAAGGCATCACAACCCTCCAAGCCGACATCACCCACCCCTCCACCATCCCTCTTCTCCTACGGGCACTAGACCCTGAAGCCTACGACTCCACAACCTCCTCCACGCCTCATGCTGTCCGCCAGCCGCATCCCGTTGACCTTGTCATCTCCGACGGTGCTCCGGACGTGACAGGTCTGCACGATCTTGACATCTACATCCAGTCCCAACTCCTCTACTCCGCACTCAACCTAGCCCTAGGCGTCCTCCGACCAGGCGGAAAGTTCGTCGCGAAGATCTTCCGCGACCGCGACGTGGACCTCCTTTACTCGCAGCTCCGAACAGTCTTCGAGCGAGTAAGCGTTGCAAAGCCCAGGAGTAGTCGTGCCAGTTCTCTCGAAGCCTTCATCGTCTGCGAGGGTTTCATTCCACCCGCTATCCACGATGCCCAGCTTGGTATGGACACTCTGAAGAACCCCCTCTTCGGTGGTGCAGCTGTACCGAAGCCTATATCAGCCGACGGGAACCTCGCCGCAGAGGTACCCGACGAGGAGTCAAGCACAGACAAGCCCGTCGCCACATCAGCAGGCCCTCAAAGCAACGATTTCCAAACTCGTCTCTTACACAAGGACTCAGGCGACTCAACCACACCTGAACCTCTGTTCAACAACCCTCAGAAGTTCGCGCCTGAGAACCGGTGGATACCCTCGTTCATTGCGTGCGGCGACCTCTCGGCTTGGGACTCCGATGCTTCATACACACTACCGCCTGATTATGTGAACTTGGATCCCGTACAACCACCCATGGCCCCACCGTACCGGCGAGCGCTTGAGCTGAGAAAGGAGAGGGGTGGTGCGTATGGCAAGACAAAGTTGGGAGCTATGGGGCGGGCGTGATCATATTCTAGCTGTTTTGGCAATTTATATTCTTATGTTATTTCCTTATTCATATCAACTTTGTTTCGAGGATCATAGAGCTTGCATTAGACGGAGGTGGTTGTGGTATACATGTATATAGAGATAGAGGATACCCGGGTGACTGGCTCAAAAATTGACTTCCAAGTGACACCCCGTGTTTCAATGATTGGATTCCACTATCGTCGTATTCTACAACGATCTTTACAGTATGTATGGAAAAGGCACAGCATCGTAACAATTGATCGTTCATAAACATAATCTAACGTAGCCAAAAAGCCGCAGAAAATGCACGGTATATACGTCTATCAGAGTGTCATGACAAAGATGCGCTGAAGAGGGAAAAGAAAAAGGTATCGACAAGTCATCACATGTACAAGCAATGCAAAACAGCTTAGTAAACCTCAAGAACATATCTCTCCTCATCCTTCAGCTTCTCGATCTCCTTGCGGGTCTCGATCTTCTTGCCGTTGTTCTTCGCATCAATGGCAATAGCCTCCTCAAGAACAGCAGTAACGTCAGGAACAGGCCAGGTAGGACCGCAGAGGTAGAAGGAACCTTCCTCACGCATGTAAGCCTGGACGATCTCGGGGATGGTCTCGCGCATGCGGTCCTGGATGTAGATCTTCTGAGGCTGGTCACGGGAGAAAGCGCAGCCGAGGAGAGTGATGACGCCAGCTTCCTGGTAGGCTTCCCACTCCTCGCCGTAGCAGTACTCCTCGCGCTGGTGGCGGGAGCCCATGTAGAGGAGGACAGCGCCGATCTCCTTGCCCTGGGCTTTCTCGAGGGCGCGGTGCTGGACGAACGCGCGGAAGGGGGCGAGACCTGTTCCCAGACCGGCCATGATGATGGGCTGGGTCGACTTGGGGGGCAGCTTCATGACGCTGGACTTGACGCTGACGGTGACTGGGGTGCCGGGTTGGAGGCGGCTGAGGTAGCGGGTGGAGATACCGAAGCGGTCGCGGCCGCGGGGGTCGGTCCAGTTGACGACGACGATCATCAGGGCGACGATGGAGGGGGTGACCTTCTGGCAGGAGGCGATGGAGTACTCGCGGCGCTTCATGGGGGAGACGATGCGGACGAGGTCGTGGAAGTCGGGGTGGGCGGACGGGTACTCGAGGAGGATGTCAGCGTAGGTGACGGTGTCGACTTCGGCGCGGCGCTTGAATTCGACGGCGCCGTCGGGCCCGCCGAGGGTGAGGAGGTCTGTCTTCTCCTTCTGGTCGGAGGCGAACTCGGCCAGGGCCTCGTAGAAGCGCTTGGGGGGACGACCGAAGATGTCCACGTTCTGCATGAGGGCCTGGTAGACGGTGCGGTTCTCGAGAACGGCGGGGTCCTCGCGGCTGGGGACTTCGACGACGTCGTCGGCGTTGAGGCCGTAGAACTTGATGAACTCAAGAACATCCTCGGGGTCGTTCTCGCAGTGTACACCGAGAGCCTCACCGATGTCGTAGGTGAGACCAGAGTCACCCAGGTCGAACTCGATGTGGAAGATGTTACGGTCGTAGGTGACGGGGGTCAAGCGGCGGTTCTCCTTGACGTGGACAGTGTAGGTCTTGGTAGTCTGGTCAGGGCGAAGGGCAGTCTTGGCACCGTAAGCCTCCTTGAAGGCAAGACCCTTGGCAACAGTCTGCCAGTCCTTGAGGAAAGTGGCAGGCTCGGTCTCGTCCTTGTCGAAGGGCACGAAGCTGTTGGGCTTCAGATCCTTGACAAGCTGAGGTACCTGAGCACCCTCCTCGGGGGTCTTCCAGGCCTCAGGAACCTCAGCCTGGCGGAGAACCTTCTCAAGGTCCTTGACCTTCTCAAAGGACTCGGCATTGCCGGAGAGGGAAGCGAGCTTCTTGACGCTGGACTCCTCAAGGGCGGGAAGAGCGAGGCGCAAGAAAGCAACCTGGAGGGCAAGAGGCTCGAGGGTGGAGTCTTCGAGGACGGATGTGTCGAGGAGGTGGAGAGAAATGCCGCGCTCTGCGACGGCCTGCTTAAAGGCAGCAGGGAGCTTCTTCTCCAGCTCATCCTCCTTGACGCTGGAGACGTTGAGAATAAGCTTAGCGTTGTACTTGACGGAAGCAAGGACGTCAATCTCGCCGAGGAGCTTAATGTCACCGACGTAGGCAGCGTCAGCCAGGTTGACCGCGTAAGGAGCATCCAGGGTCTTGGAGCTCTTGCGAATGTCCACACGAACGGCACCGCCCTGGATCAGGTTGTCGAAGGTCTTGCTGGTGGTGATGTTGCTGGCTGAATCAGCAGCCAACGCTTGTGAAAGAAGGGTAGCGGCGTCGTTAGAGGCGGAAGTGTCGACATCCCAGAAGGTAAATTCTTGCACAGTGGCGGGGTCCAAGAGTTGGAGGGGCTCGACAGTGCTGTCGGCCTGGACAATAGGCTTCTCGGAGACAAGCTGGAAAGAAGCAGCAATGCTGATCAGGTCCCAGCGCTGGGAGCGAGCGTACTTGATGTCGACAACAGAAGGCACCTGCTCGCGGTCTGTGGCGAAAGTGAGAGCCGCAAGGACGTCCTCGTATAGTGTGGAGCGGACACCCTGCTCTTGCACGGCCTGCTCGTTGGCAACCTGCCCGAGAACGCCAACGGTCTTGACGGACTTGGGCAGGACCTTCAGGAACTCCTCCTCGACGAACGGACGGTAAACACGAACGTTTACAACGCCGACGCGGACACCATCCTTGGCCAAAGATCGAGCGACCTGAGCAGTGAGGGAGGCCTCGATGGTACCGAAAGCAACCAAGACGGAGGTGGGCTCAGCATGGCCGTGGTACTCAAAAGCACCATAGTCGGTGCCAAGCTCTCCGTTCAATGCGCGGATGAGCTCAAGCATCTTGCCCTGGTTGTCGAGGTGGCGGCTGCGCTGGTCTTCCAATGTCTTGCGAACGGTCTCGTAGGCGCGGCCAAGACCAGCCTGGTCGAGGACGTCAATGACGCGAGTGTTGTCGCGGCCAACGCGGACACCGTCGTAGATGTGGATGGAGGGCAGAACGGAGGCAAGCAATGTGGTCAAGAGAGCCATGTGCTGCGACTCGTGAACAGAGGCGCTGGAGACTAGACCGAGCCCAAGCTCTTCGGCGAGAGAGAGCGCGGAAACGTAATCGGAAACCAGTCCATCCTCTCCAGAGTAGTCAACCGCGGCGACGTGAGCGGCAACGGGGCTGGCGACAGAGTAGAGCAGAGAAAGCTGCTCCAGGGCAGAGCGCATGTACGGGAGGGTCGCGGAAGAAGCAACAATGCCCTGGGGAACGTGGCGCTTCTTCAAGTCAAAGTCCTGGGAGAAGAGGTATCCGAGAGCGATGTTTCCGGCACCCTGGCGAGTCTCCATAGCCTGGACGGCCGGGGCGTCGCCATTGGCATTGACCTCCTGCTTAGAAGCCCATTCGCGGATAGCAGCGTCCAAATCGAAAGACTCCGGGGAGTAGGAGAAGATCTTGTCGCTGAGGGCGTAAGCAACCTGCTGAATTAGGGTCTGGGCGGTCACATATGTAGGACCGGCGAGGGTCGACAGGGCTGGTGAAGAGGAGCCCATTGTGAGAATTACCTGCTGAGACACCAGATTCGCGTATCTGCTATCTCAAGGAACAGGAACAATGGCAAAAAGAAATAAGAACAGCGGGGAGAAAGAAATAAAAAGGCCTGGAGGAGGCGGATTCAATCACTATACTCCAGGGCCGAGAAAAAAGTGCCAGGAACCATACCCGATCCGGCTAGTGGCAATCACGCAATTTCATTGCGAGATCAAGCGCCACAGATAATCAGGGTCGCCCGTTCAGATAGCCACCCAGCTCGTCCTTGGTCATCAGCTTGGCTAACTAGACATGTGGGTCTAACGGCACGCTAGGCGGCGAACTGAGGCAGAAAATCTCCGCTTTCGGCCGAGCAGTCTTCCCCGCATTACTAATTCATTTCTCCAACTTTTCGCCTCAGGACTCAGGCATTAAAACTCTTCGCAAGGCTTGGCGCCGAGGTCCATCCAGGACAAGTCAAAACGTCATTGACAATCCCCACTACTCCGTATCTAGCGTCGTCTCTTCAGCTTCAAGGACTTTTTTCCTAGGAAACATTCTGGAAGGCGTTCATCTTCACCAAAATGACGAACGTGGCCTTGATTGGATGCACTGGCATGGTGGTATGTCTTCACCTCCATATCTGCATTGCGCACAGCATATAAGGTGCTATCGCGCATCGCAAAGCTTCACCTTGACCATGGTTCATGGAGCTCATACATATGTAGGGGGCGCATATCCTCACCAGCCTAATCGCCAACCCCGCTGTTACGAGGGTTGACACAATCTCACGTCGCACTCCGGCTGCCGCATCTTCCGCGCCGCAGGCAAAGTTGACCACGATTGTGTCGACTGATACCTCAAAGTGGGCAAGCGAGCTTTCGTCCCTCTCGCCAACACCATCCATCTTCATCTCCGCCCTCGGAACCACAAGGGCTGCCGCAGGGAGTTTCGAGAACCAGTATAAGCTGGACCATGACCTGAATTTGGAGATGGCCAAGGCTGCCCGTGATGCCGGTACCAAGGTGTGCGTTCTGGTCTCGTCGAGCGGCGCGGACGTCAAGTCCACATTTGCGTATACCAGGATGAAGGGAGAGATTGAAGAGGGCTTTAAGGCGTTGGGATTCGAGAGGACGGTCATTTTGCGACCTGGTTTGATTGCTGGCTCGAGGGAGGAAAGCAGGCCTGCGGAGGCTGTCGCCCGGTTCTTTGCTGGAGCTCTTGGTAAATTGCACTCGAGCTTGAAAGATGGATGGGCTCAGGAGTCGGATGTTATTGGCAAGGCTGCTGTCAATGCAGGGCTCAAGGCGCTGGAAGGCCAGGTTCCTGCAGGCAGTGAGAAGGTCTGGTATTTGTACGGAAGTGACATTATTCAGCATGGGAAGGAATGAGTCTGTTTTACTGGGATGAGATGTGATTGAGGACTCGGTATTTTTAGCTGCGTTCTTTGTTGACTGCCCTCTTTTTAAGTTCAGCAGTATCTTAATACATAATTATATGTTCATGCAATGCACACCGCAAAGACAAAGAAACCGTGCTTGGCTGCATTCGACCTTTAAACCTTAAAACAATGCCTTTATCTACTCTAATTGAACAGCCCCCTCACTTCCTCTGCCTGTTCTTCCTGGGCGAACCACCCCCACTATGCACACCACCCTCCTTGTCCGCATTCTTGGCAGCACCTCCCTCCATGGGATCCCGCGCACCACCAACATCTTTATCCGCCGGACTAACAGTCAACGGATCGCGTGGATCTCCCCTCTGATTCGTCTCCTTCTGCGACTGGCCAAGCTCGCTTTCCGGGGCCGTGTTTGATGGGTCAAATGCAGCGTCCCGAGTCGCAACCTCGTCGGTCGTGGCTGACTGCGTATCCTCGGTGCGGTGGGGATCTAGCTTGTGGCGGTCATGGAAGTGATCTTCTTCGTCTTGGGGTTGCGCTCGACGCGCGGGCGTGGTGAGGAAAGTCCTGCGGGCCTGGAATTGGACCTGCGCTGGTGAGGTGGAGGAGAGAGTGCGCGGGGTCTGGCGGAGGGGAGTAGCCCGGCTCAATTGGGCAACTCTGGAGATTTCTTTCCACATCTTGGAAGGGTTCGTGATCTAGGATCGGATTTTGTTGGTATTAAAGACGACTGTGTTGTTCATGTACCAGATGTGGTGTTTCTGGACGGTAATTAGACTGGCATTCGGATGTTGGTACGAGTATAACTTACAGTGATGAGTATATACTATACTCTGTGGTTTGATGAGTTGAGTAGAGAGGAGAAAGCAAAATGAATGGACTTCGAGCTTGGGTTTCCAACGTCCTGGACTTTATCCTAGCGGTCATATTGACGTCATATAATTTCTCCATGATACCCCATATCTACACGTGACTGATAAGTTATGCGCGTCCGCCAAGCATGGATGGGCGGCTCCAGTTCGCGACATTATTGCTTGTGCGCTCCTCCGAACATCTGGAAATGGAACGTCACTGCTAACGAACATGGTCTACAAATTTTGACTGTCGGCAGGCGCGGCGAAGGAGAAAAAGCCTTGATCAACGCACTCAAGATAGACGTGTCTGGAAAAACACCACATCCTACTCAGGCAAGCGATCTGAGCCTTGACCAAGGAGTTATCCTCCGTCATGAGACACAGCATTGCAGGAGAAAACGATCAGAAAACAGACTCCATGAGCTCCGGGGCTTGAAATCCGACTTCCCCGTGCCACGTCAACGGGACTATACACAGTCACGGCTTCTGAAATGAATCATGAACGCCACGCTGTGACATCCTTGCAGCCTCTGACCATGCCAAAGCGTATGCCCAATGTGAAAAGGGTCGAGCTCAGACTGAATTTGCAACGCAGCAACAGGGACGAAGGAAAAGTGGCCAACAGACACTTCCAAAGGAGGTGTGGAGGCATCCATTGTACGGGACGATGATCTTGATTGCAACGGCACTTCGAGACCGCAGCAAGTCTAGCCCGGCATCACGCCTAGAAGATCAACTGCGGCAAGGTCCCACTGGAAATATCGACTTGGCCTCAATGACTCAAAGACGGTCAGTCAAGACGCGAATTCACGAACCTTAGCCTAGAAGCCGAAGGGCTATGCAGCTGTCAACATGCAATGCATGGATCCGCCCCCAAATTACTGTAGAACGGTAAGCGGGTCCCTTGTCGAGGGTCTGAGAGCCTACGAATGCGCTTGCAGGGGTGCTGTTATTAGCTGCATAAACCTAGTGGTGTGTCAGCGAATCGACTGGGCGTAGTTTGCTGATAATGTTTAGCATGCGTCTCCGCGAGAACCAATCCAGACGCGTAACAAGGATACACGGAAGAAAGACTCTCACTTTAAAACCGCAAGGACACAATCCGCCGGTTCCATTTGTTACCTGAAACAGGAGTGTATGCGGTATCCGCAGGAGGCACGCTTTGCTCGAAAATCACGGGATCAAAACAACCCGGCGTACTGGAGCACGTATGTGGGTCCGTTTGAGTCCAAATTCAACGTCATCAAAAGCGGATTTTGATAGCTAGGGCCCGGACAAGGAACGGGACAAAGTTCAACAAGACAATATTACTTTTTGCTCTCCATCGAATGCGAAAGGAATAACAAGAGCGATTGGCGTAGATTGTTTCCCATGCTGTTCCGGCAGATCCTTGTTCTTGAAAGTATAATTGCCACTGTCAGGGATAGACGAGACTGTGCCCGACGTAAGACAACTTGGGACGAGGACGAGGCTGTGGCGAAAGCAGACTAGATCGGCTCGTGAACGGACGCGGAGGCTGTCTCCAACATTGCTTCTTCGTTGTGATCGGATAGCACAGAGGAGCAGCCTCTGAGTTGGCAATTGACAAATTACCATGGCTCCGTGTTCCGACTGTTTGGGGAGATGGCCAGCCAAATTGGATGCCCGGAGATCCTTCGCCATCACACCAGGATGACAACAGATGATGGAAATCAGCGGAATCACCGACACTTCCAGAACGCCCGGCCAAGCGGGATGAGAGGTTCGCCAATAAAAGTGCGAGACGGAACGAAGTAGTCTCTTGAGCTCATTTCCATGCAACGTACGTTGACAGCCTGATTCCTCGAAAAAGCCCATCAGCAGAAGACGATATTCGAAGGCAATTGACCAGACGAAGGCCGCCACGTCAGAGTCTGAGAGCTCTAGTGCAGCTGCATGGGTTCGACGAAGGTCTACCGTACCACAGGCTGTATCAACTATGGCCGAAGCGCAAGAGGGCATCCTATCATCTTGGGCGAGCATCGAACTGAACCCTGCACCTGAGCGGGGGTGGATGCGGGATTACTTGTCTGCAGATGAAAGAGATCAGCTGAATGAATCGGCCCTCCATGGAATCTGTGCTCATCTTACCAATCCAAGGAATGGCGAACTCCAAGGCTGATAGCTAGGGATGCAATGGACACCAATCGCCGGATGCTAGTGACGCATAGTTTGCCACGAAGGGCAGAAACTTGTCGGGCAACCATGTCCTGACGGGAGTACGCGGAGATGAGACAACCATTGGCACGGCATGGATTGGATCAATACACATCACTTAGCTGACGAGAGACGGACGGAAATTGGAACCCAAAGCACGAAAAGAAAGTGTCGAGGACCGTGGGAAACAGTTTTCATTACCCACTCGAATCAGAGTAGGGCGTGATGCATGGACAGGCCAGGGCCATAGATTGTTTCCGGTCAAGGTGTCTGCATCAAGGCCTGCAACAAGGGCAACCCTATCCAGAACTAATTGGTTGTGGATGCAGATGCAGACAAACTAGCAGGGTATTGAGGTACCTGAAAGGTTGGGCCGGCATAGAAGGCTGATCACGGTCATGCCGAAAGCAATAAACAACTTGGGAGATGGGTTATTGTTTTTTGGGAATTGACATTGTTTTGGCGAAGTCCGCTTCCTCTTGATTGGATACCTGCATGTCGCTTTTGATATTCATTTTCTAGTCCCGTTCGGTTTGATTTCTGGTCTCCAATTGAATGCAAGGTTAACTTTGAACCGGGGGGCAAAGAATGCTCCAGTGTAAGACAGCTTGACAGCTGGCAGAAGATGTCAGCCTAATCATGCAGGAGCTTTGATCCAGCAAGTGTGAAGGATGTCTAATTCTCGAAAAGCGGTTTCATGCGGAACGGAGATGCATGGACGAAACGGGGATGATCGATGGAAACTCCATGGCCACTGTTCCAAACAATCGTCCCGGAACGAGAAAGATTGACTCGAGCTGAGGGATTTTCTGATGTCCAGGCTAGCTGAGAAGAAAACAGGCTGCCACGACAGCAGGGACCATGCATTCGTGAAGCATCCGCTGATTACGACCGACCCGGAAAGGAACGTTGTGGATATTCGTGTCTCCACTAAGCTGCCAGGAGAAACGTTCAGCGGACGTGATGAGAATGTGATGAGAGGACATGCCGTAGACGATAAGTCGTCGCATGCTGAGGGGCTTCGATCGACGGTGAGTGGTGGTAGAACGAAGAAGCAGTGAGTCGTGACATAGGAGCTTCTCACGAGACATAAATAGGGCCGTCCGTTCCCAGAGATTGATGAGATGGATCATTCAACGTTTCAGACAACACTTCCCCAGACGAAATAACAAGCCAGAATTGCCTGCTTCTTCATATAAGTTGTTTCAACTTTGAACCCTCCACAATCTTCAATAGTCATTGTGCAAGCCTAGCCTATCAAATTCCCTTGGGCGGTAGGCAAATCAACGTCAGCCAATCACAATCCAAAAAAAGCTGAAACAACAAACTATACCAATCAGTGAGTTCAGCTCGTAGGCTAGAAAGACCATGGCTGACAGAACGGGTAGAAATGTGTTTCTACAACCAGAAGAAATTCTCCTGCGGAGACTGGAACTGGACCAACTTCATCACCCAGTGCAATTACGAATACCGCACTGGTGAGACATGCGGAATGAAGCTCGTGTACGAAGCCCAGCATGAGATGGTCAACTGCCGCATTTGCGAGAAGATCATTACCAAGACCCGTCGACGAGACGCTGAGATAGACCGGTTGAAGCGGTGGGAAAGGGAGGGGGGCACTCTCGTGGCGTCAATGGAAAAGTCGCGAGAACTAATCCAGAAACTGAACGCTGAGATCAAAGAACTGCAAGCGCAGCGAAAGTTAAAGCAAATGAATTGCTGATGTTTGGATTCCCTGTCTCATCAGTGGCTGATGGTCTCCTCCCAGTTTTCGTGTCTAATGTCGATGATTCTTGTCCTTTCATTCCGTTGATTCCCTCGCTTGCGGTGCTCTTTTTCCTGGCCTCTCAATTGTTTAATGGCGCTCCTGTTTGTTAATCTTGTCTCATACCATGTGCTACCTTATTTTGAAGCTCATCAGCCACACGATCACATCGGGCTGGTTTCAGCCTGCCAAACACATCAGATGCTGGTTGGAGAAAAAGTCCGGACTGCCATTGTTGTTGAGATCGTATAATCCAATGAATTCTTCTATTTTTGGTGATTCGGCATGAATTTGCGACATCTTGCGAGAAGGTGGAACTCCTAAGCGCCTGTATTCCTGATAGAGCAGCCGGGCTCGGCAAGGATAGAGCGGCGTCCCGAGGTCAAGGGGCGAGAGACGTAGGAGATCTGCTGAAGAGCAGCAACTGTTCTTAGGAATGTTCTTGCTGGCCTCTGTTGAAGAGCGTATGACGTTCCTTTCCTTGATTCAACTCACGAGTCGGGAGGTTGTTGTTGTCTTGCCCATCAACCCCGCATGCGAAACATAGAACCCCGTCACATGATAGCCGTATTTAGTAAGCAGCTTGGCGCGGGCGTACAGTCTTAGGGCCTCAGCTGCACGTCACGCCATTAGTATAATGATCTAAGATTGTTGATGGTTTACTTGCAGCCTGAAGAAACGCTAATGATTGTGCAAGGACAAAAAGACGAAGGGTAGCTCCTCCGTAGAAAAGGCAGCTCATACCCACCATCTGGTGCTCAACATCAAGACGGACTGGCGGCGCTTATCGTTGAGATGGATTGAGAATTCAGATAGGGCATTCTTGTACTCAGTGGTTGGTTGTTCATCTTCAGTTCAAAGATCAAGAAGGAGCGCTGATGCGCGATGAGTGAGGAGTCTGCCCTCGAGAAGAAACAATGAAAGGGACAGCGGATACTCGGTCAGATATATATTCGCCGATGCCCGACCATGTCCTAGTCGTTCAGCAATTCAAGCCTTCGAGCTTACCATAATCTACGTAACAGACCACAAGCTACGTGGACCATTAAACTGGTGAGATTGCTGTTTAATCGCTTAATACGACAAAAAACCAGAGCAAACATGCGAATCATATTGTTTGGCGCTCATTTTCGACGTCGCTGCTTGCCACGTCACCGGTGGGCGACGCTGCTTATGCTTCAGATGCAGTTGTAGCAGACGACTTATACAATCTGAATGGCTTTGTTTCCTGACAGATGCTAAGAGGTCAAGGATGTACGTGTCTAGAGTATGTAGACCATATGCTCTCGGCGACATTTGTTTGGATGTGGTAACGTTAATGAAACAGCTGGCATTATCTAGGTCAGGCAGAAGCGGAGACGGGTGTCTCTATCTATTTTATGTCGCCAGCTTCGGGCTCGTCGTCGACCTTGGCTAGCCCATGCTCTTTCAGCAGGGCATTGATCTCGTCTGCATGCCACAGGTGGTGGTAGATCTTTCCTTCCTTCGTTTTGCCGACAGTTGCGAACTCGACTGGCAGGGGTGAGAAGCGTAATTAGTAAGGTAGACCATGGCAAAAGACCGAAAGTACTCACTCTTCTCGCTGCTCAGCTTCGTCGAATCCATCGTCTTGCTCAGGACCTTGACGGCCATGGCACATGCCTCCTTCAAGTCGCAGTCCTCCTTATAATCCTGCTTCAGAAGACTCTGGGCGCTCGCGTTGTTCGCTCCAACACTGGTCGCTTTCCATCCACCGTAGTTACCACTTGGGTTGCTTTGGTATAGCTGGAACTCTCGGAGAGGGTCATAGCCCGCGTAGATGAACGAAACACCGAAAGGACGGAGACCACCGTGTTGGGTATAACCTTGCTTCAGATCGCAAAGTCTGCGGACGAGCTGTTCGCAGGGGATTTCCTCGCCGTAGGTAATGAGATAGCGCTGAGCTGCTTGTCGGGCGTAGTTGATGAGGATGTTCGCATCGGCGGTCATACCAGCGACGGCACAGATCATGTTACTGCGAGACGTGTCAGTCCAATTATGCATTCTTCAACCCGGAGACGGTGCATACTCGTTCAATGTGTAAAGCTTCTCCGCAGATGTGTCTTGCTCGAGCAGCTTGCTCGTCACCTTCTTCTCTGCGGCGAGGACAATGCCATCCTTGGCGAGGATTCCCAGAGCTGTACCCGCATGTGAGATGGCTTCAAGTGCATACTCGACCTGGTAGAGTCGGCCTTCTGGCGAGAAAATGGTGGTCTGGAACAAGCATCTTTGTGTCAGTGGGAGCTGTCAGCCGGGGTGTTCGGAGGTAGCGTACCCTGGAATCGTAGCGTCGTGACATTTTGGATCAAATGCAAAAGCGATCAAACAAACTGCGTTATGGTACGATTCGATTCGCAAGCGGATTCGACTAATAGAAGGAGATGGGGTGGTGGAGGCAGGGAGATGAATGAGTGCTGTGACGGAAGAGCTAGGACAGTTGGGGTGAGCTCTCAGTGTCTTCCAGGCAACTCTCTCGCGCGTCCACTCCGCCAAGCTCGGACCACGCCCAAACGGAAAGCTTCATCTCTCGCCGCCAAATGATCTGAGCAAACCATGAACCAGTCGCTTCCTTAATATCTTCGTATTTCGGTTAATACATAATGCTTAGGTCCACGTACACCCCTCCTCCTCCATTACCACCTGGATGGACTGAGCACAAGGCTCCTTCCGGTTTGTTCATACGATGATCGCATGGAATTGGCTCTTCTGACGAATGCTAGGTCACACATATTATTACAACTCGCAGACGAAACAATCCACATATACTAGACCGCATCCCATTGCGGCTGAACCTTCTTTACCGACACCAGTGCCGAATCCCGCTGCCAATGCCCCGTTTCTCACGCCCGACACGCTCCCACCATTTTCCTCCACACCGTATTCGCCTCAGGGCTACGGGCCCTCCTCATTCGGCGCTCCAGGCTACAATCAGCCCCGGGGCGGATTTAGCGGAGGGAAATCTTATCATCATCGCCGACCGCGTGGGCCTGAGGACCGGCCGAGATCGAAACATGCCCTACCAGGATGTGAACCATGGGTGCTAGTGAAAACCAAACTGGGAAGGAGATTTGTCTATAATACGGAAACGAACGAGAGCTTCTGGAACATCCCGACCGAGGTACTGAAGGGCGTTGTTGAATTTGACCGTCTTGAGCGAGAGGCTAAGGAACGGCGCGAACGTGGAGAGCCGGAGCCCGAGAAAGCGACGGTAGCCGCCGGAGATGATACTCAACGCGAACCGGAGAGCGCCGCTGCTGCCGAGGGCGCGGGTCATGAAAGCGATGAGTACGAGGAAGTCGAGGTCACGGACACCGAAGGAGAGGATGAGGATCATCCATTCAAACGGCAAAGAACTGGCAGCTCAGAAAATCAACAACCCGTCGAATTTACAGAGGAGGATATAGAATACCAGCTTGCGGCAATGGGCGAAGAATACGGCCTCGACCCCGGTGAATATGGAGAGCCAGGAGAGGAGGGTTGGGAAGAGGGCGCTGAAGGACTGCCGCTCACAGATGAGGACGCTGCTGCACTATTCCGTGACCTTCTTGACGACTATAACATAAACCCGTTCACAACATGGGAGAAGATCATTGAAGAGGGCCGCATAATAGAGGATACGCGCTACACCGTCCTCCCAAACATGAAGTCACGCCGCGAAGCATTCTCATCCTGGAGTCGAGATCGGATCCAAGAAATAAAAGAACGCAAAGAAAAGCAAGAAAAGAAAGACCCCCGCATTAAGTACCTCGCCTTCCTTCAAGACTACGCAACCCCAAAGCTCTACTGGCCCGAGTTCAAACGAAAATACAGAAAGGAGCCAGAAATGAGAGACACCCAGCTCTCTGATAAAGACCGAGAAAAGTCCTACCGCGATCTTGTCTCGCGAATGAAACTGCCCGAGAGTACTCGGAAGTCAGACCTCTCTACGCTGCTTAAATCAGTGCCATTGCATGAGTTGAACCGCTCGTCTAATCTCGAAGCCTTACCACCTGCTATCATCACAGACCTCAGATACATCGCGCTGTCACCTAAGGTGCGCGACCCGCTGATAGAAGCTTTCATTTCTACTTTGCCCGCGGCACCGGAGGAAGATATTTCTCCCGAGCAGAGGGAAGAGCTAGAGAAGAAGAGGGTGGAACGAGAGAAGCGCGAGAGGGCCCTGGCAGAGCGGCAGAAACAAGTTCAGGAAGATGAGCAGAGGCGGAAACGTGAGCTTGCCCGCGGTAGGCACCTCTTAGAGGAGGGCGAGGCGGAGATCCAAGAGGCTATGAGGGTTGGGAAGAGTGGGCTTCGAAGTCATCTAGAGCCACAATCTGCAGAGCGGGAGCCTGTAGATGGGGAGTAGTTGTATATATGTTTGATCGGATAGCCGAGCCATACATCGTACACCATGATTTATGATATATGCCAAATAAGCTTGTGTCTTAATTGTTGTTCTCTTCCTGCTAGAGTACATGATCGATTTTGGTTGTCATAACTAGAATACAGTCTTAGGTCATTAATCAAGAATTTTCATGCGCTGAAATGCAGATTGGCCTAGCCCCGTCCGTTTAATGAAGCAGATGCACGTAAGAGATGGATTGCCAATTTGCCCGTTACGGTCGATTAACTGACTCATAACGGGTGCTGAAGCATAGAGTATGAGTATGAGTATGGGGTATCAATGAATAAGAAGCGCCCAGGCTTGACCTTCCCAGTAAGAAAAGACGCCATCCGGTCCCTGTGTTTGGTTGCAACCATTATTATTAGCATTACCTAAACCTCCAATTATCCCAGTCGTCGTCAGCGTCATCATCGTCCTCCTCGTCGTCTTCTTTATCCTCGTCCGTTTTATCAGGCGCCGAGGTATCCGCTGCATTCGGGACTGGCTCTGTGGCAGTCGCAGCCTCGTCCATCTCTGCGCTCGCCGTCCGCTTCAGCCTCAGCTGCTCTCGCATCTGCTTTAACCGCTTAACCCGTTCCTCTAGTTGTTCCATCTCATCGAACTCTTCCTCGAGAAACCGCGCTGCATCCTCCCGTTCTCCCTCAGCCTCCGCTTCGCGATTCCGCCTGAGAGTCTCCTTCTCTCTTTCTTGCAGCGCGGCAAGCTCTTCCGTGGTAATCGGCGCAGCTGATATCGTCGCAGCCGCCGCAACAGCAGCAGGCCGCTGTGGGACACGCGTTGGCGCCGCGACTTCACGCTCAAACGCGGCCCATTCGTCCTCGTCAATATTCTGCGGCTGAGGTTCCGCAACGGCCTGAGATTGCGTTATAGAAGGGGCTTCTGATGGCTGTGCGGTTGTCTCTTGCGAGATATTGGGTAAAGTTGGCGTCGCAGTGTCTGACTCTGTCCTCATGACATCTGGGTCCTGCGGCAGTGGCTCGACGTCATAAGCATCATCGTCTTCCGCGACCTGCGCGCTTGGAGGGCGAATTTGCGCATGTGCTAGGAGTCGGTCGGGATCTGTTTGTTTTACTCGTTTGCGCGTTGCGGAGTCCGCCGGGTCGACTTTTCTTTTCTTCGTGACGCGGTTGGGCGTGTTGCTGCCTGTCTGGGGCGTACCCCTTCGGGAAGCAAGCTCGTTTCGGAGCAGCGAGCGGACGTCTGCCATGGTGTTGGGCGAGGAGATATTAGGGCGAGATTGGTCTATTGAGGGATGCGACTGTTCAAGTTGATATATTCCGGGGGAGTTGGTCAGTTCGCAAGGTTGATTGCGGGGATCGGGATTCTGGAGAAGCTGAAGGTGCCAGGCGAAAAAATAACGCGACGGGGCTGGCTGGCTGGCGTCGCCGCAGCGCCAAGCCATTGCTCCGAGCCTCGTCACGTAAGCTGTTCTTCGGCGTCATACTATCACGTTCACGTCCCACTCCCACGCATGATCTATACGGAGTACGGTCACAGGTATCATGTATGATGACTTCATAAACCTCGTTACCGAGATAATTCTGGGTTGAGCATGAGGACTGTGGTGTTACGAGGACTAGTTCTCCTAGGACATGTTTCACTTGGGCACCTAAACTAATGCCTATTTCTCTCACATAGACAACAGGAAATACCCTCATAAACCCGCAATTCAAGCTAAGATAGGTGTGCGATTGGGCGGTTATACACTTCACGCCCAGTAGAATCTCGGTTCACCTTGACGGGGTTTATGTAAAGGAGGGCGTTTGAGAACACCACCCCGACGTGTCCCTGTGGGTGCATGCCCTCTGCGAGTCTAGACTTTACAGCCTTTGGGCTCAAGGTAGTTAGCTTTCCGGAGCTAATAATTGTCCGGCGTTCCCTGTGCGCCGACAGCTCGTGTCCGAGGTAATGGCTAGGTCGTGAGGCTAGATATAGATGACGCAGATGAAAGGAATTTCAGCCGATGGGGATTCCCAGTCATAATCGAATCCATGCCACAGAGCTTCAACCGAAGGCGGGCGTCATAGAGTAAGCGACAATCAGTTGATCATCAGTCTTGAAGCACTGCAGCCCGGTCTATCAGACATACAGACTCATATCAAAGAAGACAGGCTAGGTTCTTACCCTCCATAACCCCCCTACACCTTCGTCGAGGCCAGGGGCGAAAACACTGTTCACGTAGCAAATGACCGAGTCCGCGTCCTTGCAATTAAGCTTTTTTCTGAGAAAGTTGACGACGGTCTCGAATTTCTGCGAGGCACTAATCTTGAACACCCGATTCTTGAGAATGGGGGCAGAAGCCAGGGGTTGAAATCGGACGGTGACTGTAAAGGGTCAATACTTTGTTGTATGAAGCTGAAAGACACGCCAGGGCTAGCAGCAAACTCGCCTATAATGAAGAGCAAAAATGCAAAAGGGAGGGAAGAGGGAGTCAACAATGTACAAAGAAATACAGTGCTGAGGAAGAGTAATTCTTCGAGAACTCTACTCTACATACCTTTGCCTGTATCAATAGCTTCGGCATCCGCTAGAGCTTGGTGGGCATCCCGTGGTAGGCTGGTTAGGACTACCGATGCAGACATGGTCAGTGGCAAGTCTGCCCCATGCTCGTCATCCGGAATGGGTGCATTTTGACTATTGAGAGCTTGCTCTGTAGTTTCCCTTCGGCTTGATGGCCTTTGCAGGTTCGGGTTTGGAGAGCTGGTGTTCGAGGGGATCCGGGAAGCAGGGGAGTTCATTTTGTGACAAACAAACTAAAATAACCAAGCACTACTGTATGTTGGCCGAGACTCAAGAGTCAGATCTCCTTAGAGTTCGGAGTATGCTGGCGATGCAGTGATGGATGCAGTCTGTTTGTAGGGAAGCAGTTGGATGCCCGCAGGCGATGCCTAATGACGGCCTGAGGCAGCAACATCAAATCAGGCGTTGTCCCAATTTTGTGGATGGCCAAAAGCCAACTCTCATAAGGTTGCATTCTCGTGCCCTAACGGGCCTACAGACGCTCATCTGTCAGACAGAGTAACCCCATGTTTGACAGCAGAAAAATGTTCTTCCATAGCCCACCCATCAGTATGGCTCTCGAATCATGGGCTAGAACTGCACGAAAACCACGGCAGATGACATCATTTTGAGATGGCGTCCAGAGATGAAGAACATTGAAGAATCCATCTTGAAGCCGCTGACGATCAGTAATCCACTTTGAACCTTCATGCACCGCCGGAAATGGTTAAACAAATCGCTCATGCCCCAAGTTTTTGGTAGCCTGTCTAATAACCCCGCAAACAGATGATGATCCTTCGAATTTGAGTGATACCGTTCGTACAGAGTACAGTCGGCAAAGCAAACGGAGTAGAGAGCGATACTACGGAGAAGATAACGACTGTTCGGTACCAGAAAGCTCCAATTGAGCCATACATCCTAGCGAAGCATGGATATACTAAGACATCATAAGACCATGTGGGAAACTGAAACTGATCACGGAATGCCTAGGCACCTGACCGCAGGGCTACGTAGCGAGTGACTCGGGGAGTCGGGCCTGGATTTGGGCGCTGTCGGGGGCGTTACCGGCTGAACCATACGGGAGCACCCTGCGAGTATCCCTCCTCTTCTTCCTTCTCTTTCACCCTCCCCTCCCCCACCTCTTCCTCCTTTTGTTCTCCCTCAGTTCCCAGTCGACCGTATAGCCAACACCTTTCTCTCGTATATTCCCAGCGACGACATCGCCGCATCCTCCGCCTACGAAGCATACCTGCGTTTTCGCGCTATCGGCCCGGTTGCCACTCACACTGCTCTTACTTCCCCGCCCGCGATTTGGAGACCTTCCGGTTTAGAGACCAATTACACAACCCATCTTTGGGCATTTAGCTGTTTCAGCGTTCGACTTCAAATTGCGTTTGATATATTTCTCGCGACAAAGCAGCCGCGCGAGAACATTCAACATGAGTTCCCCCAAGCGTAGAATCGAGACAGATGTGAGTACCCCTCGCGAGGATCGACCGATGAGTTGGCACCCAACTAACTCTCAACCCTTCCAGGTTATGAAGTACGATCATCCTCGCTATATCGAACCTTTGCCCTCGCCCCGTGACTAACCGGTCGGCAGGATGTATGAATCCTTCCCATACCTGGCGCCTCATCGACCTCGGCAAGGCCATTGAGTCTAGATAGGAACTATGGACGGAGCTGAAAGAACGACTGAGAACTGATGGACTACATCTAGGTTGATGAGTGACTATGAGGTTACATTGGTCAATGATAACAGTGGGTTGTCGGTTCTGCGCCTTCTACTTCAGTGCTAACCTGGTATAGTGTATGGTTTACCATCGTTGCGCATATTCTTCGCCGAGGGCGCCGAGAGACTAATGGATTGTGATATTACAGGCAGGAGTTCTACGTCCGGTTCAAGGGACCCGAAGAGAGTTCGTCTGCCCTTGCCCAGCAACAACAATTCTGCACCTCTGACACAGTCATCTCCTAGCACCGTTCGCCGGCGGGCATTGGAAGATCCACGTTGAATTGCCAGACCAATACCCTTATAAGAGTCCCAGTATTGGATTCGTGAATCGAATCTTCCATCCCAACATCGATGAGCTGTTAGTCAAGCCAGGTCCGCTGTTCCATATCAGGCACTAATATTATTCAGATCCGGATCTGTCTGTCTCGATGTTATCAATCAGACTTGGTCGCCCATGTACGACATGATCAACATCTTCGAAGTCTTCCTTCCACAGCTCCTACGCTACCCTAACCCGTCAGACCCGCTGAATGGAGAAGCCGCTGCAATGCTCATGAGGGAGCCAAAGAGCTATGAGGTCAAAGTGAAAGGTCGGTTCCTTCCTGCCGCTGAATTCGTCGTACGGTAATACTCACTGCCCTCGTAGAATACGTGGCGAAATACGCCAGCAAAGACGCCGTGGACGACGCCGGTGAGGATACAGAGTCCGAAGACGAACTGAGCTCCGCCGGCAGTTATGAGTCAGACGGAGAGGAACCCGCCGGGAGGTTGGATGATGTTTGAAGCGTTCCAGCATTATTTCGGCATGCTTTACCTCGCATTATTCCCACGGTCGGTCCTATATACTACTTCATCTTGTCATCACGGTCTTATGGGTTTCGCTGGGTTTGTTCATAGTGGCGTTGTTGCGGGGGAGTTTTGGGAAGCCGGAGTCGAATGGGCATACATTTCGCCAATACAGGCGCAGTTGGTGAGTCGGAGGTCATGACATCGTGGGGCTCCCTCGACCACCGCCTTATATCATTTGCTCTCGGGGATCTTGTCTTTCGTGGCTTTCTGAATATCTTAACTCTCCAATCATAACATCAATTGGTATATAATGGAATTTTTGTTACTCACCCTCGCCTAGTTTGCTTCCTACTCTGTCTGGGAAACCTTGAGTCCGTGCTGGAGATTAGTCCTCAAGCAGCCATCGGAATTAAAATAAGTGCGTTAATGCATGCCTACTTCTATGATGATTATGGACAAAGTCAACGTAGCAACCCCAGCAAGCAAACCGAACTCATCACATCAAAAGACGCCAATAAAAAAGCGGAACATGGGGTATTCAGAACCAAACCGGATGACGTCTAACAGAACAGAAAGAGATGTGGTAAAGAGAGGAATAGACAAGAAATTAAGTACGTCGGTCTCGGCCGGCGATACCAGGGCCAATTCAAGAAGACAAGAAGGGAAAGAAAGGAAAGAAAAGAAGGAGCGTACTCCGAACGTCTATCGGAGTTGATGGTTTGTCCAAGTGGATTCGATGCAGTCGTCAACTCGTTCGTCGTGTCTCGCCGGGTCCCAATAGATGGTGGAGTTCATGAATCGAGTCCGACTCAAGGGACCTTCAAGACACCGAAGACATCCTTATCACCGGCTTCATTGGCGCTAGACCCAGGTCGCGACCCTTTGCCCTTGCGCGGGTTGATCACCACCTCACCCCAGTGTTTCGGGATAGCGCCGCGTTTCGGCGATGCGGCGCCCGGTGCGTCGGGATCGACTGTCGTGACTATGACAGAGGGATCGCGGGCTTTCGATGAGGACGAGGAGACGGAGTTGTGGAGGGTTGCTTGTGGTTGCAGATGCGGTTGTGGTTGGAGGGACCAGATGTCGATTACGGAGCTAGATTGGAAGATGGTCAGTTCCTACGGCGCATTTACAACGAGGAAGGGCAGGAGGCGCACTCTGAAGTCCGCTGGCAGATGGCTTCAAGGGCCTCGCGCTCTCGCCTGACGTAGCCGGGATCGGGCTGGTTGGCTTGTTGGCCGTTGTGGAGTGCGCCGTAGCCATAGCCTGGCTGGTAAATGTCGTCTTCGAGAAGCCGGGAAGATTCAGGCTGGGAGGAGAAGAGAATCTGTTAGCGCTTGAATCGTATAACTTGAGCGTGCGACTAGACCAGACCACACCACACCACTGCGCGGATGAGGCCGGTTGCGGAGCAAGGCATGGGGTCCGGGATAACTCACGTCGGTGTTGTCTCGACGACCACCCCCAAGACAGGAAGAGCAGACACCCATTTATAGCAGCGTAGAGTGTGTTAATCGTGGGGTAAAATGCACACGAGACATCCAAACGTGGAATGAATGGGTGTTCGATGGGTTGGTGGAAAAAGGTATGGTATGTTCGTTGTTCGTCCGGGATTGAAAGATAGGTAAGGACTGATTGAAATGTTGATATAGGCACACGATAAAAGCCCAGCCTATGAAGCGCAGATGGAGGACTGGAGGGTGGGTTATTTGAGGGATGAATTATTGAGTCTGAAGCCCAGCCACAGACAGGACTGGCGGACAGAGTCGGAGATAGGCGTGGCCCGTGCGGAGGAAGTGACATCGGGGCCATCCAGCTACTTAACTCCGTACAACCATCCAACCTTGATTCTTGACGCTACATCAACGGGTCCGGGGAGAACGTCCTAATCTTCCTTGAAGATGGCACATACGGAGTATGTCAATGGAGCCCAGATCCCTATCCGTGCCATCTCAGCGTTCCCCGCGAGACGCAGATCCTCGTTGACCATCAGGGATTGGTTCATCTGTGATTAAGATCCATCTTCGTGACCTCTATAGGGTTTAGCCAAGACACTGACAGGGATTCGCGCCTCAGCGACATCTGCAATCTCAAGTTGTCGTCATTGACCCGGATCGTGGCCTTGATGTCCGTAGAAGTGTCAATTGCTGTGCGCCTCTGAGCCATGGTCTCAATTGCCGTGCGGCAGAAGCAACCACAGGGGCAAGTTTCACCAACAACTTCCGCGGCTGCAAAGCTGGCCTACTTCTATGAAAGTGGCTGTTTCTACGACCGAGGCCAAGGGCTCATGCTGCTGCGGCGTTATTTGACGGACTGCGACTAAACGGAATCCCTGCGCAGACAGGTCGAGCCTACTGCTCGCAATCACTACCCAATGCCCGTACAAATATGGCGTCACAATCCGATTGCTCCGAGGCTGTGAACTCGAATCTCATAGATAGGTGGCCATCGCGCAGGCTCTCCAGATAGGGCTGTTGGGGGTGTTGTATTGATCCCGAGGTCTGGTGACCATGGCCAGTTCACAGCAGTGAGCAAAACACTGGTCGCACATACAGGGAAGCAGCGGTAGCCCAGCAAGGAGCAGGCGTACTGGAGTTCAGTCTATCCGCCTGGTGGACAGCCAACGATGATATTTCCGGGCTTGGACGAGCTGTAGAAGCGCGGCAAGCATGGGGCTCCCCGATTTAAGCCCTGGTCATAGAAGGTAGTGACTATAGGCAAAGCCGGGATGCATAATTCAACCAGCGGCAACAAATTCTAATGACCGTCCTGGAAAGGGTGTGGGAAAGAATTTCACAGGCAATGGCACATCTTACTATCACAGGAGTCTTTGGGATTGTCAATTCTTAGGTATGTGCTGTTACCACAGGCTCCAATGCAGACAGGGTCGGCTTTCAAGGTTCTCTTGATCTTGGTGCTTCTGTGGTCAATGTACCAGGTAGGCCACTATGATGTTCATAGGATATGTGATGCGCACACCTGTCCCAGACCATATATCCCATGACGTATTTCAACTGAGCTAGAATTCATCTCCTGTACCTGGTTCCCGAGGTATGATTAAAGCATGCCACACTAGGATGGTGTTTGACGAGGCGTGGTGGTACAACGGGGAGGCATCACCCCGCACTGAACTACGCAACCCAAACCTTGGAAAGCCCCGAGTACCTGTGCTGCTTCTCTATCAACACCTGACACACTTTGTTCTACAAGTTTCTCATATCATCGAGAATTAGCGCTTCGGTCATGGCCTCTGCCACACCCACCCGTGCCGGACGTCTCGAGGGTAAAGTTGCTATTGTCACGGGAGCTGGATCCGGCTTCGGTCAGGGCATCGCAAAAAAGTTCGTCGAGGAGGGTGCAAAGGTCATCGTCGCCGATATCTCAGAATATAATGGCCAGGCAGTCGCAGCAGAGTTGGGCAGCAAGTTCATCTACGCGGATGTGACTCGACGCGAGAGTTGGGAGGCACTGCTCCAAGAAACACTTGACGCGTATGGCAAACTCGATATCGTGGTCAATAACGCTGGGGCAACATACCGTAACAAGCCTACTGCCGAGGTCACTGACGCCGATTTCGACCTGTGCATGAACGTCAATGTTCGGTCGATATACCTATCCACCAATGTCCTTGTGCCGTACTTCTTGGAGAGCGACCTTCCTGGATGTTTCATCCAGATTTCCTCAACTGCTGCGCTTCGTCCTCGGCCGAACCTGACTTGGTATAATGCGTCCAAGGCTGCAGTTTGCATTGCTACCAAGACCATGGCCGTTGAATATGGGCCGAAGAAAATTAGGTTCAACTGTGTTTGTCCAGTTGTGGGAAGCACTGGCATGTGAGCATTGTACCCACATTGTGTCTCCAATTTATTCAATCTGATAATGCCGTCTAGGACGCATCTCTTTCTCGGGAAGCCGGACACCGAGGAGAATAGGGCTGCGTTTGTGTCGACTATACCCTTAGGTCGCCCTTCCACGCCGACAGATGTGGCCAATACCTGTAGCTTCCTCGCTAGCGACGAGGCGGAGTTTATCACGGGAGTCGAGCTAGAGGTATGTATGCACTAGCAACCTGCTATGTTGCGCTGCTGATATCATTGTAGGTTGATGGCGGCCGCTGTGTCTGAGCCTTTTTAGTGAGGATTAAACCCGGGGATCTTTCTACCTCGTTATTCTCTAGCTATCAGTGTAGTTATTCGCAGTTAATGTGACGTACGAGGTACGCCTTCACTCTTATGATCAAAATAAATGCTCTGGGGGTTTCTGCTGGCATACTCCGTGGTACAAAGCTCCGGGACGTGGCCGCAACTGGACATTGTGCGTGGAGATTATCAGTGAAACTGGACCTAACGGCTTCGGATTTTCAACCCTCATCTTCTCCGCACAGCAATCTTCATACCCACTCAACGACAACCTATCCCACCGTCGCATCGCCCGGGAACTCAAACAACCAGGTATATCTACTCGAAGTATACTCACAAACCCAATGGCAATGTTCGACCTCCCCGACGCAAAACGGTACGCTCACAACAACCCGAGCCCAAGCCAGTCCTAGCTAGCGACTAACAACATCGCAGCGTCCGCCGAGACGACCTCCTAAACCGCACCTCCTCATCACCCTCCCCATCACCACCCCCGGAATCCATCATCCCCGACGCCCAGAAACGCCTCAGCGCCCTCCTAAACTTCGACCTGAGCGTCCCCTCAGCCCCGGAACCCGAGACCTCAGAACAAAAAAACAACGAAGACGAGGAGCAAGAATTCGAGTTCCGACTTTTCTCGTCCGCGCCGAAATCCGCACCGAAGCCATCTGGCGCTGATGGCGGGGATGGAAAGGGAGCAGAAGCAGGTGGTTCAACGACGGGACCCAGTGCACATGCACAGAAGCTACGGATCCGATTACGGTCTCCGACGCCCACGGCTGCAGGGTCTGGAGAGGGACGCTTCGTGAAGGCGTTCCGTGGGTGGAGCTACTATTTTTCTACGCCGGGGCTGTTGTCTGGGAAGGGGGCTGAGGGTGAGGGTGAGGAGGATGCGGGTGTAGCGCAGAAGCGCAGACAATTTGAGGATGTCGCTGTGAGTGGGGAGGATATGGTTAAGATGGCCGGGGTGCCTTGGGTGAGTTGTCTGCCTTGCCCTTTCTATTGTTTGGGCTCTTGATCGGTCTCAGATGGAGCGCAATGCTAACTAGTCATATTAGCCTGGCTGCCATCTCCCTTGGCGGGTAATCCATCTGAAACGCGAGCATACGAAGCTCCCGAAGGAGGAGAAGGGTGCCGCTAAGGCGACGGATGCAGTCACGTATGTTGCGGGTGAATCGGAGAGAGAGCCGTTGTCTCGCAAGAAGCCGGGCAAGAAGCGACGGATTCAATTGCGGAAGAAAGCTGCTGTCGCGGAGAGGGCAAAAGAGACTGAGGCTGAGAAGCGGAACCGTAAGAACAGGGAGAAGAAGATCAAGCGGAGGCAGAAGGCGAGAGAAGCCAAGGCTGCGGCTGGGGCTTCTGGAGGTGGTGATGGTGATGGTACTGCGGGGGCCGGCGGAGATGTCTCGGGGAGCGAGAGTGATTAGAGGGCTATCGAATTGCTTGAGTGTAGGTTATGAAATAATGATACCCCATTTTCCGTGGATTTAAGCAGGCAATTTTCATTATTCTGTCATTTTCACGGTGCAATGACATGATAAGAGATATGTACAAACATGTACACCAGCCAGCATATTCAATCCCGGCAGGAAGGAGATCATGAAACAAAAGACAACGAAGACTTGCATTTGCAAAAGAACAACAGCGCAGGGTATTTTACCAAATCAGATTAAGATAAATTGAACCATAAGATCGAAACTCGACACATTCGCGCTGGGGTATGAGGTGAGAACAATATATCAGACAGAAATCAAGTGGAACTGCAACTACGAGTGCAGCCCGCCAAAAGCTCAGGTAGATGTAAGAGTATATCAGAGCGCAACACGTTTAGTTGAGCGGCAAGACATCTATTTAGTTTCAGCTTTAGCGAAATCAGTAACCGCGTGATTGTGAGCCAACGGAGGGTAAACAAGCCACTTACTCTTTGCGGGCTCAGCAGCAGGGGCCGCAGGGGTAGCGGTGGGTTCGGCGGGTTTAGCGGGCTCCGCGGAGGCAAGCTCAGCTGCCGCAGCAGGCTTCTCGGCCGGAGTCTCGAATGGCGTCTCTGGGACCGTCGAGTCGGGGGCTATGGAGGGCTCGGACTTGGTGTTTTCAACGGGCGCAGTGGGTGCCGGAGCGCCAGCAGCAGCGGCAGCGGCGGCGGGACTCTCAGTCTTGGTTTCGGCAGGAGTCTCTTCGGGCTTCTTCTCGGGAGCGGCCGTCGCAGCTTCAGCTGGGGTAGCTGGGGTAGCGGCGGTCTCTGCGGGCTTGTCGGCTGCGGGCGCTTCGTCTGTTTCTTGTCAGAATGGCGGTCTCGAACTCAGTAGGGCGAGCGCGAACAACATACCAGGCTTAGGCGCCGCAGCGGGAGCTGGCTCTGCTGGCTTGGCTTCAGTTGCAGGAGCAGGAGCGCCTGGGGCCGCAGCCGGAGCCGCAGTGGGCTTATCTTCAGGCTTGTCTGTCGCTGGAGGCGCCTGATTCTTCTTCTTCCTCCGGAAGATGGCCTTGAAGCCTCTCTTCAGCTGGTCGAGCGCATCGGGGGCTATGGATTGCAACGAGAGCTGGGTCAGCTACCAGCCAGCGCAACAGTGGGACGAGTATCAAAGGGTTACTCACGAACACCAGGCATTTTGATCGGGGGATATATGTGGTTATGAGAGGTTGATGGGAAGGGTGTCAAGAGGGCAAGAGAGTTGCTGAGCAAGCAAGAATCACAGAACAAAGACACGGGAGACGGACTTTGGAAGGGGCAGCTCGCAGCGCCTGGACCGTTTTAAACTGGCGCCAGCAGTTCCACGTGACAGAGCACGGTCCTTGATCTGCTGCGCCCTTAATTTACCGATGATTGTCTCCTTTTCTTCTTCTGCCGCGCGCTGTTTCTCCACGCTGGGCGCCTATCTCTGCCGCACGTCATTGGGTCGTTTCAGTCATCTAGCGCTGTAAGACGCAGGCTAGACTACTTTTGAGTCTCTGTATGACTATATTTGAAGCTGGCCAGCTTCCTCTGGCGTTCCACGCGTTAGTGCTGCTCTCATTTCTGGTTGATGGCTATCTTGGCCTGTTTACCCATCTCCAGTCGTGGCTGTGCTCATCTCCAATACCCAGGCGGTCAACGGCTCGAGACAACGTCATTCGAGAAATAGATTCTTTGGATGTTCAGTGACCATGTCATGAAGCGGATTCCATGTCATGTTTCATAGAATCGAAGACTAGGATTCCCTTGCCTGTCATTGGGTTCACTTGCAGAGAATCCGGCTCAGGCCTCATACTCCTGAGACTTGAGTTTGACTAACAACGGCTGCTGGCCTAAGCTTATCCATGTGGACGCTGTGGGGTCACTGATTCGTATCAATGCCCCGATAGGATATTAGACTCGAATCATAGAGGCTAGAGTCGAATGTCAGGAGTCGTCTATCTTCCATATGCCAGTGGCAGTTGCTGCACCTTAGCTGGCAAGGACTCCAAAGCCTCCAGCGATGCCAGCACAACTTCTTACGTCTGACGCTTTGAACAACAATTGCTCAAAAATCCCAAATTACTGGCTTGCTTTTGCTTTTGAATCTAGGTACTGGGCAAGTTTCGGACTCTGGGACGAACAAGGCTCGATATCCCTGTTCTTGGGTCGCGATTCGCTAGTGACCGGGTCAGACACCCACGCAACTTACGCAAGAGCCTCGAAAATATATCGCATTGGGGGGGGGGGGGGGGGGGGGGGGGGGGGGGGTGCTAGGCTGCTAGCGGGATTGCTTTTCTACGTCACAATTGCCGTGCAACTCTCAGGCGATGAGGGCATGCTCCGACCAAGATCGCAATCCCGGAATCCATGGCGTGCGCACAATGTGATCCCGACCTAAGGCCCAATGAGCCTCAGATCTGGAATATACTTTGATAATCACGAGAAGGTAAGCTTATAAATGCTTTGATTGATTATGATATTAGGGTGTTGAAGGAGGAAAAGTTTCGGAGTTACGGATGCCTCAGGCAGAAATTGGTCATGTGAGATTGGGATGAGAATTAAGGGGTAAACAAAACATGAGATTTCTTAGGATTTAAGATAAATAAGGATATAAAAGTCTAATAGCTAGATATAAAAAAATTTAAGCTATATTTATCCCTTTTTTTTTTATATTTTATTTTCTAATTAAGTTATAAGATCTAGCCAAAGTTGGAGGTTAATTCTTTTTTTATTTTTAAAAATTAATTAAAGTTATTTAATTAAGTTTACCATAAAAATTTAAAAAATTTTTACCTTTTATTTAACACACCCCTTAATACTTAAAAAAATAAAAGCACTAATACTAGGTGTTAAAAATAGCTTTAATTTTAATAAAACCAAGTTAATAAATAAATATTTTATAACGCGGTTTACTAAGAAATTTAATAAGGTTATTTACTAGTTAATTTTTTATTTTTATTTAGTTAACTTTAATTTTTTTATTTTAATACTTCTCGCGAAGCTAGTAATAGTAAATATTAATATATTAAAGTTATATAATAAATATAAGGTTATTTAAGTTAAGTAATTATATAATTTAGGTATTATTATAAAAAAGGTGTAATTTAACCTTTAAATTAAACTTTATAATATTAAAAAGTTTTTTTTATTATATAAGGTTTTTTACTCCCTTAGTAACAGCAAGTAATTTAGCTTTAATAATAAAAATAATAACTATTTTTTACTTGCAAGTATTTTAGTTAATTAAACCTTTAAATAACTTTATAAGCTATTTATTAAAGCTGCGTTAGTTAAAATTATTACTAAAAAAAGTATTAAATATTATGGTAATAATTTTTTTAATATTAGCTAAGTATTTAATTTTTAGGTTTTTTATAATAATAAAATACTAAATAATATATTTAACCACCTTAATATAAGTTTTAATAAGCTATATTATATATTAAGTAAGTTTACTAGCTACTTTAAAGGCATTAAAGCGCGTTATTATAGTAAAATAAAAAAATAAGCTAATAAGTTATTAGTATAAAAAAATATCTTACTTTATAAATATATAATTTAAAAGCACAGGTATTAATTTTTTAATAAGTAAAAATATTTTTAATATTTTACTTAATGCCGTGAGGTTATATTTAACCTATAAATTATTAATATAAAAATCTTAAAGTAACTAGATTTTTTAATTATAATAATTATAAATAATTTTAATATTTAAAAACTATTTTACTTTACCAAGATTTTATAATTTATATATATACTTTATATATTTAATAAAGTTAGCGGCCTTTTTTTTGGCTTTAGCTAATTTTTTACTTATAATAAGTATATTATTAATAAAAAAAATAACTATAAAATACTTTATAATAAAAAGGCAAGGCTTTTTTAGCACTAGCTTAAAGCTATATTTAAAAAATATTAAAAATATTTTTTTTTATTAAATACGTGGTAATTATTTAAGACCATATAAAAGTTAATTTAATTTAAATACTTTGCTTTTAACACGCCAGGGGCCAGGTGGTATTTTAATATATATTTTTTTATTTATAAAGCTTTAAATAAAGGCGTTAATAATATTTAATTAAATAATATTAAGGTTAAAATAAGCAACAAGCACCATTATAAGTTAAAATAATTAGGTAATAAAAGTTATTACTATAATATTAGTATAGTTACTAGGTTAAAAATCTTTTTTAGCGTAAAAACGCGCTTTAAATTTATTTAAATAACTAGTAGTGTTAAATTTATATTTAAATACTTATATAAGTAGTATAATAATCTTGCCTTTTAATATAAAAATAATTTTAAAAGTATGGAGTTTTTTAAAAGTACTAAATTTAACTTTAGCAGCCTTTATAAACTAGTTCTTGTATAAATACTTTATAAGTTTTGCCTAGTTTTTTAGTTTTTTTTAAAGCTAATTTTAATAAATAACTTTGCCTAGTACCTCTTGTAATAGTCCAGGAGGCTTAAAAATTATTAAGTAAAAAAAAATATAATATTTAGTAAAGTTTTTTACTAGCTAATAAAAAAGTTTAATATAAAAAACTTTAAAAAAAGACTTTTATTTTAAGTAATTTTTATTTATAAAATTTTTTAAATTTTACTTTTAGTGCAGGCGGTTATATTAGGCCTTTTTATTTAATTTAACTTATATAATTAAAAGTTTGGGATTAGGATCCCACTCCCCTTTTTTTATATTAATTTTATATAGTTTTAGGTTAGATTTTTTAAAAAAAAGTAATATTAATATTTTTTTTTTATTATTATTTTTATTTATATTATTTTCTAGTTATAGGAGCCCTTTAGCGCTATTATTTTTAAAGTTAAGAATCTTTTTATTTTCCTTGCTTTTTACTACTTAATTAGGTATTATTAAAATAGTTTTATAGTTATTATAGGTCCAGGAGCTTTTATTAACTATAATACCTATTAAGCTTAGGCTAGTAATAAAAATAAGTAAAATTATAAGGTTTTTATTATTATATAATATTAAATTACTAGGTAAGTTAAAAATAGCTTTATTTTAAGTATTAATTTTAATATAAGGTTTATTATTTTTAACCTTTTTATTTTTACCTATTTTTATGTTATTGGGTTTGGGAGTAGGCTTATTTTAATTATTAAATTTAAAAAAATTATTTTTAAAACTAATAAAAAACAGTATATTAACTAGTTTTTTTTTTTTTTTTATTAATATATACTAGAAGTGCGTATTTTAAACCAGTTATATAAATTAAATTATTTTTATTATAGGTTCTTGCCTTGTTAAATACTATATTTTTTACTTAAATAACTAAATATTATATAGCTTTAGCGCGAGGGTTCTAGATTTTTTAAATATTATAGGCTTTTTTATATTTATAAAAATATTTAATAGCCGCTCTTGGCTTTATTTTATAAAAATTAGGGATTTTTAATTATTAGTAGGCAAGTAATTTAAACTTAAAAATATTAGCTATATTTACTAGGTAAGTATTATTTATTAATATTTAAAACTTTTAAAGCGGTACAAACTATTTATTTTTTTTATTTTTTATAGGCATGTAATTTAATATATAAATAAACACTTTTATAACTTTAAATACAAGATTTTAGGGCATATTAATAGCTAATAAAAATACTTTAGCTTTTTATAAAATAATTCCTTTTAATTATTTACTTGCGCTGTTTTATTTAGGTATATTAAAAATAATAATTTTAAAAACTAAATTCTATTATTTTTTAATAAATTTAAAGTTATTTAAAAGCTGCAATATCTTATTATTTATATAAAAAATTAAATATAAAGGCTATATTACCTAAAAATATAGGTATTAAGTAATTAAATAACACGCTGGTAATTATTTTTTTTAGCATGTAATACTATTTACCTTATTTAGGTGGTGTTATTTAGGAAATAAAAGGCATATTTTATATTATTTTAAAATACTTTAAAAGTAAGAATATTAAAATAAATCCTTTTAAAGGGTTGGGTTGCTTTAATTAATTTAATTTATAATATTTACTTAGGAAATTATAATAGTTTACATGGTATATAAAGTGGTTTTTTTTTTTACTTTTTATTAAAAAGCTAAGATATTAAATTAATTTATATACTAGTTATAAATATTAGGAGTTTAAATATTATATTAATATTAAGGTAGCCTATATATTTATATTAAATTTTTAGGCTTTTTAATAATATTTTTAAAGTTATAAAATATTAAATTTTTATTTTTATTATAATATAAGAGGCCTTAATCTCTTTATTATTATTAATATTAAATTTCTTATAATAAAGTATATATAATCTATAATATTATTTAAGTACGCAAAAGTTTATTTTTTTTAAGTTTTTAAGAGTTTTTTTATAGCTGCTAAAATATAGATTTACTAACATGGCTTTATTAAGGGATATAATAGTAATATAAAAGCTAAAAACATAGGCGTAATTTTTAAGCTTTAAAAGCCTTTTTAAGCTATTTAATTCCTTGTAAAAAACGCGGAGTATACTAAACTTTTTAATTTTATTAATAATATTATTAATAAAAATAATGTTATTTTTAAAGGTATTATAAATGTTAATTATTTTAATAAGGTTATTAGTAACATGTATAAAAAATCTAAAGTTAGTAATAATACTTTTATATAGGCCATATTATAAGCTATTAAATAATAAATAAGTAATTATTATTATAACTTTCTCCGGATCTTTAAAGTTATTTTTTTTAACCTTAATTTTAAATATTATAATATTAAATCTAGATTTTTTAAAGGTACTTAGTACTTTTTTTTTTAATAATTAAATCCTGTATATTTTTTTTTACTTTTTACAAAGTTTTTTCTTAAGGCTCCTAATTTTTTGGAGCTTTTTTAGCATTAAAATACTAGTAAAAAGTAATAAAATATAGGTAGCTATATACCAGGCATGTTAGCTTTAATTTATTATTTTTATTTTTATTATTTTTTTTAAATTTCTTGTTATTTTTAGTGTTTTTATTTTTTTTATTTACTAAGTTATTTTCTTCAAGCGTGGTAAAGGTGCTATTTATTAATTATTATTTAAATTTATTATATATAATATAAACGGCCTAAAGCATATAAAATATTTTAAACTTTTTAATAGTGTTAATAAAGTTCTTTTTTTTTTTAAAAAAAATGGCCATGTAAAGCCTTTAACTAAACTTTTTATTAATAATTATAGTGGCGTATATAAAGTTTTAAAGTATATTAATATTTTAATTACTAATAAAAATATTAAACTTTTTAGTTTTAATAAATATACCAACCCAGCAGTTATACTAATTATTAATTTACTTTTTAATAAAAAGGCCTTAGTAAATAGCTACCTTTTTTTATTTTACCTTAATTTTTATTTAGCGGGTAATATTAAATTATATATAATATTTTATAAAAAGTTAAAATATTACATGTAAATATTCTTAGCTATATAGTAGTTATTAATAAAAGCTAAATATAATTAAGGTTATATAAGCTATTATTATACTAAGCGGAGCTTTATATTTTTTTTTTTAAGTAAAATATTTTTTATAGTAATATAAAATCTACCTTATTTATTAGGTATTAAATAACTTATTTAAAATTTACCTTTTTTAAAAATATTAAAATAAAAATTTTTAAAAATAGGCCTTGGGCCAACAGGAATAGGTAATAAGTTTTTATTATTAATTAAGGGATTAATATAATCCTATATTATAAGGCTTATAACTATTAATTTAATAATTTAATACTATGGGCGCCATGTATTAGGGCTATTTAAAATTATAGTATTAAATTAGGTATTTATAAGTAAAAATTAAAGGTTTTTTATAGCGTATTATATAGTAAATAAAAAAAACTTTAAAAGTTTAAATTTAGGTAATAAATAGCTTTAAAAATAACTATATAAATAATATTTAAAAAAGTAAAGTATAAGCCGGGCTTATAACTTTTAAAGTTATAAATATTTTAGGTAAAAATTAGTTATATAAAATTAAAATAAAAATTAAGGGGTAAATAAAATATAAGATTTTTTAAAATTTAAAATAAATAAAAATATAAAAATTTAATAACTAGATATAAAAAAATTTAAGCTATATTTATTCCTTTTTTTTTTATATTTTATTTCCTAATTAGGTTGTAAGATCCGGCCAAAGTTAAAGGTTAATTCTTTTCCTATCTTCGGAAATTAGTTGGAGTTATCCGACTGAGTTTACCGCGGAGATCCAAGGGATCTCCACCTCTCGTCCGACAAAAAGAGACTCCGCAATCGGCATAGTTGAGTACCTACCCCGAGCTGGCTGATTAATCAGCGGAGAATCTCCGCAGTTGCCCTCGCATCCCCTCACGTCCCTTGTCCGCACTCGCCATCAACGACTCGGTACAGCGACCACCACTCTCACATTAGCCCAGAATGCACACGAGCCAAGCGTCGCCGCCAATCCGGGCGGAAACAGCCGGGGGCGATCCCGTATCTGAGCAGACTCCTCTTCTGGCTGGTCAGCCCCAACCGCCGGCCGATGAGGAGCCAAGTACCAAGCGATTGCTTGTGGTTATGTGCGGCATCTGGGTAGGAGTCTTCCTGGCAGCGCTTGGTATGGCTTTAACTCCCTCAAGTCATGTATTCTATCGAAGGCTAATTATGGAACTACAGACATCACCATTGTTGCTACCCTGACGGGACCGATATCTTCGTCCTTTAACTCCCTGTCTTTGTTCTCCTGGCTAGCAACAGCTTATTTGGTCTCCAATGCAGCCTGTCAGCCGCTCTCTGGTCGTTTAACCGACATATTTGGTCGGAAAGCAGGGTTGATCTTTTCCAATTTGGTGTTCGCTGCTGGTAATCTCATCTGTGGCCTTGCGCAACAACAATGGACCATAATCTTAGGACGGGTGGTTGCCGGTATCGGCGGTGGTGGTCTAACAGCTATTTCAACGTTTGTGGGATCGGATCTGATTCCTCTAAGGAAGCGAGGAGTCTGGCAGGGTATCGGTAATATCTGCTTCGGCGTCGGGAGCGGGTTAGGCGGCGTCTTTGGTGGTTGGATCAATGACACGCTGGGTTGGCGGTGGGCGTTCCTGATTCAGATACCATTCATTTTGGCGTCTGCGCTCTTGGCGGCTTTAACCGTTAAGATTCCTCCGAAGGACACACAGAAGGGCAAGCTCAAGCGCGTTGATTTCCTTGGGGCGATAACGCTAGTTACCGCGCTCGTTTTGCTTCTTCTAGGCCTCAACACGGGAGGTAACCAACTACCATGGACCCACCCTCTTGTCCTCACAAGCCTCCCACTCTCTGCTGTTGTCCTGGGCATATTCATCTATATCGAAGCGAATGTTGCGGCCGTGCCCGTGATTCCAGTCCGCCTCCTTATCGACCGCACAGTATTGTCGGCATGTCTCACGAACTGGTTTACTACGATGAATGTGTACGCACTTCTGTTCTACGTACCCGTACTATTCCAGGTTCAAGGTCTTTCCACCACGGCCTCGGGAGCGAGGTTGATACCTCAAGCTATCGGCACATCCATTGGATCACTGGGCTCCGGTGCGCTGATGCGCCACAGTGGCCGCTACAAAGTTTACAGCCACGTCACTATGTTGCTTCTGGTGGTTTCATCGGCCTTGGTCTGTACCCTGAAGCCTGATACGCCGACGGTCCTTCCCCTGCTTTACTTTTTGCTAGGGGGAATCGCTTATGGAAGCATGCTCACCATCACTCTGATCGCCCTGATCTCTGCGGTCGACCATGAACACCATGCCGTCATTACCTCAGCGTCATACGCGTTCCGTAGCACTGGCAGCTCGATCGGTATCACCATTGGCTCTTCCGTCTTCCAGAACATCCTCCGAAATGGACTCTGGTCACGCTTTGGAGACCGCGAAAATGCACAAGAGGTAATCTCACGCCTTCTTAACAGCCTTCAAGAGATCTGGAAGGTGCCCGCAGATTGGATACCTGGCGTTCTCGATGCGTACATGAACTCATTGCGCGCTACATTCATCACCTTGCTTGGGCTTGCTGTCCTCGGGGCTTTGGTCAGCCTGGGCATGCGAGAACATATCTTGCATTCGAATATAGCGCGAAGGGATGAGTAGAAGTTCGATTCGCCCGAGCTACTCGCATGCTGCCAAGTCTCGACTATCTATGCCCCTGTTGTCGTGACTATTAACATTCTCTTTGAGTTGGATCAAAAGAATCTACGGCCGTCGATGTGACAGCAGTCAATCTTCAAGCAACATTGGACGTTTGTATACAATCTTGTGGATGACATAGAACAGATGCCCAATATCTATATAAACCATAGAAGTTGAGAGGCTACTTTCAAGATAACTTGTACATAGAAAAATCCAGTTTCATACGCTCCTCCCAAGCAGGTTTTTCCGGAAACTTGGAATAGTTGACAGGACCCTGAACCTCAAGCCAGCCCTTCATCCTTCACTATAAAGTTGAGTAACCGTGACGTGCCCTGAGTGTCAGCTCTGATTGGCGGGCTTATACTTGCCCATCACTCTAGGATTAGCGCCTCTAAGAGCCGGCCCGCCATCCGGCCACTGAGAACAATGGAAATCGGGGCATTGTCGCCTCAGCCTTCAGGCCGCCACGATTTGTCGAACGATCTCGCCGACTCGCCGCTGGTAACCGTGACCTCAGCGCCTCCTGGCCTTGCATTTACAGGAAAGTTTTACCAAACATATCTGCAGCACCTACGACACATGGCATAGCCTTTTGACCATTCCTTCGCCTCGATCTTATCCAGATTTACAGCCTTATTTCGAGGACAGCCGGAGTGGCATCCGGCCGCCATCCAGAGAGGATCCAGAACAAAAGACAATTCACCGATCCAACTCACCGCTCCTCAGCTCCCCTGGTCTGACCACCAGATCGTTGACACGAGCTGCATCGCATCGCTAGCGATCTGCGCCACGGTTACTTGGATAGGTTGCATGGTGTTCTGTGGTTAGCTGATGACCTGCTCGGGCCACAATCTGGACCACTCCGCGCACTTGACGTCTTTTGCTTTTTCCTCTCCCCCCTTTGCTGCTGTATATTTTAGACTTTGCAATCGCACTGGCTGCGGATTGTTTTCTCTAACTTTCTTATTTCTCCGCAACGAGATCTCGTCCACGTGCTGGAGCCCCGTGGCCAAATTCCAATATTTAGGATTGGACATTTTGGCGAAGACTACTACTAGATCTCGGCAACTTTTAGCTCTCATCCTCTTTCCCGTCCGAACGATATCATAACGTCGTCGATGGCCGTGGGATTCGTACCGAGTACTATTCCCCCAGCCGGGATCAGCAATATTGGGTCGAAGAGCATGCAAGTTTGTGAAATGGACATTGATGAAGAACCGGGGGAAAGGTCGATGGATACTTCAGCACAATCCGTATCGGAGTCGTCGAAACATGAGAATGCTTCATTTTCAGCCCGGCGAAAACGATTATTGATTTCAACGGACAGCGAATTTGTCGACAATATTCCTCCATCCCTGATACAGCATCCCGGCATTGAGGTCAGATTCATCACCGACGAGCCATTCGCCCTCCTCTCCGGCACGAACAAGGTTCCCCATTATATGGACACAGTGGATAGTAAGACATTCGAGAAGGAAATTGGCGCCCGGCGATGGCTGAAGGCAAAAGCCGCGGAGCTCTGCGAGTGGGCGGATTTGTTGCTCGTCGCCCCGGTCGATGCGGGAACATTGGGATCCATGCTGTCGGGCCTCACCACTACTCTGACGCTGGCGTTGTTGCGGGGCTGGATGTCTACGAAACCCGTCCTTCTCATTCCGGGGATGACTGTGTCAGAGTGGGAACACCCGTTGACTGAGAGGCAGCTACAGGAAGTCCGGCGGTTTTGGGCATGGGTTGACATTGTATCACCTATTTTGTGGAAATATAATGCGCCAGAAGAGCTCACTCAGCTACCATGGACCGGATTGAAAGAACTACATGAAATGATTGAGAAAAACCTTACAATTTCATTATCACGGGATACTACAGATCCTGCCCAACCTACCGAATCCGCTGTATTGCAAGTCGATGCCAGCTTAGAAAAGACCACAGCTGCGAAAGTCGCATCTATCCAGCCCGAAACACTGTCCAAGCCTACTACGGTGGAGAAGAAAGGGCCGCCGTCATTGCCCTTAGAATTATGGTTCAATATATTCGAAGACCAGCTCAACGATTGGGAGATTGCCAAAGCAGTTGGCATCCCAACGAAACTCGCCGTCCCCAAAGAATGGCAAAGCCATCTCTTGAAGATGTCAGCACCCGCGTCTTTGGAGTACACGATCCTTCGCGGCTCCTTCGCCGCAATCAAGAAGCGAATCGACAGCCTGCCACGCTGGAAACCCCTATCGGACCTAGCATGCCACCTCATCTTCAAGTTCTCCCGAACCGACATCCTCTCCCACCTCGTCGAGAATCATCTTGACCTCCTCTGGACAACCTCCCGCCTCACCAACATCCCCTACCGCGCCTCAGCAATCTACGGCAACCCCAAGATCCTGACATGGTGGCGAGACGCCCCCGCCCTCCCCAACAAAGAATACATCGCAGACGCAATGGACGGAGCGTCCCGCGCCGGCTTCGTCGACGTCCTAGAATGGTGGCGCACCTCGGGTCTAGAACTCCGGTATACCGAGCGAGCCCTCGAGTCCGCCAGCGCTGAAGGCCGCGTCAATGTCCTCGCCTGGTGGAAAACCGCCGCAGCAACAGCCCCTCGTTCCCGACCGATCCCGCTTAAAGTTGGAAAATCTGTTCTCCTCGCCGCCCAGTCTGGCCGGACAGCTTCGCTCGCCTGGTGGGACGCATCAGGGATTCCGTATACACACGCCGAATCCGTTGCGCGCATCGCCAGCACACACGGACACGTCCACGTTCTCGATGCGTGGTACAAGTTGAAAGGGGCCAAGATGATCTTCGACTGCCAGGTTCTCGTTGGGCCGACTAAGAACGGTCATGATAATGTTCTTGAGTGGTGGCGGCGCAGTGGTCTCCGCGTTGAGTTTAAGACGTGCGATATTGAGGAGGCTCTTGAGGACGCGGACCCGGTCTCTGGTGCCGAGGAGCGGGTGAGGAAATGGTGGGCTCGTAATGGGCTCAACCTGGGTGTTGGGACGAGTGAGTGGATGAAGACGAAGGTGCTATAGAGCGGCCTGGTCTTCCATGGATATTGTTCGATTATGATTGCTATGATGGCTGTGTTTATAATACCCACCTTTGTCGGCGTTGATACATTACTTTCTACCGTCCATCATTGTTTGCACATATGGAGTCGAGGGTACTATTTTGGGTCTATGAGAGCATATTGGATCAGTTTGTATATTCGCATCATAGCATTTCCATCGTAAATTTTACTGATTGACTAGAAAATTGGTATCAGCATAATGTTTCCGCCTCTCTGTGGGCAACTCCAGATCACTCGCTGGTGCATAGCGACCATACCCATATCCCTCTCCGTGTCGAGAGCCTCCCCGAAATCAACTCCCTGACTGAAATCATAGGCAAGAGATCCGCCCAATAAATGCCCATGCACCTCAACCGCCTCTAAATAAAGGACTTTAATCACCAGTCCCAACCTCAAGATCCAACTGCACCCCATTCCCAATACTATAATCGCCAAGCGTAATAAAGTCCTTAAACGGCCGTTCACCCTGACGCTTCAGCAGAATCTCATGCGGCTCGCGTCCAATATGCGCAGCCACAAGCGCTTTGAAGTTGCCGACTGTGTCGGAGGGCAAGCAGGGGATCGCAGCTTTTGTACCGAGTCGGTCGTTGACGTGCACGATTATCATTGCTTCGCCGGCGCCGACGGGCGCTGCGGAAGTGGACTTGGGCTTCTTTTCCTTCTTCTCTCTGGGCGCACGGTCTCCGTCTCGGTCGCGGTCCCGGTCGCGCGGTCGGTCTTCGTCGCGGCGGCGGTCTCGGTCACGATAACTGTCTCGATCTCGATCTCGGTCTCGGTCGCGGTCTCGGTAGTCGCTTCTGTACCGGTCGCCGCGGTCACGGTCACGGTCTCGATCATATGGGCGTCTGGGAGAGCGATTCCGGTATCCGCGATCTAAGCGTGCATCGCCTTCTTGGCTGTCATTGTTCGTGCGCTTGTCCTTCCAGCGAAAGCCGCCGTGGGCTTTTGGGCGGCGAGGCGGAGAGCGCGAGCGTGAGCGGCGGCGCTCTTCGCGGGGTGGGGAGTCGGGCATCGTGTGCCGTGCCGTAATTTCCAATTTAGAGTGTAATCGAGGCAATATGAATGTTGAAGTGGTCGCTATACGGCAGTTCGGACGGTCATCGTGATGCAAATGGGTGGTTGATTGTGATGGGTGTTGCGGAGATGAAGAGTCTTGGGGATGATGCTAAGATCTAAGTGGATTTTACCTACCTAACCTTAGCTAGGTAGAGCTACTTTCCGAATACGGTTTAGCTTAGCAATTTACATTGAAGCTGAACAACTATAAAGTTACCGAGTATATTTCCCTCACATTCTGCGGCGTAAATTCTATGACTTGAGATTATATGGCATCGCTTAATAGCGTACCATGTTGTAAATCTGACAGTGGAGTGGCTGACCGGGCGGGAAACTCTGAATGTGGAATCATAGATCCGTTGGATTCATTGTATCATTATAGAAACTGGTGTATAGTGACTGGCATAGTCGTGTATAGCTCATCATATCATCTTGCTGAGAAGTGCGCTATCGACCGGCGATACACTGTATATTTGAGACAGCTCCTCGGACATCTTCCCTGTCTCATGCTAAACCGTGATAAAAAAAAAAGCAAAGGTATCAATCATGGCGACGAAAATGTAGGCGGCGGGCGTGAGATAAGATCTACACTTCCTTCCTGGACAAATGTTAGACGCGGCGGTACAGGTAAAGGACCCCTACTTACACAGTTCGGCCGAACTTGTCCACAGCGGGAGTCGAAATTGCATTGCGATCCCCGAAGGGGTTGTTCTCATCATCATCATCAGGTTCGAACTCCGACTCACTCTCCGTATCATATGCCGGCGTGTGCCTGGAGGATGAAGGTACTGAGATGCTCAATGGCCGTGTAGGTCGAGGCGGTTTGGGAGGGTTGATGGCCAACCCGGCAAAGGATTCGTTGACTTCGCGATCAGGAGTCCAGCCGCTTTCCAGAACGTCCTGGTCACTATCACTGTCGTAGTCCACGCTCTTGTCCAGAACCTCAAATGCCATGAGTGCAGAAACCAGCTCCTCGTTAGAGTGTATTAGACTGCCCAGATATTCCTCGCTCTCTACGTGCTGGATGTACCGGAGTATTTGACGGCGCAATTGTTTGCATGTCTCGAATCTGTTGAGGACCTCCGCGTCTTCACTCACTCGCTGTGTTTCTCGGTTGACCCGTTTAAGAGCATTAAGAAGGTTCGTGCTAGCAACGGAGGAGGAAGCAAGCGTCTGAAGCATCTCCGGCTTCTCCTTCTCAAAGTTGAACGACCGGTTGTATAGCTTCTTGTCCTTCTTATCCTTCTTCAACGATTTGCTGGATGAGTGTTTGTGCTTGGGGCTGCTGAGAACCGTTGCAGGCCCATTGCCGGCGGAGACTGATACACTATGTCCCAGTTGGGGCTCGGCGGCCTTCTCGGCCTCCCGTAGAACCTTTGCCTTCGCTTGAGTTGCCGGCTGCTTGCGTTTAGGAAGCTGCTTATACAGACTGGCGACCCGTTCCATGCCAGGGGTGCCCTTGTATGAAACCGCCCATTGTCCGAACAGCTGCTTGCATTTCTCCTTGACTAGAGGATCGGAAACTGGATCGGTAGCGGCGATTCGTAAACGTTCAAGCAATGGTTCGTCTGCGAATTCGCGGTGGAAGCGGTCGCCGGCATTCTGGATCAAGAAGTCGAGAATCGTGAGCGCCCGTAACTGGCGGTGGAGGTTTCCGTACTTCCTGTGCAGATGTTAGGACTAGTGGGGGCGCAGTGATGGGAGAACGGACAGTTTCTTGCGCAGAGCACGAGCAGCCTCGCTAGGACCGCTGGCTTGTATGCGGATGGCCTCGATTAAATCAACGATACCACTCCAGTCTTCAACCTCATACTGTTCGCTGGTAAGGACCTCGATTTGTACGGTGACGGCCGAATATGGCTTCTAGAGGAGGGTCAGCAACTCAGAGTCTGGAGCGTACATTGATTCAAGATTCAAGCACGGCAGCGCCGCCGTCGTGCAAGTTCGGTGCAACTGGTATGCTCCTGATTCGGACACCCAGACACTCACCGTTGAGTGAAACATGATGGTATCTCTCCGCTAGGTGGATTAATTCCGATGTTGTTCAAGGGTTTCGTTCGTAGCAAGGCAGCAGCATAGTATGCTGATCGCAGATCCAGATAAAAACGATGCCCAGCAGTGCGGGTAGGGCAGTCTGAGTTGAAATGTTTGCAGTTCTTTTCTCGGTCAATCGAAGCCCCTAAAGTATCACGACAGGTAACGTTCACGGGGGAGTTCCACTGCGGATCTGGAGTATGCCCCGATGCCCGACCACGGCGACCAGCCCGGAAAGGACAGCCAGCTAAGTTTGTCCTACGACTTGCGACAAGTTGCCAAGTCAAAGAAACAAAGCGTTCAAACGCTCCTTTATCCGCCGGTTGACCAATATAGAGGCCGAAGGGTACGGTAGTGTAACAACAAGCTGGAGCAAGAATCCGGCTGCCTCCCACGTCATGGCTCGTGACCGATGCCGGTGTGCTGCCCCTCGCTAGTGCGGGGCTATACTGTTCCAGCTTGCAACACTCAGAGCCCCTCTGGCCCAGCTTCAACGCCGCTTATAGTGATCCAAGTGTGTTTATCAGGCGAAATTCCTGCTATAACCCTGCGCTGTCATTCATCCAAAGCTCTGGTGCATTCTGCGTACTTCAATGCGGTTTTGGCCTTCAAAGCAAGCAGATCCTTCCTCCACTGGCCGGCCCCGTCTCTCGACCATCGCGGGCGTCGTACTCTGCTCCACTATTGCATTGGGAGTGAGCGTTCTTCTAAAATCTCGACCCAGTTTCTCTTATAACTCCCTCTTCCCCCGTAAATTTACTTTCTCACAGCCTTATTCACATTTCGCAAACATGTCCTACGAACGCGAACGCTACATCGCCGAGCTGGCCGTCCAGCGCGCAACTATCCTCACGCAGAAGGTGTTCAACGAGAAGGCCAAAGGCACCGTGTCGAAGGATGACAAGTCGCCTGTCACCATTGGCGATTTCGGAGCTCAGGCCTTGATCATTCAAGCCATCCGCAAGAACTTCCCCAACGATGAAATTGTTGCCGAGGAGGAAGCCAGTACTCTCCGCGAGGACAAGGCTTTGAGCGCCGAGATCTGGAGATTGGTCAAGGATATCAAGCTGGAGGATGCTGAGGCCAACGAGCTCCTCGGTGGCACTCTCCCAAGCGAGGAGGCCATGCTCGACACCATTGATGAGGGAAAGAGCGCTGGTGGTCCCAAGGGTCGTATTTGGGCTCTGGACCCTATTGACGGCACCAAGGGCTTCCTTCGAGGTGGTCAGTACGCTGTCTGCCTTGGCCTGCTAGAGGACGGCGATGTCAAGGTGGGAGCCATCGGTTGCCCCAACCTCCCCGTCGACGACGCGGCTACTATCTCTTCTTCCATTGGCGCCGACCAGAACAGCGGTGCTGGCAACGGTGTGCTTTTCTCGGCCATCAAGGGTGCCGGTTCGATTGGCAGACCTTTGGCGACTGGCGCTCTTGCCGAGAGCAAGTCGATCTCTATGCGCCCAGTTCCTGATATCTCCCAGGCTGTTTTCTGCGAGGGAGTGGAGGCTGGACACTCCGCTCAGGGTGACAACGCTGCCGTCGCTCAACTACTAGGAATCACCAACCCCAGCGTTCGCCTAGATTCCCAGGCCAAATACTGCTCCATTGCGCGGGGTGCGGGTGACATCTACCTCCGACTGCCTGTCAAGAAGGACTACCAGGAGAAGATCTGGGACCACGCTGCTGGTGATCTCATTGTCCGTGAGGCCGGCGGTCAAGTTACCGATATTTACGGACAGACGCTAGATTTCAGCAAGGGCAGGACCTTGGCTGCCAACAAGGGCGTTGTCGCCGCTCCCAAGGCCATCCAGGACGAAGTGATCAGTGCTGTCAAGAAGGTGTTGAAGCTCTGAAGGATACCCTACTGGCGGAAATATTAGGATAATTTGAAGTGCCCTGCGAAATGCATATGATAGAAACCTCTAAAAGTACATAGGAATACCAACCCTCGCCGACACAAAGAAAGGCGCTCGGATATAAATATACAGAAACATAACCAACATATCCCAATATGCAGATGCGTTTACCGAATCTTCTTCGCCTTCAGCTTGATTGTCTCTCCGTTGACGAAGATACCCTTGCCCTTGTAAGGTTCCGGCTTGCGCCATTCCCGGATCTCCGCTGCAAATTGCGCGACCACCTGCTTGTCTGTGCCCTGCAGAAGAATACGCGTGGGCTGAGGCGTGCTGGCCTGGACGCCTTCGGGGATTCCAAGCTCAATCGGGTGTGAATATCCGGCCTTGAGTGAGACGAACTGCTGACCGGGGTACTCGGGCTCTGCGGTAGTCGCTGTAGGCTCAATGCTAGCTCTGTATCCGACACCAACCAGACTCAGGATGCAAATGTGACCTTCTGACACTCCGAGGATGTAATTCTGCAGGTGGGCGCGTGTAGTTCCTATGCGGGCGGACCGTTAGACAAACAATTGATCCCTCGCAGAGGGGGAGGGAGAACGCACCCCACATAGCACGTTGGTGAGGAATAGCGGGATCCGCAACCGATAGTGATGCTTTCCGGAGGTTCTCATCGTGCGAGATATTGACGAAAGAAGGAACATTCAGCGTTAATTGACCTGCCAGAACAACCGCGTTAGACCTGCCTTCGCAAAAAAGGAAACGAGACATAACCCACCCAATGGCCCTTTAACTTCTACCGCGATCTTCGGTTGATCCTTACCGGCCCCCCGGCCTTGAACCTGAGGGAGATCGATGAACTTCAGGGAGACCTCCGGGGGTACTGAGACCGCGGCGCCGCCGACTCGGGACTGAACTCGTGGTGTGGTCGAAAAGCATTGTGTCGGTTGGAAGCGGGACAAGGGCGCAGGGGAAACGGGGCTTCGCTTTGGCAGAGAGCTGCGCGCGAGCTGCCTGAAGCAGGTCTGTGGTAGGAAACTCGTCATGATGGTGGATGCTGTGTGTTTTGCTGTTGGAGGGCACTTTTTTTCCGATGCCCGGCGGACGTTGTCTGATCCGAAAATGGTTAGCTTTGTTAGACACACGTGACTGGCTCTTCTATACCCATACTCGGTGTGATCGAAGCCAGCCATTGCTGGAGCAAGTAACGTCCAAAGATCTTGATAATATGTTTGTGGGGGACGGGCTGAAGACTGTGGCTCTATCCATCTAGCATGAGTCCATCGCGGCTCGATTAATACATTTCTATTCAGATTGCCATCTTTCTCTCCGCTATATTTCTTGCTCATCTCTCTTCCACCACCACCCACTGAACTCTTTCTTCTTCCCTTCTCTTCCCCATCTCACTGATCATTCTACCCATCGCTATTACCTATTATATGATACTTCCCTTGTCTCTGTCATATACCCATACCGTTCCAATCTTTCACCATACTCATTTCCTAAGCTTAGACTCGAAACCAAGATGAAGGCTCAAGTGGTTTCCCTCTTTAGACTCTCTCCTTATGTTGTCCTTCTATATACCATTGCCTTTCCAGTTGCGGAATGTGCGGGTATTGCATCGGGAAGTGAGTTTATCAAAGATCCAACACTCAATGCCTTGCTGATTAGCCTAGTGGTCCCAATCCAGGTTCACAAGCCAAGTGAGGGCATCGACCTCGCCTCCTTTCTTCAATCCAGAACCCAGAAGCATGATGAGATATTTACTGAAGCCCTTCAGTTGCTTGAGAATCTCAATTGCTCCTCATCATGCAACAAGCTTGCAGCCACGAAGCTAGTTTCGTCCTGTACGTCCATAGGTCGACGCCCCGAGGGCCCGGGCAATCCCGATGCGTACTTGGCGCTTGAGACCGTTCGATCTCTGTACGCAGCGAGGCTGGCAATATGTGAGATTAGCGGAGCAGGAAGATCTGTCCCGGCACCCTGCAGTTCGATTAATGGCCCGCCGCCACCTAGGAGAGGGTTCTGGGGTCGCCCCACGCAGAACATCATTGCAACAGATGACTACGATCAGATACAAAAGGCAGATTTGGAGCCGTGTCTCAGGGACCTCGAATCACGACCCCAGTGGTGGACGTCATACAGCAATAGTAAACAGAACGCGGTAGTCATATGCCAAGCGTCGAGGACTGAAATTGACAAGGAAGACATCCTGGAAACATATCACTCCATACTTCAGAGCTCTGTCAAGTTGAGCAATGGCCTTCATGAAGCACTGAGGATGGCTGCTGAGGAGTCCGCCAAGAGCAGGGCTTTCGCTGAAGCAATTGAACTCCTAAGAGAAGAAGCCTTGCGGGATATTGAGAAGTCGACATCGTCGCTGATGGAGAAGGTAACTTATAACCTTGAGACTGGTCTCAGCCTGTTTTCCGAGAGCATCTCCTCTGCCCTGGAACGAATTCAGCTTAAGTATTCAGGCCTCGAAAATGTAAGTCTAAGTTCCTTACCTTATCGCTGGCATCGGTTTAACGAGTGAATAGGAGATTGAGAACTCTCAGAACTCGGCCAAGTCCTTACAGCACATGCTCCAATATATGCACGAAGAATCGCTTTTGAGAAGCGAGCAAATTGCCATGGCCCAGCAGCAGAATGCCAAAAAACACAATGAGCTTGCGATATCTCTTCAGTCTAAGCTGAATATAACCCAGGACGATTTTGCCAAGCTAGAAGCAAGCGTCTCCGAGGTTCGTGCATAGCCTGCCTTGGTGATTATACTATTCTAATTTGGAAAGCGTCTTCGAGGTATAGACTTGTCGCTCGAGGACTTCCAACTGCGAGCTGACAATTTGGACCAAGTCCAACAGCGCCAGTACGAGATTATGATAGCCCAGACGCAAGCACAACAGGAGCTTCAAGACAACATGCGGATCTCCAACGGAATCCTGGACCAGACAATGTCCAGGGCAGCAAACCTGCAAGCGACCTTTGATGGAATTGACAGCGCCGTCAAAGCAACCATAGAATACGTTCCGGACTTCCTTATAAAACTCTTGACATGGCTGAGATGGGCCAGTCCTTACATTCTCTGGCTCCTTCTCGGTATAGCAATGACCTCAACACTACTAATATTGTTTTTCCTGATCTCGATTTCCCTGCGCTATCTATCACCGAGGCGAGCGTACCCCAGCCTCCGCATGGTCTGAAAGTAGACCAATCTGTTACCACGCCTTGTCATGCACTTAATGAGATACCTCGAAGGTTTGATTTTACGCAAAAGTTTGACTTTTATTACTATTGCATACAATACCCCAGCATGCCTTCCATCCAGCCCGCCGAGCGCGCTTGCCATCTTTTACCGATTGATCTTCTTGCATTATGTGCTTTGTTTCTGCTGGCAGCAACTATTTATCCTTGAACAAACCTGTGGATTGCTTTCCATATTCGGCTGACATATGTCAACTACCTCATCTATTTTCCGGGCGAATGGCGTGAATATGAGCCACACAGAATCTGATTTAATCGTCTAATGCACTCTTCCGTTTTTCTCATATCCGGTTCCAATAGGATCAACAGTGTGTCAACTGTCAACATTAGCGTCATCGGACGCGGTCCGTCCGCGACGCCAAAGGCTTCTACGGGAATGAGAATCGGCAGAGGAATTCTGGTCGGGGCCTGGGCCTCGGCGTGCCCTCTTGCTCCTTCATCTGCTTTCCGGCACCTTGGAACCTGCGGCTAACTGTTTCTAGGAGTGTCCATATGACAGTTTTCCGACCCCCAACATGTTTCATCAGGCTTATCCGGCAGCACAAACGCGTTACAATTGCCGACCCCCGATTCAAGCCCGGCAGCTGCAGAGTCAGGCATTCTCCGTGTGTTCTCCGCCGATGGATTAGTGCGGAGTACATATGCGGAGAACCAAGGTGACGATCCCCAGCTCTACCCCAATCCCCATACTATAGCCTCGCGCTAACTCCGCTTTAGGTACGCCGTTTAGCCATCAAACACGGCTCAGGTCGTAAGCAGACTGCCGATCGCTGACAATGCCTAGGTACCAAGCTCAATGGACCGGATATCCCGTGCTATCTCCTGTACCAATTATTGTATCGGCTATGCGATTCATCCCTTGCCGCATGCGTCTGGCTGTGCGCTGATCCACTCTATGATGGTACATCTTCGGATAATTGCTTCGAAGTCACTGGCGTGGAATTGAGCGGGGTCAAAAGACGCATAATAATTCATGAATCATGATATCAGTGTGCCTGGGGTGGACGTGGTCGTTCCCGAGGGGAAACCATGGTATAAGAGCTCCGATCGTTCCTCCTTTGGAACCAACTCCTCTGGTCCGGCTCTTCCCATAACTACGAACCTTGTGACGAGACTTCATACATAGTTTCTATCAGGATGGCTCCTCTCCGCCACTTGCTACCCGCTTTGACACTGGGCTCGGTGGCTCATTCTGCGGTACTTGCGCAGGACCAATTCCAGAAGAGATGTGAGAGCTTCGCAGACGAGATCGATACCCCGAATGTCAAGGTGAACATTGTCAGCTATGTCTCGGGCAGCACGAACCTGACGTTGGATAATGTTGCGACTTGCGATCAATCCGTCGCCGTTTCGTCGGATGTATGCCGAGTAGCGATGGCTGTTACGACGTCCAATGCGAGCGAGATTACACTCGAGGCTTGGTTTCCGCGGGATTATGCTGGTCGCTTCATCAGCACTGGCAATGGAGGACTTGGTGGCTGTAGGTTGGCCTGTTTTGAAGGTTCCTTGGTTAACTGACTTCTGTAGGCATCCAATACTCCGACCTCTCCTATACCTCCGGTCTGGGGTTCGCAACCGTTGGTGCGAACAACGGTCACAACGGAACATCAGGAGAACCATTTTACAAGGCGCCTGAGGTGCTGGAGGACTTTGTTTACCGATCTGTCCACACGGGGATTGTTGTCGGAAAGCAGCTCACGGATCTCTTCTACGACGAGGGCTATGACAAGTCTTACTACCTTGGCTGCTCAACAGGAGGACGACAAGGGTTTAAGCTTGCGCAGGATTTTCCCGGCGAGCTCGACGGCATCGTCGCAGGTGCGCCGGCAATCAACTTCGTGGGCTTGCTGTCCTGGAGTGCGCACTTCTACCCTATAACCGGGCCTGTTGGGTCAGCTACATATCTGTCGCTAGACGAGTGGGACTTGGTCCACGAAGAAGTTCTCCGACAGTGCGACGGCCTGGACGGAGCGGAAGACGGAATCATTGAGGACACTGACCTCTGCCATCCGAACGCTACAACCCTTCTTTGCAGTCCAGGCGAGGCGTCAGATTCCTGCCTCACAGCGGCCCAGGTCAACACAGTCCACGAAATCTACGCACCGCTTCTCAGCTCAAATGGCACCCTCATCTACCCACGCATGCAACCCGGTGGCGAACAATACGCCGCGCCGGCCATGTACAACGGCCAGCCGTTCCCGTACAGCAAAGACTGGTGGCGCTACGTCGTCTACAGCGATCCCAATTGGAACGCGACCAAGTGGACCGTCAAAGACGCCGAGGCCGCCCTGCGCCAGAATCCGTACAACATCCAGACCTGGAACGCAGATCTCTCGCCGCTCCGCGACGCAGGAAGCAAGCTGCTCACGTACCACGGGCTGCAAGACCAGCTGATCAGCTCGGACGACTCAAAGCTCTACTACCACCGTCTTCTGGAAACCATGGGCGCCACATCAAGCCAACTCGATGAGTTCTACCGGTTCTTCCAGATCAGCGGGATGGCGCACTGCCAGAGCGGCGACGGGGCGTACGGCATTGGAAACCGGGCGGTCTCAGATTACAGCACTGATCCCGAGGACAATGTGCTTATGGCGATGGTCAGATGGGTGGAGGAGGGTGTTCCTCCGGAGACGATCCGGGGTGCGAAGTTCTCTGATGGTGTTGGGTCGGAGATCGAGTACTACCGCAAGCACTGCCGGTACCCTCGCAGGAATGTGTACAAGGGGCCGGGTAACTATACCGATGAGAATGCGTGGGAGTGCATTTAGACAGTATATAGAGCATGTGCATAGCTGCATATACCTGTCAAATAACGAAGATATCTCAGTCACTTACAGTATCACCGGTGGCAGCAGTGTATCAAGAGTAGGAGCTGTGACGAGGGAAGATCGCTCCTATCACCGACTATCTCAAGCCAAACCTGGATATCTCCCATGTACGGAGTAAACCGAAATCGACTGTCAGTGATAGCGACGTGGAAGGAACAAGGAACGCTGCCCTCCCAGCCACCGACAGACCGCCCTCATTGGTTCCGTCCCTCGCCCCGCGCCGCGAACGCGCGGAGTTGACGCAGACACCCGCGACAGGACTCGGCGAATAATTTATATACTATACACTATATACAAGGCTAAACGAAGGCGAAGAAGACCAAGCAAAGAACATGGCCGACATCCCCGGACTCGACGAATTCGCCCAGACGCGCGGCGCCGACGACCTCTTCGACGATGAGATCATCCCTGTCCCCGCGGAGGAGCAACAACCCATCATCGAGCCCGAGCCTCAACCTCAGCCCCAGGTTCAGGCCCAGCCGGAGCCTCAGAGCCAAGTGACAGTGAGCGAGAAGGAAACTGGCGACTGCGACCGTGAAGCAAGCTCAACACCGGCTCACAGCGACTATGCGCCGCGATCGCGAGGCGTAGAGCGACGAGGGAGAGGACGAGGGAGGGGTGGGCGCGGCCGAGGTGGGCGCGAGTCCAGCAGTCGTGATACTGGACTGGGCTCTGGATCGAGACGACCGAATTGGGCGCTGAATGACCCTGGCGATGCGAGCGTTGAAAGCGAGGCCCAGCCTCCGGCTCGTGAAAGCAAGACGGAGGAGAAGACGGCTGAGGCATCTGGGGCAGCTGAAAAGGTAGAGGAGCCTGCCGGGGCTCAAGAGGATGCCAGCGCGCCTGAAGCGCCCCGGGTACCAGCTGTCCGTGGGGATAGGAGTGCGACTGGGGGCGTTAAGAAGGTATGCTACTTTACCCGCAAATCCAAGAGACAAGAGCATTGTTAACATCGTCTAGCCAAAACTCACAGAAGAAGAGCTATCCCGACGCATCGCCGCTGCGCGCGAGAAATCCGCCAAGGTCGCCGCCGCGCATGCCCGCGCAGAAGCAGACCAGGCATCGTTCATGGAGCGCGAAAAGGTAGCCGAGAAGAAACGGCGCGAGGAGCGCGCAAACCGCCGGGTCATGGATAACGAGCGAGAGCGCAATAGGTTGCGGAAGATGGAGGCCATGAACGGACGGGAATGGGACGCCGATAAGCCGGAGGAGCAGAGCGGGCGCGGGGGGCGAGGACAGTACAGGCGGGGCATGCACGGTGGCGTTTCTGGGTATACCAGGCGTGGCGCTGAAGAGTATCAGTCTCAGGCTAGTGAGGAGGCGGAGGATGGCTCTCAATCGCATGGGTCTGAACACGGATACCGCGGTCGTGGGCGTGGAAGGGGCCGTGGGGGTCGCGGACGGGGTGGTCATCGTGGGGAGAGACCTGATGCGCCCTTACACGAAAAGGCTGCGCCGCCTACTCCGGTCATCAATAACGAGGAGGAGTTTCCGTCTCTGCCTGGCGGAGAAAAGAAGCAGCCGGGGGAGACCCCGAATCTGCTGTCGCCTATCTCGGGTGGAGGCGGGACATGGGCAGACCAAGTTGAAGGAGACGAGAAGTGAGACTGCTTGCACTGCTATACATATATACTTCTGCTCTTGCCTTCTCAGGTCCAGAACTGGATACCCATCTTTACGGTTACGATTGACGCGATGCTGCGACACTTAATGGTTCCCTGCTTCTGATTCCCAAAGATATACACTATCCATAATCGCTCAACCCAATTGAATAACACCAATCATTCAGAAACCACCTGCACCCCAGCCTCCCTAACCAACCTCCGTTCCCTCCTCTCCCTATACCCCGCCTCCCACCGTCCAACCCTAACCCCCCTCCTAAGAGCCCTGGCCTGCTTCCCACTAATCCACCCCTCCAGCACAAGATACTCGCCCAACACCACCACCCACCGAAAACCCCGATTCTTCAGCAGCGCCTTGAGCACGAGATCAAACTTCCGCAAGTACCCCGTCTCAATCAGACACACCTCGTGCCGCGAGTACAGCTCCGGCCCCAGGAACGATGCGTCGTACAGCGGCGCAACTTCCTCGATCACCTCGTACCCGCTGTCTTGTGTGGCGAAGATGTGGTAGAGGTGCCAGGGGGCGTTGGGGTCTTCGAGGGTGGTGAGCGGCGTTAGGGCTATTGTCCAGTGGTGCGGGGGTTTGTGGGCGCGCTTGTGGACGGTCCAGGTGTAGATTTGCAGGAGGAATTGGTTGTGCGGGCGTAAGAGGGGTGGGTATAGTGTTGTTAGGCTGGAGAGGCTTTGGGTGAGGGTTGGTGGTGGCATCTTAGGGGTTGGTTGGTGGTGGTAGATGCTTGGTTGTATGTAGGTAGGTAGTATAGGTGAGGTATGGTTGTTGGGAGAGATTAGAAGGGACTTGGTCTTGATGCACCTCAGCGTATGTCTTGAGGGAATATTCAAGGAAATTGAAGAGTAACAGGAGGTAAAGCAATCTATCTAGACTATCTATATGATTTGTACCATTGCAATGAGTGTAAATATAGAGTCTTTGACTCGTCTGAAACAAGTGAATGAGTTAGGGCAAGACAAAGACCAGGACAAAGACAGGATCTGGATTACTCCACCACAGCTAAACGAGCTTGTCATTCTTAGAATAGATAACAAAGACAACCGAGAGAGAGCAAGCAGGTAAGATAGGGTGTTGAACCCATTCCATTCCCCTGCACAACACCAAGACTGATCCCACTGACAACCCAAAGCCAGCCCATCCATCCATCCACCCCCTCACAAGATCCCATGTCCCTCCCATATCCAGCACAACGATCCTAAAGAACCCATCAGCTCGAATCCCGTGAGCTCGCACAACACGAACACAAACCACCCGTGCACACAGCTCTCCAAAGACTCCAATGCCATGAGCCAGAGCCAGAGCCAGAGCCAGAGCCATAGCCATAACTCTAGCGGCCGACATCGCACCAAAGCCGGATATACGAGTCCCCCGCACAGCGGTCGACCGGCGCCGCATCAGCGCAGTCCTGAGTGATAGCACCCTGGCGAGCCATATCCGACACCGACTCGCCCCGGTTGTTGTCCACGTATAACTGCCCGTCGACCTGCTCCTCAAACTCAAGCTCGTAGCTGCTGTAGCCGCAGTTCTGGCCCTCGCCTGCTTCGCCGCCGTACCAGCGGCAGGTCCATGTGCTGCTCCCGCTGTAACTCGGCCGGGTGCAGTCGCGGCTGACGGCCAGGGCGAGGGGGATGAGGGAGAGGAGGGGGAGGGTTGTGGTGAGATGCATGGTGGGTGAGGGTGAGGTTAGATTGAGAAAGATAGAGGAAGACTTGGGTGAGGTATGGAGGCAAGGCGCGGTCGGGAATCTATATGGAGTAGACTTGCTGTGGCAGCAGATGTGCTGAAGGTGCAGGTGCATCTCTCAAGCCCAGCATCAGCATCCATTATTGCATGCAGTCCCGGCTTACGCGAGGGCTATTGCTCAAAAACAGGTCGGTCTCATGCATGTACGCAGATCTCGATGAGAAAATGCTGACCTGGTGGCCGGTACCCTCACAGGCCTGTAGGCTGTGGCAATTTTCCTCCAAGTTGCTTCTTCCTGTGCCTCCGGCTGACCCGTGCACCAAGCGAGCCTGCATCCATGCACCATCTGATCAGCTGCGAGCGCCTAAATGCAGATGCATGGAGGGTACGGAGTATTGGTAGCGCCGAGGGGCCTGGTTAGCAGCCGAAAACAGGGCACGGCACGGGCACGTAAGGATGTGTGTGGCGCGGAGATTCTCGGGCGGCCGTCAATAATTGCTTCATGCATGTCAGCACCAGGGTCCCTAGCCAGCAGCAGCTGGGCGTGTTCATCACCCGAGCATGTCCACCCGCCGGGTCTCAGAATTGCAGGCCCTGCGGCGGGAGAAGGTTAGCTAGTGCCCAGGCAGGGAACAAGAATTGCTGCTGGTTAGGGCTAGCATGCCCAGGAGCCCTACCTAGTTGATGCCAGCCACCTTCACCCAATTGAATCCTTTCCCGCCGACTTTATAGCTCTCAGGAGTCGATTGCGCATATGGCTATTGCGTACTGGTGTCTGGGCTGTAAAATGGATAGTAGTGGTTATCATACACAGCCTCCATGATGCTGAGCGGCGGACGCCATTCGCCCCTATCCATCGTGCATTCGTGGAGGCTGATGGCTCTAGATAATAAGAAGACGCTGTTACACAATTAGGCAGTAATTTGATAGCTAGGTGGGTGCTGTAATGGCAACGCTTGTATCTAGATTGCTGGGGAGGGTGCCTTTGCCTTTGTTGCCCGAGTCGCCCGGCGCAGACGGTTGGCGTTGGAGATATATACTCTGTACTCTGTAGCTGGTCACTAAGCCGGAGAGAAGGTAGATAGATGACAGTGATGTTCATCTGAAGGGTCTACGGAGTAGTCATATCAAATGCCTTTTTTGACTTAGCAGTCGATCTCTGGTACCTACCAAGTCCCCACCCCTCTCGCCCTGACTGACACAAGCGCAATCATCAATGAAGATACCATAGCCTCGTATATTACTTAGCTAATCGCACTAGTCAATTAAGTGCAACCATTTGTCGCCTCTCAACGTCAAAGATGCAACTCGCACTAGCATAGATATGGTAGAACCAACACCCCTGATTGCACCGCATGCTCGCAAAGACAATGGGCGGCGCCTCACGCCCAGCATTGGCGAGCCTAATGCTACCCTACCTACAGATCACCATAGAGATAATCCTGCGCGCAAATACCCTCCCAAGCCCACGGCCAGGTCGCGCAATACGAGACTAGGGCGCCAGGGCAGCACCGGTTGCAGCCCTCGGCCCTACAGCAGTAGGCTCCGCGCGGAATACAGCCCGCTTCTGAGGGCGCTAGAGTACGTGTTAGCGGTGACGCAGTATGACAGGGACGAGCGTCGGCTTCAGATACGTACGCTCTGCACTGGCATTTAGCATCGCGGTCTCGGGAGGAGGTTTGTCCTTGTCTGGGTCCCGGAGGCGCAGGCAACAGGTCCAGCAGTCGCCCTGCAGGGGAAAGAGAGTTAGCCGGGCTTTGCCGGTGGTGTTCAACAGGCTGGGGGTGGACGTAACATACCAGTTTCTGTGCATCCTATTGACAAAGACCCGCATGTTAGTATATATCTTGAATGGAGAAAAGACGCAATGGGAGCTTCGGCATACCATGCCCTTAGGACAGGCGGGCTTGTCGTTGAAGCACGAGCGAAGACAGCCACCGTCCTTGGGCGGCGGCTTGTCGTCTCCGCCGTCCCTGGCCAGGACAGAGTACTCGTGCGAGGCCAGGGCAAACGGAACACAAGCTGCCAGGGCGAGAAACCAGTTGGGTCGCATCGTGAAGGTAAGGGAGACAGGTTTAAAGGCTCTGAAGAGATAAGGAGCCTTGGGAAGGTGGCAGCGGAAGAGCATGGTACTTATAGCCGCGACCCTGCCTGGCTGACCTAGCTAGTTAAGCTTTTTCAGATGGTGGTTCCACCTTCGTAGGGATGATGCTGAGGATATCTCCGTGGTCAATGACGCTCGGATAATAGTCTTACCTAGCCAGGTGCCGCACCGCTGGGACACTCTGCAGCCATCTTAGGTGGTGCGAATAACAGCCATTCTCTCAGAGCTTCTTGTCCGTGGCTCGAGGAAGCTCGTTAGCTGGTTCAAGGTTTGCTCAAACTCTTCTACCGAAGCGCGGAGCGATTGACAAACTAGTCTGCCAGCAGGCGCAACAGGAAAACGGCCGGGCTGCAACCCCGCCAGCTCTAAAATGCTCGTGGAGGAAAAACGATATCTCCGCGGTCAATAGTCATGATGTTCAAGGTGATCACCTTAGGCTAAGACATGTGGGCTGACTGCTGGCCGTTTCGCAGAGCTTGTGGCGAGACCCGTGTATTATTAAACTGAGCATGGCCAACCTCTCCTCACCCCTCAGCCTGCACGAATGAGAGGCCTGTAGCTGGAACAATTATCCGAGGACTTGTACTGGCATCCATTCCTTGGATGCCTGGTAGTCAGGGGTCAACACCAGGCCATTGGTACCTAGAGTCATACTTTAGTGCCACTCATCAAATTGCATAGGCTCTTACCCCGGAGTATGGGGTTCATTCTACCAGGAGAGGATCTGCACTTACATATAAGACGAACTGACTCGCTAGAAAGCCCTAGTGTGGTATGGGGTATGAGGCACGGTAATGTATGGATGCATGGCCAGCACGGCACACTGCTGTGCTCCGTTTTAGTGGTATGTGTCTGCCTTGATTGTTATGATCAAAGCGTGTAATGGATCTGTTTCATGATTGATTGTTGCCGAGGGAAAGGAAGTGGTGCCTGACTCCATTATGGATGACATCATCGCATCGACATCATCGGTCCGCCTCATCTATAAAGGGCTGCCTTTGCGCTGTACACAACCACACCTCAAACTTAACACATACAGCCTTTCTCAAGTCTACAAAGCACCCCCACTCCCACACCCACTCCCTCTCAATCAAAACAGCACACAAGACCAAAATGTCCACCGAATCCAAAACCACAAACCGCCCCGAAGCCACCCAGGGCGGAAACGAGGGCATTGGACACGCCTACGTACGTCTCCCACTTCCTCAAGCAACACACCCCTAACTCTTTTCTTTCGATGGTAGATCGACGCCCCCGCGGACACAATCTACGGCTTCCACAGCCTGGAGCAGCAGAAGGACGCCGCGAGCGACAAGTACAAGACCCGCGCGATGGCCTCGGCGGGAGAGGAGCCGCTGGAGGGCGATAAGGAGGACACGAGCTTTATGAACCGCAAGCCTGGGGGTGGGGAGACACTGCCGGGTTGGAATGCGGCGAAGGAGATGGTTACTGGGTGAGTGGATCTTCCTGGGTGTCTATTACGTTGGTGGGTGATGAACTGACGGGTGTTCGCGGGTGTAGCAAGCCGGCTGAGCACTAGATGAGATACCCGAGAGTTTGAATCAAGAGCTCAATGAACCTAAGGATGTTTAATATGTCCAATGAATAATGAATATATGTTTATATTACACGAAATTCGTACTACTCCACCTTGGCGCTCTTCCCACGTATCCGATCGCGGAGGGCGACTATCTTCCCGCCCAAGCGGCCCTTGAGTGTTTGGGCTTGAAGCGCAGCTGCTTCTTCGGTAGTGACGAAGCGGCGGACGAGCAGGTTGAAGATGCTTCCGAAAGCGAGCGCAATCACCGTGCTGGTCAGGATGATGACGTTGTACGGCATGCTAAAGTCGGGAGTCGGAAGCTGAAGAAGAAGGCTGGTTGTGCGGATGTAGATTGGTTTTGCCGCAGCAATCTTGATGACCGCGGGGGCGACGTTGAAGCCTCGATTGGCATCGGGCGGGTACTCGGTATACCGCAGGATGGCTTTCTCAAAGTCGTAGGTGAGCGTCACGGTTGACGCTGGGGGAACAGAGAGGGCAAGCTCTAGTTGGGTACCGCGCTCGCGGTCAATCCCAGGGCGGTAGTAGGTTTCTTTGATGAACTCGGACGCGGGGACCTGTTGGCGAACCCCATCACGGCCGGTGATAGTAGCCTGGAGTGTATGAATGTAAGGCCGTAGGAACCAGGGGAGAGTTTCAAAGTAGATAAAATCAACAGTCTTCTCCGTCGAGGGGTTGTTGAAGATAATGCGCATTCCACCCCGCTCCTGCCCGTGGCCAACGATGGTCCGCTCTGCATGTAGGACAGGCTCTTCGAGTGGGACATCGTTGTCGGTGGCAGCGCTGACTTGTTCTGGCACATCCAGGTCGAACGACTCCGATGACGGTAATGTGTAGCAGCGAGTGAACTGATCAGATACGCTCGCCTCTACGGAGTCTGGCGACGGACGCACCTCCTGTAAAGGCGAAGTGCGTAGGCAGACGGTCTCTCCTTGGCCGTCTGCCAGAGGACATGAACCACTAATGGTGCGTCCGAAGAGTTCGGAAATGCTCCAGCTTTTCCCGGCGGTCTTCTCTAGCGGATAGCAAGTGTCCCTCGCATGGTACGGCTTGGAGGTATCACAGTCGAGCTTGTCATTGGGAACAGGTCGGGGAATAGGGTTGCCTGTAAGCTCTTAGTCGGACTGCTGCAGAGATAAGGTGAAGTACTAACCCCTTGGACGTTTCGACCGCTCAATATCCATTACAATGTCCACAGTCTGATCGACTTGCACCAGACATTCCCCCTCAGACGGACAGACCGGACGCACATCAATCGCCATGCTCTGCCAAGCAGCATCAAACAGCTTATGTCCATCGAGCAAGCTGGCCACTCCAGCCTTGCCCTTACATGGCAGGAGCTTCAGGAATGGCGTCAAATTCTCTGTGCAAACAACCTCCCCGGGGAGAGTCCCGTGCAACAAATGCAGATTTCCGGATGCGATATGATCCCCTGTCGGTTCGAACGAGGCAACGGGCCGCGTTGTTCTCGTCGAGTCGATGAAGTTCAAAGACGCACAGAAAAGTCCCGAGAGAGACTGCGTCAAGGTAATCCACTTCGAGAAAGCTCTAGAGACAAATGTCAGCACCAGCGCGACACGATATATTTCTAACCACATACGTCTCGTCATCGGTCGCCTCAATCCAAGCCCAAAGCTCAACACCGGTGCCGCCCTCCTTTGCCCCGTCCCAAGGACGCGAGCCCCAGCTTTCGGAGTCCCATCGCCCAGTTGTGAATCGCAAGTGGAGTTCGCGGGTATTAGCGTGCTGAAGAATCTGACCAAGCGCGCGGGGGAAGTATCGGAAATGTTGTTGCTCGAATGAGGTTTGTGTCGTGTTGCTTTTGAAGTTGAAGGAGGCGAGCAACGATGAAGGCGGAAGCGGTTGGAGGAGGAGGTTCTCGTGGTAGTTCGACGCCGCGGAGCCAGCAGACAACGCGGCGAGAATGAGCGCAACGATGAAGAAGATGATCATCACGTCATGCTTGTCGTGCAACGAGTGTTCGGAGCCCGACTGTCTCGGTTTCAGGGGCTAGATGCCATGGGCACTGGCGGAGAGTTGGAGAGGACACCGCAGGGTCTGGAGGTTCCCCGGAAGGCGGAGCCAAGATAGACTAGCGAGCTAAGCCCGACCGGGATTAGCGTCTATACATATGAGGAAAACAATCGAGGTCAAGTCTTCCAGTATCGCAAAGGATATACTCCTCTGGTTTGTCTATTGACTAAGGTTCATCTTCTGTGAACTGGAATTTTGTAGGTACAGTCACGGTATAGTATAAGGTTGTGTACAATAGTCATTCAATCTAGAGCTAACATTAAATATAACTATGTTTTCCGGCTATAGCCTATGTTTATACTATAATCATTGGTTTGTATGATATGGACAGGAATTACCGCCCAAATATCCGTACAGGTATACTTTGCCCTTACAGGCGAGAGGATGATAGAGAGAACCTACCCTCCGAGGAGCCATAAAATGCAGAGCCCTGCATTATTGTCGGTCGAACTATCTACTCCTCCTCCCCCTCCTCCTCCCCCTCCTCCTCCCTCTCCTCCTCCTCCCTCTCCTCCTCCTCCCTCCCCTCCTCCTCCTCTGAGTCCCTTAAGTACTCCGCCCTCATCCAGTCGGCAGAAGGCCTCCCAACCATTAATGCCAAGCTTGTGTGCATATCCACCCTAGCCATTAAGAAGTCGTCAGTGTCAGTATCAGGTACTCCGTTTGGTGCAGTTACTCCGTTTGGTGAGGGAAGCGAGGACAGTCCAGCACCACTCATGCGCCACGTGTCCCAGAGGGCTATTCCCAGGCGTCGCCACGGTTTCATGTCCGCCATGGTATATGATGGGCGGCGTAATGACGAGTCAACCCTGGCGATAAGACGGAGTTCCCCCAGGTGCTCTTGTTCCGTTGAAGTGTACTCGTTTATAAGACGCCATATAATCGTATCCGCATCTTTACCCGGCTCCGGCGGCGGTATCCATATTGACGAGGGCTTGGTGGTACTTCGACCATGTCCAGTCGGAGAAGGCAGGTCAAGCAGCGGGATAAAGGGTATTGGTGTGTTTCGGGGAAACGTCCAGGCAGCAAGGGAGGACTCTTGCCCCTCTGAATCTTGTGATAAAAAATCCCGCTCCGAATACGGGTATTGTGTTAACACTTCCGGCTTATCCTGCAAGGAATAGTGACCGTATACTGCCTCGAGCCCTAAGTCTGACAGTAAAGCGGCCACTGTCCACATACGCTCTGCGAGCCGTTCGTCTATGAAATTCCAGACGAGGTAAGCATCCAGGTTCTCCACTGACGTCTCGTCCCAGCCCCAACGCCCTTTCGCAGCTTTTCGAAGCTCGGAGTAGTGCTGAAGGCGCCATAGAGCCCAGTATACGCGGTACTCTTCCATCCAAGTAAAGGATGTATTAACCAACTGTGCGCGTTCGGAAGCCAGTTCCCCAAGCGCAGGATGTTTGCCGACGGCGGTGACGAAGTTCTCTTGACTAAGGGATAGACAAGCACAAGCCAGGCGCTGTATCCGTGCAGCTAGCTTGATTATACAGAGCGCTTCCGCATAGCTGCCGATGGGCATACTGCGGCATGCATATTGGTAGTGACGGAGATCTGTGCAGCGAATCAAACCAGCGTCAATAAAAGCAGTATGATAGCATATCCTCTGTATCTCTGGTGTCCCTGTGATTGAATTTGCTCGTAGCAGGTCGTGAGCGAGCTTTGGGCGGGCATGCAAGACCGCGCTGACGCGTGGGGACGCGGAGACGATACTCTCTACATCGGGGAAGTCAGCAAGGTAAAAGATAATCTGATGGATAAGCTCCGGTGGCAGTCGTCCAAAGAGATCCATGGTGAAAGACGGTTGTTGCCCTTGAAGAGCGGAAGCGCGTACCTACCCCAACTAACTCCTTCGAGACCCAAACAGGCCTAGCGCCATTGAACCGCGCTAGCACCAATCTCCGTTTCCGCCGCCGTTCAACCTTCCAGCCTCATCGTCCCCAGCACAGTCCTCAATCGCAGCCTCAGCTCTGCATAGCAACATGGCGGCCGAACAGAGAAAGCTGCTGGAGCAGCTTATGGGAGGTAAGAGCACCCCACTTCCTCCCTCGCAATACCGAGCTAAGCTAACAAACTTCTCTTCTCATCGCAGCCGACCAGCTCATAGGCATCCCCGGCGCACCCTCACGCAATGCCCAGCTCTCCATCACAGACCCCAAAGTCTGCCGCTCGTATCTCGTCGGTACCTGTCCGCACGATCTCTTCACAAACACAAAGCAGGATCTCGGCCCCTGCCCGAAGGTGCACAGTGAAGGACTGAAGACGGAATACGAGACCGCGTCTGCGGCGGAAAAGGCGAAATGGGGGTTCGACTACGACTACATGCGCGATATGCAGAAGTACATTGATGACTGTGACCGGCGGATTGAGTCTGCTCAGCGCCGGTTGGAAAAGACGCCGGATGAGATTCGGCAGACGAATAATCTGGTACGCACGCGCTTACCTTTTTCCTACCAAAAATTTTACAACGGGAATACTAACGCATGGCTTTGAAATAGCTCAAACAAATATCCGATCTCACAAAAACCATCAACACCGGCCTCCTCGAAGTCTCCGTCCTCGGCGAAACCGGCTCGGTCGCGCAAGCCCTGAACGAACTGCACAAGATCCGCACCGCAAAGCACCAGAAGGAAACATGCGAACGCGATCTCAAGAACCTCCAAGACACATCTGGCCCATCTGGTCACCAGAAGCTGCAAGTTTGCGACGTCTGCGGCGCGTACCTGAGTCGTCTCGATAACGACCGCCGCTTGGCCGACCATTTCTTCGGAAAGATGCACATGGGATACTCGGATATGCGCAAGGGATGGAAGAAGCTGAACGAAGAGCTCAAGGGCCGACCTCCACCTGTTAGGCACCATGACGAGGACGACGGGGGCTGGGGTGGCCGGTCTGGTGGTGGGAGAGGGCCCAGATATGGTGGTGGCGGCGGATATAAGAAGAGGGGCGGACGGTGGTGATTGTTTCGTGTGATTTGTCTTACCTTGGCTTTTGCCATCGCTTTATATTGATCTAGTTTGCATAGCGCAGGCGTTCTGTTTCTACTGTGCCTAGGATTTAGGGATGAAAGTATGAAGATTTGTGGTAATAGAACCTATGCGATTTTACTATCCACACGTTACCTATACCTAGTATTGTGTCTCGCGCACTACAAGGTACCCCGGTAGCTATAGACTACTGTGCGCCAGCCTGAATTTTGAACGGATGCACCAAAGATAAGTTCCATAAGCTATACCAGCTAGATAATAGTAGAGTGTAGACAGACCATCCCATATATTCAACCAAAAGAACAAAGCTTGATTCATTTTTGGTGCGGTAGAATCCTTCCCTCCCACGGAATTGCCCATTAAGTCATGAAATGAAGAAAACAAAGAACAAGAGCAAGAACAACTGGAAAAAAACACCGAGCCGTAAATGATTCCGAGCGGATAGAAATGATACCTAGCTCACAAACTAAAGTTCAGACGAAAAGGAGGAAGAGAGTAGAATGGAAAAAGGAAAGGGAAAAGGAAAAAGGAAAAGCAGACGGGAGGCGAGTTGAGCTGAGATCTGCGGAAGCGACATCACAAGACAAGACAAGACAAGACAAGACAAGACAAAACAGCGAGCGTAGTGTACAGCATACCACACCCCTGCTATTCTCACTACTGCGTCTGCGCTGGTTGCTGTTGTTGCTGCGGCGGCGGCGGCGGCGGATGGCCATTGTCATTCCCATTCGGCTTTGTCGTGTCTCTCAACAGCTCGTCCATTAACGCTCTAATATCGGCGGCGGCCTGGGGTTGTCGGACGAGGATGGCGCGGACGATGTTGAGCTGTGTCGCCGTGATAGCGGGCACTCTTTGGAGGAGCTCCTGGACGACGGGGGTATTTGCCTGGCCTCCCAGAACTTGGATCGCGGCCGCAAGACCGGTGGGTTCTGCTGGGAGCTGAGGATGTGATGAGGGGTTGTACTGCGGGAGTTGTGGCGGAGGTTGTTGGACTTGGGGTTGCGGGTGGGGTTGTTGGGCGTAAGGTGCCGGTGCTGGTGCTGGTGCTGGAGGATGGTGTGCACCGGAGAATGCGGGTGTAGGTGTGGCAGGGTATTGAGAGGGATGTCGAGGGCCGGGAGTTGCGAATGGTTGGATAGGTGTGCCGGAGGTGACTGTCAAGGGGCTTGCTGATGCGACGGGCTCCATGCTCCCTTGTTGGGATTGAGGCTGCACGGAGGGCGGGTTCGACTCGCCGGTCTTGACAGCGAAGACGACGAGGAAAACACGGTCTGGAGTCGGATCCTCAAGTGTGATGTTGTCCAGCAGCTCGATGAACTCAGGCTTCTTCGCTGACCCGGCCTCAATGGGGATGACGTAGGTGTCCTTAACTACTTCCATTGGGTGCTTGCCGACCACGCCATATTTTTGACGATCCATGAAATAGTTGAAGAGCTTGTCGAAATTGGACTTTTCCTTAGGGGATTCCGGGCTGCTGATGCAGATGACCGTGACATCTGTAGACGAGCTGAACCGCAGACCACAAAGGTAGGTGTCGGCAGGTTCGATCTTGATTCTCCCGTCGATGACCAACGAGGACGGGATGAGCTCACTCCAGGGGATTTTTTTGCTGAGGTCTGCTCCTCCGACATGTTTGGCGGAGCACGAGAACTCGGTTGAGATGGGGCTCATGATGATCTTGCCATGCCAGATTGCGCCCTCGTCGTGGTGTTCTTTCGGCGAGTATGGTGGTGACTCTGGTTCGTCGTCGTCTTTCAGTAGTTGATCGATCTCTGCATCGGCCTGGACCTTGCCAGTAGGTATCGGCTGGCGAATGTGTGTTTCCACCTCCGGAAAGACCTGTTCCTGACCGGTACCAGGGGAGTGGCTTCGAGTTGTGAAATGCTCGTCGTGCGGTGTCGGTTCCGTTGGCGTGGCGTCTTTGTTGGCCTTCTGGCCATCCGTCTCTGGCTGTTTGGTAGTTGGACTGATAGGACTCTGCGCAGGACTTGCGTCAGTCTCGGTGACACGGCGAGGGATGGCTGAGAAGACGGGCTCGGTCGAAACATTGGTTTGGTCGTCTTCGACTAGTTCCTCGCCCTTATGGGTCCGCCTAATCCGTGGCCCTTGTTCTTGGATGATAATATGTTGTCTCTCGGCCTCCCTCTTGAGCTCTGCATCTTTCTGTTGCAGTTCCTCACTCGCCATGTCTTGGGAGCTCATTCTAGAGAGCTCATCGGGAGATAAACTACCTACGAGCAGACGATCCCGTAGAGAAGGGTTCTTCTTTACGTTGAACAATATCGCCCGCAGTTGTATCTTATAAGCTTCTGATGTAGCCTCTCCGCCCCCTCCCATAAGATTCTGATATAAAGCCTCCTCGACCGCGATGCCGAGCTGCTGACCAACGTCTTCCCCCGTCTTACCTTCAGGCATTTTGAAGGTCTCTCCCGCCAGCGCATCGGAGATCTGATCCACAAAGACCTTCGTGAGCGCACTCGCAGCATTCCTCCTAGCCGGGTTGACGATTTGGTCAAGAGTCTTGGGTTCTTCTGGCTTGGGAGCCTCTGCAGCAACTGGTGTAGGCTGTTTCGCGGTCGCTTGAGCAGGTGGTCCCTTGCTCTCTGGGGTCTTCTTAGATGGAGGCGTTACACTCTTAGCCGGGGGTGAGATCTTTGGCTGTTTTGCCTTGGGGCCCTGTAGTAAGGTTAGCGGGGATCCATACAAGCCATGGGACATATACGCACCGAGTCCGGCGTTGACGCCTCTTGTTCACTGAGCTTCCGCTTCTGTGCGCTTGCTGGAGGCTTGTCCGGAATATGGCTGTTCTTCTCAGGTGGTGGGTGGGGAATCACGGCTGCAGGCCCAGGCGGAGGTGGTTCAACAGCAGAAACAGGGGTAGCGGACACCCTAGGAACCGGCGTACGAGCTGGTGTGCCTTTCTCCTCCTTTGGCTCTTTGGGTTCTTTATGCTCTTTCGGCTCTTTCAACTCTTTCTGCTCTTTGGGCGCCTTAGGCTCGCTGGGCCTGCCTCTCTTCCCTCTCTTGCCCTTCTTGCGCCGTGACTGTTTAAGCTCCTCTGCCTCCCTGCGTCGCCGTTCCGCAACTTCTTCCCATGGCTTCTCGCCGTTCTCTATCTTCGCCAGGAGCACCGGGTGGTCTTCGGGCTTGCACTGCTCGCAGAAGTACTGGTCGGGCGCCTCGCCCGGCGGGAACGTCAAGCCCATACAGTCATTGTGTTGCCACGCGGAACACTGATCACAGCAGATCATGTCACGCTCAATGTCTTCCTCCTCCTCATACTCGCCGCAAATACATCGGATGATCTCTTCCTCCTCCTCAGGCGCGGGGGTAGGTTCGACGGAGGGCTTTGAGGGTTTGTCTTTCGGCTGCGCTTTCGCTTTCGTCTTCTTGTGTGGCGTCTCGTCGATCAGATCGAGGTTCTTGTGTTGGCCCTTGGTCGAGCGACCGGAGCGACGCGGTTCATCTGGCGCTGGGGTTAGCTCACACTCCACTGAGGGGTCGCTGGAGTTCAGCGCCAGTCGCCGAGTCAGGGACGCGACATCCGGCGCAGGAACAGCCAGCGCATTGAATTGAATTGTACTGAGCTTACCAGCCATGGCGATAACGTATAGCGATTGAAGGGTTCAAATTTCTACGGCGCGATGTAGGTAAACGGGGTGCGGGCGTCTCGTGAGACAGTTGCGCGCGCCACGCAGATCTTGGTTCTACGACACAAGGCAATGAAGCACTTAAGATCTGGCGATGTCAGACACAACTATAGCTCATACTCGATGTCAGCACCAGTTCGCGACGGGAGCTTGTTTATTTGTTGGGATGAGCGATGCGTGAGGAGGTGTTGGAGGAGAATCGGCACGCGAGGATTGGCATGCGTGGTTAGGCTGTCCGTCACATGACTTGTCATGTGATGCATCTGTACATCGGATTAATCAGCAGCTGCACCATCTGACTGCACGACCTTGTCCTCAGGACACGGGACCTTTATGGGATGACTTCTATGAAAGCATGTCGTTGGCTTTCTCCTAGTCATGCAATACGCTGTGGAAGCAAACAAATCTCTGTTTGAGCCTATCCAATGCCGGAAGCTGATGAGGAGAGCTACTCTATGAGCACGAGCTCAGCAACTTGTGGAGTAAATCAACTTCATATGTACCAGAACTCCAGAATGTTTGTGCAAGGGTCATCATTCCGTGATTCAGCAAAAATTGTACTCAAAATTGGAAGAGGTATCATGGTTGAAAATGTCACTAAACAAGCGTTTACAGTACCCAGACACAGCACACCGTGGCGAAGATAACGCAAACAATGAAATCACTTCTTCTCGGGCATCTCATCAACGGCCTTCCGGAACTCAACTAGTTCCTCTTCCGGCATGGGATATGTGTGCTGCTCTGCGGGGTATGCCCGGCTCTTCACCTCCTCACGATATTGCTGGATGGCGCGCAGTGCCTCGTCCCAGACATTGGCATACTGCTTGACGAACTTGGGTAAGAAACGACCAGGCGGGAAATTCCCGGCCATGTCGACCTGAACGAGGACCTGCCCAGAGCAACCGTTGCCAGCGCCAATACCGATGGTAGGGACACTCAATTTCTCTGTGACAATCTTCGCGATCTCCGCAGGTACTGCCTCGATGACGATCATAAAGGCACCTGCTTCTTGTACGGCTAGCGCATCCTTGAGCAACTTTAGTGCGCCCGCAGTTGATTTCCCTTGGACACGAAATCCACCAAGGGCGTTTTGGCGCTGGGGCGTGAGACCGATGTGCCCTACGACCGGAATTCCAGCAGTTGTTATGCGCTTGATAGCGGGAGCCATCTCCTCCCCTCCTTCGAGCTTGATTCCCTGCACTCGCCCCTCTTTGATGATTCGAATAGCGGATTGAAGAGCTTGTTCAGGTGACACCTCGTACGAGCCCATGGGCAGATCAGAAACCTGGGACGGTAATGTTAGGACCGTGGGTCAGGTATCCGGTCTTGTAAGTGTCTGACGAACCGTGAAAGCGCTCTGAGCTGCCCGGGCAACGCTGCGACAGTGCAGCAACATATCGTCCAGCGTCACCTCGCTGGTGTCCTGCATGCCCAGGGTGACCATTGCCAAGCTGTCACCGACGAGAATCATGTCCATGCCGGCGGCCTCGGCGACGTGCGCACTCGGAAAATCGTATGCAGTCAGCATGGTGATCGGTTCGCCCTTCTTGTAGAGGTTTCGTAGGGTCTGCATTGTGACTTTCTTTCTCGGGTTGGCTGGGGCCGCCCCTAGCGGCGAGTGTGAGCTATAGCGGACGGCGCATGGTGACGGGAAGCGAGCTGTGAGGTTGGCGCTAGAGACGGGAAGTATGGAGGAGGTTTGAACAGGCAAAGATGTAAGTCGGCGCAAGGACAGTACCCGTTTTGTCGCATTTCTTAGAGAGGCCATTCTCAGGCGAAATAATCAGAAAAAAGGTTGACAGATGAAGCAGCCGGTCCAGCCGAGGAGCTCCAGTATAGTAGTGGCGTCACTGGTCAATGTACAAAATGCCGATTGTCTGTAGGGAGGGCTATACACAAGAGCTTGAGAAGTCAGTTTACAATGAGCCGAGCGTGGCAAGGTCTGATTTCATGCCAACCCGGCAGAGGCGTCTATATAAGCAACCCGCGTGCTGGTATTTGCCGCGTAGACGAGAGCATCCGAAGAAAATCGAGTGGGGAAACGTGCTTGATGGCAATTCTGCCGCTCCTTCTCCGTACAAGCTTTGCCATTGGCCAGTGCTATCTACCGCCTCGCAGGGACTCCGCCGGAATGGGGATTGTTGCGATCCGAGCTGCTTTGGCCGAGGCTCTTCCATTCTTCTTCCTTTCCCCACTCCACGCCCTACAGTGACAATGCATATCACTCAATCTAGACACCCTCCTCCTTCGTATCGACGAATACGGAAGCTGCATACCGGTCCGGCACTATACCCCCAGCTATCTTGACCGAGTTCGCCCAGGCTTTGATCTCCATATCCTCCTTGTCTGTGAGCGAGATGTCGAGCGCTTTCCAATTCTCCTCCAGGTACTTTACCCGTTTCGTACCAGGAATGGGGACGATGTCATCTCCCTGCTTCAGGAGCCATGCGAGGGCCAACTGGGATACGCTGCAGCCTCTTTTCTCGGCAAGCTCCTGAAACTGCAATACAGCTCGGACGTTCTGCTCCCGGTTCTCTGGCAGGAAACGAGGCATCACTTTCACCCGCATGTCCCGTTCATCACCCACCTCATCACCTCGGCTGAACGTGGATGTGAGCAAGCCTCGTCCTAGAGGTGTGGCAGCTACCAGCGCGACTCCTAGCTCGCGACAGGTGGCTAGGAGGTCTGTACCGGCAGGGCCCTCGACATGGCGACAGACCACCGAATATTCGGGCTGGACAGCGGTGACCGGCGCAACCTTATATGCACGACGGAGCGTGGTAGACGAAACCATTGATAGCCCGATGTGCTTGATTTTGCCCTCCCTTTGGTCCCCTTCGTTAGTCGTCCAGGTTTGACGTACCGTCGCATGGAATGACCTACTGCTTCAACTCTAGCAAAGCTCGCATGGTCTCTTCGATCGGAATTTCCGGATTGGCATTGTGCAGGTAGTCTAATCGAGAATTAGTATCCCAGCGATGGTTTGCCCATTGGTCGCTTACACAGATCAATCGAGTCGACACCGAGACGCTTGAGGCTCTCCTCACAAGCCTTCTTACAATATGAGGCAGAGCTATCCGTCTTCAATCCGCCCACAAAGCCGAATTTTGTTGCGAGGAAGATCTGATCACGCTTCCCGGTGCGTTGAAACCATTTCCCCAGGAGCTTCTCGTTGTCGCCGTAGAGACTTCAAGAAAGGTCAGCCGATAATGCCACTCCGAACTTGGTGATGTCCTTACTCCGATGTGTCCCAGAATGTTGCTCCCAGCTCCAGGGCACGGTCGAGGATAGCAAACTGCTGTTCATCGCTAGGGCTCGTACCATAAGTTTGCCACGACATCTCCATCAGGCCAAAGCCCATGGCTGGTACTCGCGGACCATCTTTGCCTAAAGTGCGGAGGGGAATCTGTTTCGTCGACATTTCTGTAGTGTGAACAAGTTCGTCTTCAATAACCTTTGCGAGTATCCTTGCCAGGATCTGTGGCTGCGATGATGTTGACTGCTGGGTGCTGGGCTGTCCTTTATACCCAGCATCTGGACATCGTGCAAGTGTTAAGTCCGACACCAACCATCCTCGTTGACCACTATCACGTAGTGTGAACAATGCCATACCTCCGATGACTACGATGTATCATCATATCATGGTGCTTTGTCTATACAGTAGCCCTGACTCTGAGGCTTAGCGCACCCGGCGATACCCACCGCAGTTAGCCCTCTTTGTCTGGAAGCGCTATTCCAGTGCTAGACAACCAATCATTACCGCAAGTTTGCGAGCGCGCCAAAGAGCCTCGAGTTTCCCCTGTCGCTCGTAACTCCGCTCCGGCCTCCATCTCCGGAGCTCCATCTCGCTGCTGATATGGAAAGGATCAGTTCTCGAATCAGCGTTGAAACCATCCGACTGCGCCAATCTGGCGTCTGACCCTCTGCAAACACCGAAAGTGGCGCACTTGAACGATTGTTCCCAGAACCCAATTGAACGAAACCAAATCCGACCACCCGACTAAAGTACCTTACTTGAATACGTATCGCGAACAGGACAGCTCCTTGTGTTACCGAACGTGCTGTCCATTGAGCTTACAGGAGTCCGATTTCCACCAATGAAGATGGCAAGTTCGGAGCCTATACCTCGAAGAACTACTCGCAAGGTGACAAGGAGAGTCAAGTCAGGATGTCGGACCTGCAAGTAAGCCGTCCCACCCGAGTCCTAGCGCTTCATTCCGACCGTGGCTCTGATTCTCAAAACAAGGATGCGCAAAGTCAAATGCGACGAATCGTTCCCGGTCTGCAACCGATGTGTCTCTACGGGCCGTATCTGTGATGGCTATGGCGTCTGGGGAGGCGGCGGCAACCAGTACGGGGGCCGCCAGTCCTCTGATAGTCCACCAGACATGCTAGACGCACCTCCTCCACTTGTCTGCATTTCACCCGTTATTGCTAGTATGGACGACAAAGCCTCCTTCGACTGGTTTCGCGCTAAGACAATCGTCAAGTTGCCGGGATCTTATCTCTCCGATTTCTGGACTAAGATCCTTCTGCAGGCCAGCCACAAGGAACAAGCTGTCTGGCATGCTATCCTTGCCCTAAGCACCACGCATAGAGTAGGCCTTGTCGAAACCGGTTCCGATCCCGATGAAACGACTAGATCGAGTCTAGAGCAGACTTCCCTGCGCCACTTAATCAGAGCCGTCCGCTACTTGCATCCACATTTCTCTGCCACAGACAAGGCGTCCCCCCGCGTGGTGCTTATCGTCTGTCTTGTCTTCGTTGTGCATGATCTTCTTCGTGGACACTTTGTGTCTGCGCAGGTCCATCTCCGCAATGGGCTCAGCATTCTGGCACAGCGACAGATTGCCACTCAGGGCAAGAAGCTTCGATATAGCGAGCCTATCGACGATACAATTGGCGAAGCCTTCTTCCGTCTTCATAGCCAAGTAGAGCTCCTCCAGCATCAGCATTGCCCTCGCCCCTGTCCCCTCCCAGAACCCCTACAACCGCTGCATCATCCCGGTCAAGAACACTACGGTCTCATACCCTCTCGCTTCCCCTCATTCACATCCGCCTGGCGCGGCCTAGACCAATGTCTGAACGAGATCTTCCGCCTCTCCGCACACGCCCGAGCCCTAGACTTACATGATGAGGACCCTGCCGCCTCAAAGGCCCTAATTACCCATCAACAACGCATTACACACGCCCTCCAAACCTGGCTATCAGCATACAACGCCGCCCTCCCAACCCTCCAATCCTCGCCATCCCCCGCAATAGCCAAAGCAAAAGCCACCGTCCACCGCCTCATCCTCGCCTATCACACCATGCTCACAATCATGGCCGCAACAACCCCATCAACATCCGAAACAACCTTCGACACCCACACCCCCGCCTTCAAAACAATCATCTTCCTCCTCTCACGCATGTGGAAGCTCTACGCCGCGGACCCCTCGCACCCCGCAATGTCAAATCCAGCCGCAGCATCTGCCTTCCACAGCATACGTAACGGAACCGGAAGCCCCAAAAAGCAGTGGATTGGAACGTGCGATATGGGCCACACGATCGTCGACATCGGCTGGATGATCCCGCTCTTCTATACGGCGACGAGATGCCGTGAGAGACGGGTTCGACGGACGGCGATTCAGCTCTTGGAATCTACGAATCACCGCGAGGGGATCTGGGACGCGAAGATCACGGCTTGTATTGCGAGGAGGGTGATGGAGATTGAGGAGGGGGATTTCTACGATGGGTGCGGCGGGTCTAGTGATCTCGATAACGGTGTTAGCATTCCCGATGAGGATGGTCAGGGTCAACGTGATAGAGCCTCGTCGTCTTCGGCATTCACGAGCGAAGCGAAATCGGAACCGGGTCCAGACCAGGTTTTGCCGGAGTCGAGCCGGATACGGGATCTTGAGGTCCGGATGGAGGGGGATCCGCTGGAACGGGTTCTCTTGTTCGGGAGCTGGGAGGGGATGAATGGGAGGGTGAGTCTTGGGGAGTATGATGTTCTCGAGCAGCGGTGGCTATGACATGGGGTGTTCTTCGTTCTTCGTTCTTCGACCCAGCGCTTCGTTCTCAGATCCATCGCGGTGGCTACTAGGTTACAGCCGTACACACGGTCCATCGCAAAGAGACAGTAGATAGAATAATCTTAAATTCTTTTCAAACGGCTATCTGATCGTACTCCAACAAGCTTGCGAGCTAAGTACATGCAACCCCAGCGGACTCCTCACCAACCCTGGAAGTCGACCGCCCGACTCTGACGTGAGTCCACCACGCTCTAGATAATGAAGCGAATAAACTAGGCAAGGTAAATACTAGACCTAGGAAAAATAGTCACTTGAGAAAGGCAGAGACCCTGTATGAGACCTCAATGCGAAGAATAAGGGGTGGTCCTCTGCAGTGTAAACAACACCCACCCTGCACCGATCCAAGTAGTCGGCTTGATGCAACCCCGAAAAAACATCCACCCATGATTTGAAACGAAAAGAGGAAAGAAAATGGTAGGGATGCGAAAAAGTATGCGGATATAAATCGGCCAATGTAGGATACCAATGGAGAAATGTGAAGCGGAGTGAAGGCGGTTGGACAAAACACAACTGCCGTGCGATGCACCTGTAGAGCTTCGGAAGTTCCGTGTCACCTCCCCTCCGCCATTGTCCAACCGGTTCGTGAGTCGGGATTGGCGGGTATGCCGGCGAGTCAACACGCGCTTCAGGCCATTGACCGCGCGGACGGCAATGAAAATCAAGAACAAAAATCCAAGAACACCGGTGCTATGAGACTGTTCCGTAGAACGTAGAGTATGGTGAAATCAACCGCAGTAGACGTAAAGACAAATCAAAGGACAAAGATGCAAAGCAGCGATGCAGGCCATCAATGCAAAATCTATCAAGGCTCATGTTGCTCTCATCGATCATACGAGTGCTAACGTGTAGGATACAAGACCGCGGTGGACGCATCCGAGGTTGGAAGCAGGTATGTCGTGATAGGCTGACGTTCAGATGCACTGTATACATGATCGCTATCGTGAAAATCGGAGAGTCGGGTATACTAGTTAGAATCGAAATCGTACTCTTCCTTGAGGGGTCGTTCAAGCTGAAACAATAATGAGTCCAGCTCGGCCCAGTTTGCACTGTTCGCCGCGAACTTGCGGTGTTTTCTCGTCATTACATGCTGTCTCTTGGTTAGCTCCGTTCCTGCGAAGAATAGGGGCTCGCGACGTACCTCATCGAAGTCGTCAAACTTATCCCTGCAGTTCTCGCAGTAACCTGGCTTTGGATCCCTCCGTCTTTCTTTCTTCCTCTGCTCGCCGCTCCTACGAAGGATGATTCGAGACTTCTGCAAGTCAGTTCCTTCTGACTGTGTTCCCTCTTCCATGTTCACGAGCGGCTTGCTGCCGTTGGCCTTGTCTGTCTTGACGGCAGTGGCCGTGTCCAGGGTCCGGTAGGGCTGTGCGAGGTTGGTCGAGTAACCCACGTGACTCTTCTCGAGCACCTTGCGCTTTAATTCGTGGACTTCTTTGCTCAGACCAGCTTTGGCACCGGGCGCAGCAGCCGTCGAGGACACCATCTGGGAACGAATGGCAGATGTGATGTTTGAAGGCTGTACGCCTGAAGCGGCTGGTTCACGGCCATGGTAGAAGGGCCCTTTGCGGTTGAGTTGAGGCGGAACAAAGCTCTCCGAGCTCTTCTTAGGAGACATTGGTAGCTCTTGAGGAGCATCCGGAGACTCTTCCTTGATACATGGCGGGGCAGGCTCGTCTTCCTCGGCGGGACTCGTTTCTTTTTTGAGTGGCACGTTTTCCTTTTCGTTTCGAGATTCCACTGCAGCGTGTCTCGGTTGCGGTACCGCAGGCTTAATAAATTCCTTCTTCTCTTTCTCCTGGCGAGCCCGTCGCTCAATGTCGCGCTTGGATGGGACATCCTCGATGAACGGGCATTTTCCGAGTGGGGCACTTCTGAATTGCGGCCAAATACCGTCTTGCCTCTTGGCGACCTTGGGAAATTCTCGAACCATAACGGGCCGTGTCTTTTCATCCATATCGTGCACGTATATAAATGGGCCCTTGAATAGTACCAGATCTTTGAGCACGGATAGGTGGCTGCGGTCAGTCGGGCCATTGAGCTCGTTCTGAAGGACTTGTGAAAGATCGTCCTTCCCTCTAGATTTTGTCTGGGTTCCGGCGGCATTGTTCCGTGCAGAATAACCACCACCATTAGCAAGATCGGTGTCGTTGATGGTGGCTATCATTCGCTGCAACTTCTCCACAGCCCAGATCTTCATACCCATTTCCCGGGCTCGATGAAGGACATCTTGGCTCTGCTCCCGCTTGGGGCACACTGCTAAATGCAAGTGCATCTCCAGTTCCGCGGGATTGACCGTTTGCAACATAGCGCCATCTGCCGTCGGCTCGTTCGGTGTATCATGGGTGCTCTCTGTAGGTGCTCGTCTGTCCACTTCGGGAGGGATGGGTCGGGAGGTAACAACGTGGGTCACTAGACGCGAGAAAAACTTTTCTTCTCGCTGTACATATTGTCAGCACGCATTCAATAGCATCCAGAAGCACGGGGCCGTCATTGTAAAACAAATTCGGCCAAGACCAGGCTGGGGGAATTTGAAACGGAGGAGTTGGAAACATACCGCTCCCAGAGCAATGACCTGCCGCGAGCACTTGCCGCGAACATCAATTGGGACAGCATCAAAGTAAAAGACGAAGTGAGGAAAGGCCTTCCGGTAGTGCCTCTGCCACTGTCTGATCGAAATATTTTCCGCAGACGGTTTCTCCTGCTTCGTAGCCTTCTGAGGCTGCCGCTCCTTGTCCCTAGCAGCCACCAACTTCTTCTCAAACGCACTCGGCTGAGCATTGTTCGTCTTGCGGGTGAACAGTTTCGAATCGGTTCCTTGGAGGGTGGAAAACTTGGTCGGGCCCGTGACTTGGTTCTCTGCTCCCGACACGTCCACGACTTGTTTCTTCGGAGGGGGCTGGCCGTAAGGGATGTCCACCTGGGCATTGGTCGTCCGGGGGCGTTTGGCAGGCACGAGGCCTACCCTGTGAGGGGAATTGGTGGCATTCGGCACGTTTGCGAGTGGACGGCGGGTCGACATGTTCAGGGAGGTTTCGCGCGTTGGGGGTACGAATACTGCTGCCATAAGGTAACAATACACGCGGGCACCTCAATAGGGGAGGAGCTGGCGTCGAAGTGCTCGTCAACGAGGGGAGACAGAGCACGCGACAAGGCGACACGTCTTGAAGGGCTGGGGAACGGTCGCTCAGAGAAGGGCCATTGTAGACGCGGCGAGAAGAAAACCTAGAGTTAGAGAGAGTCGGTGACCGATGCAGGCAGAGCCCTGAGCAGCAGGCAAGCAACGGACTGCTGTAACCAGGGTGCAGGAGGGAGAGGTGGGTTGACAGAGGAGTGACGATGAATGATTGCAGGATTGAGGAGGAGGCCAGGCGGAAGTGCACTAAGCGTGTCAGGCAAAGGCTGGTGGAGCCCGTTCGTTTGTTTTGCTGCGGGATCAGTGCGCCGGACAACCACCGCGTCCATTCCTTCAACACGCGATGTCCCCTCGAAAAACTTGCTAGATTCGTGTTGGAGGTGGTATGATGTTTGTGAATGATTTGACATTGGTTTTGGTCTTGTCTTTTTTCTATTGGGGTCATTGTTTCTACATTGCCAATGTTCCAACTGAAACAACGTTACGAGCTCAACCCAAAAAGTAAACATACAACGCTCGCTGTCCTATCGTACAAGTATGCAATGGGTATCTATCTAATACTTTCTGGTCGTGTTCTACTCTAGTCGCGGAGTGCCTCAATATCGTCTACCTATAGATTTCACCATGTTAGCGTCTTACCCAGCACCTCAAAAGCCAACCGCCGCCGGGAATCTTACCTCCTTAACTGCCTCTGTTGTTAATACAATAGGATTGTCGTCGCCAACGCAAACACTATCTTCGATGCGGATCCCGATGTTTCGGAAGTGGGCCGGCCACCGGTCGTCGTCCGGAACGTAGATACCACTGCAATTGATTAACATTAAGACCACAGCCCAGCTGCCGAATACTCACGGCTCGATAGTTATGCACTGTCCGGCCTTGAGGTCATAACCTCTAGAGTAACCGGCACAATCATGGACATCCAATCCAATGTAGTGTCCCAGGTGGTGTGGGAACAAGGTCCTCAGGGCCTGATTGCGGTCAGCGACAAGGAACAATTACCCCAGGCAAGGCGGACATACATCTCCAGAGAGGTCAAAACCAAGCTGCTGCAACTGGTCTTTAAGTCCATTCTCGGCGATCCCATGTAAGCGGTCAAGCGAAAGACCTGCGCTCTCCCTGCAAAGGGAGACGCAGCTGCGATGCACGTTCAAGACCGCGTTGTACAGATCGCGTTGCGCATCCGAGAACTTGCCATTTATTGGCCACGTCCGGGTAATGTCGGAGATATAAGTGCCCATTTCCTGCAGTAATTAGCCATTATCAAGATTTCAGTTTCATCGAGAGTACATACACCGCCTCCATCAACGAGGACCATCTCTCCATCCCTTTCATCCGGTCAGTACATTTGGCAATAGCCCCGCTCATGGAACTTACTTGAGTACATCATCGTTCTTTGTGTAGTGGATACTGAGAGCATTCTAAGGTTGTTAGCGAATTCTCTTTCTTCCCCAGGGAAGACGTACCGATCCACCGGCAACAACGGGAACAAAAGCACTCCCATCGCAGCCGTTGATTTTGAAGTTGTATTCCAGAAAGGACGTCAAGTCCTTCTCTCCGGTAAATGTGTGCCTCATAGCCTCGGTAAATGCCCGTCCGGATGCCTGGCCAACTCGCCGCAACTGGACAACTTCTTCCTCACTCTTGAAAGCCCTCATCTCGTTCAGGATAGGGCGCAGCGGTTTGACCTTGTTGTGATCGACCAGCTTCTTGAGTTTGTCTGAGGTCCCGGTAGGACCGTATAGGAAGCGGTGCAAGGATGATCGTCCGGGGTTGAAGGCGGGGATATCGGTGTAGATCTCTGTCGCGTCGGCGAGAACCTTGGGAAGAATGTCGCTGATACGTTCAATATCGCCTGACTATACAGCATGGTTAGTGGATGGGCTACAAGTTTGCGACTGCCGGTTCATCTCACCTCGTCTGAATTGAAGACATCCATCGCGGCCTGAGTGCCTGAGCGGGCACCATCCCATAATTCGGCCTTCGGATCCTTCTCCCGGCAATAAAGGTGGAATAGATGGTTGTTACCTGAGCCATCGTTCACTAAGCGCGATCAGCCTTGAGTCCGCACATCCGATCTGGAGTATTTACCAATGATGGCCAGCGCATTCGGCTCGTTGAAGCCTAAGCTCATTAGCCAATTGTCCTATTCCCGCTGGCAGTATTGCTAACCGGTGAGGTAGAAGAAGTTGGAGTCCTGGCGATAGACATTGAAGATTCCCGAAGCTCGGTAGGTCACCTCCGCGGCCGACAAGACGGCGACTGCATGTTTGGGAAGCTTGTTTGCGAGCCGCGAGCGACGATGTGCGTATTCGAGGGCAGTAATTCCGGGCGTTACTATCCAATGACATTAGCACACCATGGCGAGCATTATCGGCCGAGTCAAGACACATACGCTCTCCAGGGTCCAGCAAGTGCGGATGGGTCTCGTGCAGCGGTTGTCCAAACTTAAGCTCCGCGGCCGAGATGGAAGCATATCCGCGCTGGACGGATTGGCCGAGTTGTGTCTGAACCCTCGGTTGGCCTAACCTAGAAAGAGTTCCTACCGAAGTTGGGCGACGAAGATAGCGAGGCCATTGGCGCACAAGCGATCTGCATGCCGCCATGTTGTATGTGATGCTAAAGCTTCAGATTGTTATCCGGCGAGATGTCAAAACGGTTATCGCAGGCCTCGGCTCGCTGACCGCCTCCTAAAAGAGCTTAGTCTGCGTCGGCGCCGTCAACCAATCGTCGCCGGCTTGTTGCAATCATCCTCCCACGATCGTGCACAAGGACTATGGATAAGCCTCTCGTAGGGATGTTATAATGTTGATATTTGGAAGGAAATGTTGGTCTGTCCAAAATATTAAGGTTTTAAATATTAGTTTGGTTAGACATACACGTGACTTATAGTGGGTTTACTTTAGTTAATTAAAGGTTATAAATTAGCGCCAAGCTTAGTTTATAGCTAATAAGATTTAGAAAGCCTTTAGTGTAAGACCAACAAGTCTCGAAGATCTCTACTAATAATAAAGATATTAATAAGGAATCTAACTAATAAGAATAGAGTATTTTAAATCCTATTAAATAATATTAAAAAAGTTACTTAAAAATTTAAAAAAAAGGCTGGCCTTAAGGCTATTTTTATAAACCTTTAAGCTATACTTAAGCTATTTTTAATTAAAAAGTAAATATAAATTTAAATACTTTATGCATGGGTTTTTATTTTAGCCTATACTTAAGGCCTACCCTAGCCTTACTTAATTAATAGCTAAAACCTTAAATATTAATAACCTAGTTAAGTTATATAACTTAATATAGTAGTAAAATATATTAAGCCTTGGCAGCCTAAAATTAAAGCTTAGGTTACTTAAGGTACTAACTTTAAATTAATAGTAAATTAACTTTAGTAATATTAAATAAAAAAATATTAACTTTAATAATTTTTTTTTTTAATTAAAGGGTTGTCCGCGACCTACCACTAAATTAAAAAAAAATAATAATAAAATACTATTATTATTATTAATATTAATAYTAAATATAGCTTTATTATTACTATTCTTAACTTTATTAAAGTATTATTTAATATATTAAATTTAATATTTTATTCTTATTATTTATAGCACTTTAAATAAAATATAATATTTATTTATAACTAAAAAAAAAGGTAGTACTTTAATAATACCTAATATAAAAGTATAAATTATAATATAATTTATAATTTTATAAATTCCTAAACTTATTAAATTTTTTATTAAATAAAAAATTGCCCTTTTTTTATTATAATTAAAAAAAAAGCTTTTTTAGGCACTGCCCTGGCTTTTTAGCAAGTAAAAAAAAAGTGCTTTATTATAATTATAGTAATTTAAAATACCCTTACCTTTACCCCTTATATTTTTAATATAGTATAATTATAAAACCCCTTTAATATAATATTTTTATTAACTTTAAAAGCTCTTGGTATTTTTAATCTTTTTTTTATTTTTATTTCCCTTTAAATTTAAAAACTTTAATTTTAATTAATTCTTGGGCGGTAATAATAATAATAATAATTAATATAATTTATATTTAATAAATACCTTTAAAATATATAATAAGGTTATAGGTAATAATTTAATAAGTTTTTTTTATTTTAATAATTACTAACCAGCGGCGCTCCGCCAGCACTTTATTAAATATATTAACTTTTAATTTATAATAACTACTTTATTATTTAACTATAGCTCCCGTGCCCCCTAGCTTATTTTTTTTACTTTACCTAGTATTATATTAGCCTTTACCCTTATTAATATTTTTACTATAAGTTTTATACTACTACCCTTTTAAGCTTTTTTTTTAGCCTTTAGCCTTCTTTTTTTTATAAGTACACCCTATTTTTAACTAATTTATTAGTAAAATAGCTTTAATATAAATATTAATTAATAAAAAATAGGTTTACTTATAGTATATAAAGTATGTTTAAGCATGTAAAAATAATAAGTTAATTAATAATTTTAATAACTATATTTATCCAGCCCCTGGGCGTAATTATTTTTATTATATTTATAATAAGGGTACTTGTCTCCCCCTATTATTTTATATAAAAAAAAATATTACCTTTTTATAATAAATAAACCCTGGTAATTATAATAAATATATTTATTATTAAAACGCGTTTAGTTATTAGGTTAAACTAATAATAAAGGCTTATAATAAAAAAATAAGCCTTAAAATTTAAGTAATAAAGGTATTAACTTTAATTATTTAAAAGCTTATTTAATTTTTTTAGCTTGTTACTAAACAGCCCCTAGCCTATTTTAATAATAGCTAAAATAGCTATTAGTCCGCTAATATTTTTTTTTAAAAAATAAACCTATTACACCTTTTTTTTTAAAAAAATACTAAGTATAAAAAAAAATGCTTAAAAAAGCCCCTGCTTTTACTTTTAATACTAAATAATAATTTTTTATTACAGCCTTTACCACGTAGCTAGTTATTATTATTTTTTTTTAAAAAAAATAAAAAAATTTTTTTTTAATACTTTAACTTTAACATAAATATAGTTTTTTATTTTAAATTATAATTTAAAATAAGTTTTAATACTAAGCTAGCGGCATTTTAGCTATAGTTTATTAAATCTTAAAACCTTATAAAAAAATAAAAAAGGTAATTACTTTACTTATAGCCTTAGGTATAATTTTAAAACCTTATAAAATAAAAAATCTTGCACCCCTTTTTAAAGCTATAAATAATTAATAATAATTAAATAATAGTTTAATAATTTTTTAATAATACTAGTGGTTTATTAAACCTTAAAACCTAGTAAAAAAAAAGGTATTTAACTTAGTAAGGTTATTACCTTTTTTTTTAAACTAGTAGTAAACTAGTATTATTATAGCTAGTTTTTTATAATTTACTAGGGCTTTTTATACATGCTTAAAATTAAAAAGTAATTTTTATAAATTTTTATAACTAGGCCAGCCCTTTTACTTAATAAAAAATTTATTATATTTATAAATATATTATTTTTTAAAAATAGCTTTAACTTTTTATTCTTTTTTTTTATTAACTAACTTTATAATTAGTAATTACTTTTTTTAGGCTTATCTTACTATATAAATAGCTTTAAAAAAATATAAAATACTAAATAAATTTTTAACTAATTATATATACTAATAAGCTAGAGCTAATATACTTGCTTTTTAATAATAAATTTAATTTTAAAGGGTTTATTATACTTTAGGTTAAGTTTTTTACTTAAATATATTAATTTAATATTTTTTAAAAACACTAAAATATTATCTTTAACCTTAAATTTTACTAAATAATATTTTTAATTATAATAAAGCACCTGCTTTTTTTATACCTTATTTATATAATTTTATAAGTTTTTATAAAGCTATTTTAAATAGCGTAAGCACTTTTTAATAAAAAAATAAAATATTAATTTCCCTAGGTTTTTAAACCTAAAAATTACTAGTTTTTATTCACGGCTTACTATAAGTAAAGTAAAGTTAGTTAAGTTATTTTTTAAGTTATTATAAGTAAAGCATGCCAGCAGCAAGTATAATACCTAATTACTTTACTAGTAATTATAATATATATATAAATATATTTTAAGCATTTGGTTTTAGCGCTTAATTTAACTATTTAATTAAAAATAGTATACTATACTAAGTTATTACTTAATATATAGCATTTAATAAAAGGCTATTTAATACTTTAAAATAAAAAATAAATTTTAATTTATTATTATGCTTTAGGGCAACCCTGTATTATATATAATTTTTTTAATAAATAGGTTAGCTAACTTTTCCGCAGTAATTTTATTAGTAATAAAAAAATATTTTACTTTTTTATTAAACTAATTTATAATTATTAAAATTATATTATAAACACGCCCCTTATACTTTAATAAAAGTAGGCTAATAATAAAGTTTATAAAAATATTTTTTTATAGTATATTTAGTATTAAAAAAAATATTAAACTTTTTTAAAATAGCTACCTTAAAACCTTAAACCTTTAATATAAAAAATATTTTTTAATATACGCACGTGTATTTTTATTAAGCTTTTTTTACTAAAATTTATAGGTAAGTAATTTAATAATTTTTTTATAGCTAAAGTAGCCTATATAAAAATTATTATAATATTATTTTATAATTTTATATTATAACACGGGCACGGGAGGTATATAAATAATACCTTTATAAAAAAAAGTTCTTTTTTTTATATTATTTAGTAATAAAAAAGGCCTGCCCTAAATTAATAAAAATTACTTTTTTAAGTTATTATTATAATTAGCTTATAAAAGCATTTTTTTATTAAGCTATAATTAATTATTACTAAAGGGTATTTATAACTAGTTTAATAGTTTTTTTCTTACTTATTACCTTTATAATAAATATTTTAAGGCTTAAAAGTTTTAGGTACTTACAAGCTTAACCACGTGAAGAAATAGCTAAATTTTTTAATATTATTTTAATAATAATCTATTAAAAAAATAAATTTAACTTTTTTTATAAAGTAGGAAGTATTCTAACTTAATACTTTTTATTTTTTATTATATAATTTAATTATTATAATAGTATATTTACTAAATTATACTTATCTAGCTTATACTTAATTTTAAAGTTATAAGTTATAAGTAATTCTGCCTATTATACCTGCCTTTAATTTAAAATCTTTATTATAAAAAAATAGTATAAGTTATTATAATTATATTATATATATAAGGTATAAAAAGCCCTTAAGGTAGTAATATTACTTTTTAAAGTACTTAATTATTATAAGTAATTTTTAATTATAAACCTTATAATAAAGCTTTAATTTATATAATTAATAAAAATAAAAGGCTATAGGGCGCTACTAGTCCTATTTTTTTTTATTAAATAATTTTTTTTACTTTAGCTATATAATAATCCTAGTAATAATAAACCCTAATATATTAATAATAATAAAAATCTTTTTTTTAAAATTAAAGTATTATAATACTAGCGGCCTGGTAAAGTTTAATTTAATTTTTTTAAACATGTTTTTTATATTAATAAAAAATAAAAAAGGCCTGCTTTTATATTTTTTTACTATTTTTACTAAAAACTAGGTTATTAAACGCGTTACTTTAGCATAACTAAAAATAAAATATTAA